ACTTCCCCCCCCCCCCCAAAAAAAAATGCTAAAATATAATGATATCTTGTGAAGAAAATATTTATAAACTATCTCTGAAAGTAATATTTTTCGTGTAAGTACATTTAATATGACTTCAAGAATCACTTAAACGCCATTTCATAAACATAGGTAGTTAGTTTCTTTCTTTTTCTTCCAAAGTAATGATCATTATAAACATTTTAAAAAATATTTCGAGCTGAAGCCTCTCCCAAAATTAAATTCTGTATCCACTTGTGGTTTGAAGACCATTCTATACAAAACTAAAACAAACAAAATTGTTTGTATTTTAAAGAGCTCTTATTATTGAGTCAATATCGAATTTCGTCAATAAGCTGACCGACGAAAGATTGCATTGCATCAGTTATATTGACGTCAATCAAACTGGTAGATAATTTTTTTTTATTGAAGCTCTTTCAATATTATTGCACGTATAAGAGTTATATTTAGTAATATCAAATGATTGATACCGATCTGGACCTCGAGGTTTCGTGGGTAATACGATATATCGAAGCTCCTTTCGGGACGTCCATCATTACTTTTATGTCAGAAGTCAAATATATTACTTTTATGATTTATTGAACTATTTTTTGAATTGTTATTTCAGTAAATTACTGCAAAATATCAGTCCGAAACCTTTTTTTTTCATAAAAATAACGATAATTACTTTGGAGGAACAGAAAGAAACTAATTATCTATATGAAATGGTGTTCAAGTGATTCCTTAAGTCATTTTAAATGTAATTACATGAACAATAATACTTTAAGAAGTACTTTTGAAAAATCTTTCCCCATAAAACATGGTTATATTTTACCATTTGGGAGGGGGGGGGGGTACTTCAGCCCGAAAGCCCCCCCCCCCCTGTAGATCCGCCCGTGAGTCAATGTACCATGATAACAGAAGTGAAATGGATAAAAATTGTTAGTGAGAGGAAGAATAAAACACCAATCATAAGGAGTAGCTCAGACAACAGTTCGTCACCTGTAATATAATATAATTATTATCTATCCTGTTTATTAAACCGTTTGTGAATTATTTTAAAGTAATGACAGCGAAATATTGAGGGTCTGAAAATATCGGTTTTCGATACTCCGATTTTAACATCGATTCTATGAATTATCGTAATGAAACTATCGATGAAATATTATCAACAAGTTTCGATACATCGATACTTTTCAACATATAAGTCGCACACAGTTTCTGGAAGCCCTGTCATTGATCAATAATTTTATTGAGTCAACTTGAACGTTTTTAGAGTCAGTTAAGGAATTTAAATTTTCTTACACATAAATTTATATTATTTATTGAAAAATGACCGAATCAAAGGAAAATATATTCCTTTTTATACCTAACTTGATCGGTTATGCTAGGATAATATTAGCTGTTATATCTTTTTACTTCATGCCTTTCAACTGCCCTGTAGCTGTTTCATGCTATGTGATAAGTGCCTTGCTTGATGCTGTGGATGGCCATGCTGCTAGACATTTTAATCAGAGTACAAAATTTGGTGCGATGTTGGATCAGCTTACAGATAGATGTGGTACAACAGGTCTGTTAATAACACTGAGCAATTTTTACCCGAAATATATGTTACTGTTCCAAATATCTGTCACTATCGATATAGCTTGCCATTGGCTTTACTTGCATTCTCAGCAGCTAAGGGGCAGATCTAGTCACAAGTTCCAAGATGTTACCGATAATCAGATTATGGCTATATATTATAAAAAAGGCCCACTCTTATTCATGTGTATGACAAATGAGGCTTTCTATGCATCCTTATATTTATTGTATTTTGCTGAAGGACCACTTATAGCTGGTATAGGGCTGTTCAGGCTGGTCGCATTGGCTACTGGACCATTTGCTGTTTTGAAAGCCATTATATCTCTTGTACATGCCTATGTTGCATCTATTAATATTGCTGGTATCGATGCCTTGGAACGTCAGAAGATCGAAAAATCACAATAAGCCTGAAGGTATTATATTGAGCAAAGGTTCAAAAGCACTAAAAATTCCCTGTCGTATTGTTCACATGTATGTGCTTTTGAACTTTTAGGAGTAATGTCTATATGTTTTAATTAAATGTTGTGTGTTACCTGTATGTATTGATTAATGTTTTATATAATCATTTGTCCTAATTTACTGGACTTGAATCAGCTATTATTCTACATTGGAGGCATATATTCAAATAATTTTCAATAGGAACAGAAAAAAAAGTTTTAAACCTATAAAATAATAGTTTAGTGTGTTTGCTCTTATTATAGATATATATAGTAATACCCTGTTTTATCACTGTTTCTACAAACTGTTCTAATATGATGGTATCTATTTTATATAAATAGATAAATTGCTGATAATGATGTATTGTATTAATTATTTGAAAATGTATTTTATTTGTTGTTAAGAAGTGTATGTTATATTTATTAAGTAGTTGAAAGAAATAGAAGAGTATATAATGATATGATATCGAGGGAATGGCTTAGGTAAAAAAAAATGCTGAAGGCCATAAAAAAAATGTAGGTTAAGGAAACCTTATTGGTGGAGAATCTTATCCATTATGTCGTAAATATTCTGTTTTGTTTTATTTTTTTACTGTTGTTAAATGTATTGTTTTATCCGAATTACTCAGATATTTGTTACTATAGTTCTGACTAGATTCTGTGTTTACGAAGATTGATTTTAAGTGTAAAGAAATATTTACATAAATTATTAATACTGTTTCCATGCCATGCCAAAGAAATTAATTTTTTTAATATGTTACCTATTAGTTTGATGTGATAACTTATTTATTCTTAGAGTGTGTTAACTTCTTTACGATAAGTATTAGTTACTAGCATAGTGTATTAGAAGACTACTGTGATTAGATATTAAGGACACTCCTTGTACGAAATTTTTTATGTTGAATATTTTTATCCTAAAAAAATTGTTTCATCAATTAAAATAATTATTGAAGAATGAATTTGACTTTATTTATTTATTGTTATTTTTATTCTACTCGTTGTTACATTAATTAAAAAAACCTTAATATGTAAAATTTTTATCACAACTGGTATTCCTAAATGATTCATAATCTGGCTTTGTTCCTAAGCCAAATTATCATTCTATTATCATTTCTAAATATTTTAACCCTACATGAACACATGATTTAATTTATATTTTCTTAATTTAGTGTTACTTTTAGTACATAATAGCTCTAATGTCATAAACTGTTATATCTATAGGATTTTATTATCCATTCCACAGGATTCATTATCAAAATGCTATATATTATGTTTGGTTTTTTCTTCATTTCATTGCCCAGATTATTTAAAATTTCTTTTAGTAATATAATTGTCAGGTTTGGATTTCGTATAATGTCTCAATATTTTCTCACATTTTTTTTTCTTAAAAGTTTAAATCTTCACATCAAGTTTTGTATCTGAAACTCAAATTTTATTTTTAGAACCTCCTATAGGAAAAGAACTGAGCTCATCAGTGGCTTTGTTTCATCCAATTTAGAGACTGATCTTATCCAATTTTTTTATTTTTGTTTTTTCATTATAAGTTTACTTATTTGTAATTTTATCATGGGAGAATAAGTTAGCCGGATACCATTCTCAACAATTATCATAAAATTCATTTTTTCATCACAAAAAAACAATGTGAGAATATTTAAACTAAATAAGAATATTAAATTAATCTAAGAGAGTGAAGATAGATCTCCTCCGCGTGATGCCCTCTGGTAACAGTATTATTCTGGCTAAACAATCAGTCAATGTGGTAACCTGAATGGGTCATTCATCTGACTTAGCCATCTAAGAGACTCCGGAAGTAGGAGTTCAATAGGTATAGCTGCCTGAAGGAGGCAGTCCTACTGCAATAGAGAACTGTGGGCCAATCCCTGAATGAAAAAGATAAAAAGGAAGAAAGCTAGCTTGTCTTTCATGGCTATGGTATGGAATAACAAAATTTGGAACGTGAGGGGACTAAATTTTAGAAGAAATGGAGAGGACCTCATAGAAGATAATGGTAATCAAAAAAATCTAAACTGAAAGGTAGAAGAGATTATTGAATAATAATAAGAATTGATCTATTTTATTAATGCTGAAATTACTCATAATAGTTTATACTAATTTCCTACAAACTTTTATTCCCTAATCATATAATTTTTTATTGAATACTTGATGGTTGATCGTTGTATATTTTTGAGGGAGGAGATGATTCAGGATTGTGGTAATAAAAAGACTAAAGTAGTGAAAAATATATTTTATTTCAAACCAATCTTTCGGCTCCACTTCGAAGGTTTTCTTCAGAGTCGTATATGCGGTCTATTTTTCTCCACAGATTTTTAAAACCTCTTTATTTAAACAAGTTATTGAATAAACATAAACAGAATTTAATTTGTCTACAGAATCTTTTTTTCTCAATTACTCTAAGTTTTTTGTCGCAAACCAGTAATTCAGAAGCTGCAGGAAGACAGGAGGGATATATTTATTCCGATAATTCCATGAATCTTTAACTCGTATTCCAGCTCCTCTTTGATCAATCTATCGACATTCATTTTAATCTGATTTAGATTTTTCCTAAAAAAAAAAAAAAAAAAAAAAAATAGATAGTAAGAAAACTTATATAAACATATTTACAAAATCTCAATGGTATACTTTGTCCAATTTGCACATTGAGTCATCTCAGGAAGCGGGAATTTAAAGTTATTCGAGTAGCGTCATCATGGTCACTTTGTCATAAGCCCACTTCACCAACTTGTAAAGTCAAGTGGCACTCGTCGCTGATAATCACAGGTTCCAGGTGGAGAAAAAAGAAAATCCGGACACCATAAAACTCAAGCATTTCACACACAATTTCTTAGCTTGCCTCTGCACTCGTGAGGTCCCACCATGTCTCCCAACTGTCTTTTTTTCCCCAATCATATGTTGGCTATTACAATCCGAATTGAAATTAATACTTAAAACGTTACTTCATGAATTTTTTTTTTTTTTATTATTTTTCATCACACGCTGAAGAGGATTCTTAGCAGTATGGCGACTTAATATATGTCCTTTTAAATGATGCTTGTGTAAAGCTTTATATTCACAATGAGGACAATAGTGAGGTTTCTCACATGTGTGAAGGCCCATTATATGGAATTTTAATTGCGGTCTTTTTACAGTTTTATATTCACAATAAGGACATTGATGAGTCTTCTTATTCTTACCAGTAAGACGAACCTCAGTATGACTTTCTAAGTTGAAATTTTTAGCCACTTCATCACCGCAACAAGAATAGTATCGACTTTTCTCTTCGATTCAATATATTCTTAAATTTTCCCTTAATTCAGGAGAGTCTACTGCTCCATCATCATATTTCGAGTAATCACGACTGAATTTAGAAAGAGCTTCCGAGTCAGGGTTTATCTTTGATTTTAAGTCATCCTGTCTGATATACGATAATTTATCACGGTCGTACTGGTCACCTACAAACAATAAATATCAATTATAAACATAGTTTTAAAAGTGAACTTCATTAATAAAAGAATATTAATATTCCATAAATATATTTAATGAAAAAAAAAGAAAACATTAATTTCCCTTTGTATTTATTACTTTTAATTTATCATTAGAGAACTTACCTAAGATTCAAATACCATGAATTTAAAACTATTGAATATCAAAATTCAATTCAATCTGTCAACATTACTCACATATAAAAAAAAAAAAGGAGAAGAATTAATCAATAAAAATAAATTGGACAAATATATTCATGTTTCTTTCTTGATGAAAATTTCAAAAACTGTAAATAATCATCAGAGTACGTGACAGATTTAAAAAAAAAAAAAGAAAAGGAAACTTACAATCAGAATCAGTTTCATCTTTCTTTTCTTCTTTAATGGGACTGTCAGAATTATTTGCATCTGAAAAAAAAAAAGAGGTGACCATTGTTAAATCTGTTATGAGCACATAAATCAAGATTATAATTATTGTGGCCGAATGGGCTAACGCGTTGTACACAGCACCACCGTTGCCCGGCAACCTGATATATGTCAAATGATATAAAAATATTCATGAGTTCGCGTTCCGGTGCCAAGGTGTCTTTTAAATCCCCGCCCACACCCCCTGACCTCTCCTCCCCCCCCCCCAAAAAAAAAGTAAGATTATAATTAGAACTCAATAAAGCAATTGATAGAAGTAGATTAAAAAGTGACCTTAGTATGAGTGTATTTCGAAGAATGACAGGACAAAGGCTAACCACTTCCCTCAAAAATTAGAATGGATAGATGCAAAGTGCTCCTTTGCCGTTACACCAATGGTGTTCATCGAGAGATTTTGTTTAGCTATGAGAAAATTTTTACAATTGAAGAAAAATTTAATCTCCAAAATCACACAACTCTAAAGAAGCCCAGGAAGTCATTGGACTAGTGGAAAGAGTCATCACCCTTCCTCAGTGATGGTTTCCTTTGATGGCAATTTTTGTGAAAAAGGATTAAACGTTCACTAAAAACTATTAGGACGATTTTTGGAACCTGTTATCAAGCCTTTAAATGATACTGTTTGGTGGAAGTCATTGGGTTTCCCAGCAGGATTCCGCTCCAGCTCAAAAGGCCAGGTCAACTTAGCAGTGGCTGCAAAACAACAATCCTGAGTTCATCTCTGCCTCGGATTGGCCCCCAGGAAGCCCTGTTCTCAACCCACAAGATATTATTTGGCTTTGGTCCCAACTGGAGAAAATTGCATGCCACAGAGCACACCCTAACTTGTAAAGCCTCAAACAATCTCTGGTCCGAGCAGTTGAGCACTTTCCTCAAGAAGTGCTGCGTGCTGCTATTAATGATTGGCCAAGGAGATTAAATGCCTGTGTCAAGGCAAAGGGGGGGAGACATTTTAAGTAATTTCTTTTTTGTTCTACTCTCTATTGATAACCATTTTATTTTCTAATAAAGTTTTTGAAAAAATTAATTTTTCTATTGAAATCTGTATATATTTTCTTGTAACAATATTTATGACGGGATAAGTTATTTATAAATCTGTGCCCCGGAGATAAAGGACAACGTGTCTATTTTTTTATTAAATAATTTAATAACTAAGAAACAAATTTAATAGCTCAAAGTTAGGTAAAATTGTTTCTTCTGCACAAATACAAAAATGTGACATGGTGTTCTTTATCTCCAGGGTACAGAAATATAATAATAAATAATTCTTTATGCCCACATTTTTACTTAACTCTAAATTAAAAATCTAATTAATAATTGAAAAAAATATATTACAGGATTTTGCATTTTTACCTACTACCAAGGATCGGATAAAATCAGTTGAGAGGTCTGTTTACTCTTTAACCCATAAAAAAGCAAGAACTCTAAACCCTAGTCCTAACTATCAAAATCAAATAAAAAATACAGACAATTCTTTGTATCTCAGTACTACTCTCCCAAGATAAATGTTTCTCACCATCATCTGTGGTTTGTATTTCTTCTTCTTCTTGTTTCACATGAATCAGCCCACCTGTCTAATTAAAAAATATATTTTAAAAAAGTTTATCAAAAGAAAAATCATAATACATATGAAAGAAATTGAATAAGTAAATACAAACTCCTTACCATAATGATGTAGAGATGGTTGACCGTTGATATAATATGAGAAGGAGTTAGTCGGGGGTGCGGTCAAATAAATACTAAATTAAAATATATTAATTATTTTAATTTTTGCCGACGTTTCGACCCACTTTGCAGGTAGTCTTAACCCACTGTTATCTAATTTAATCTCTATTAGTTTGTTATACACTTATTCCTTATCTTTTATCGCAATCTGTTTACTTTTAACTTACATGCTATATTCTCCTTTATTTTTATTTTTATTCATACTTATTTTCCATTTATTTGTATCTTCTACATATACTTAATATTTAACTACATTGTCACCCACTATATCTCTGATACCATCCTTTATTTCTGTATCAGACAACTTCTTCTTATTTTATATCTATTTATATTTATTTTTTATTTTCAACATGTTTTGTATCTTTTGTAGCCCTGAAGACGACCTGCAAAGTGGGTCGAAATGTCGGCAAAAATTAAAATAATTAATATATTTTAATTTAGTATTTATTTGACCGCATCCCCGACAAACTCCTTATTAGTTTAGCGAAAAGAAATATATTTACATGTCTAAAGTAAACAATCAAAATTTTAAACAATTATAGTGGATTTAAGGTGAGCAGAGAAGGAGAGAGATGTCCAGTGGCAAAACATTTTACTGTCGATCTCCCACTCTTCAAAATCCAAAGTCTTCTCTACTCATTCCTACGTACTTCTACAATTTTTTTTTACAATTAGAAATTTCTTTTATCAATTTTCTTATCATTTCTTTTACCAATTTTCGTTTACTATGTCAAACAAACTGGGTAGAAGGAAAACTATCCACCCTCAGACCAAAAACGTACATAAATTCATGATAGGGTTTTGGTAGATTTATAAAAATAATCTTTTTGTTTTTTTTAAATCATACATGAAAGCCTTTGTTGTAGATTTTGAAATGAAATTTAAAAATTTAATTTAGTATCCTTCAATAATACTCCGCTTATCCCTGTTGAACTATTCCGGCACCTTGGACTCCACTTGGACAAACGTCTAACTTGGAATCCTCATACTGGACTTAAACGACAAGAAACCGCTCGACGTTTTCATCTACTTCAGCACTTACTAGACAAACGTTCTAAACTTCCAACTATTTAAAAAAAGACTCATATATATGACTATAATAAGAACTATCTGGACTTATAAAGCTGAGCTTTGGGGCTCCACTAAGCCATCAAATTCCTCTCGTATCCAATACTTACAATCCAAAATCCTTCGTAAAATCCTCAATCCTCCTTTCTTTGTCACAAATAAAATAACCCATCGCGACCTTATATTTCCGAATTGGTCCAATCCAGATACCTATCCTTCCATAATAAACTTCAGAACCATCCGAACCCTCTCGTTTCTAAACTTGCTTCCTTCTCAATCCCTGATAGCCCTCCGAGGCATCTGAAAATAAGATGGTCTCAAGATCTCCAATTGTAAATACATTATATTTTTTTTAGAGTGCTACCAGTGGCTAGTTTCTCAACAAGTGTTTTCAAGTGTTACATTTACTGAATGTATTTTTTCTTAATACTGTTGTAAATATCATAAATAAATAATAAAAAATATTGAATTTCATAACTTAAATCAAGACTAAAAGTACATTAAGTACACTTTGATTGATGAAAAAAACTCTATAAATGAATAAAATAAAAATAAACCTACATGTTTTATGTCAAAAACAGTTACACTAACTGCAAAATGTTTTGATTTCATATGGGGAATATTCATCAAATTATCCATTGATTTAATTTTCAAAACTTTTTGAAATATAGCGAAAATGCAATTCTTCTCGATTATTCATAAAACTTACTTAAAATATCAAAAAATGTAGACATAATCTGATGAATGAAACATTCATTAATTTTTAATGTAAGAAACTTACAAGAAAACTCAGCCCCTTCTGTCTTTTCTAGTTTAATAGAAGAGTTACTCAAACCTGAAAAAGAGAACAACATAGATAAAAATATTCAATTTATACAAAATCGAAACATTTTGGTTAAATAATAAAATAATTTAATTTAATAAAAATAGTACAACTACATTTTTCAAAGGTTGATGGTCCCCACTTGAAATGGAATAGTTTACTTTAAAAGTATGGGATCAATAATATTGATTTTGTTGTGCAAGAAGGCCTATGGACTAAATCTCGACCATTCCACAATGGTTGTATTAAGATTGTAGTCTACAACGTAACTTGTCTTTTCTACTCTCTTCTTCTTCGATGGCTCTACAACTCATTAAGAGTCAAGGCCTTCCATAGTCGGAGCCGCTAATCTTCTCTGATTTGTGCTGCTGCATTTCAGTTTCTTATTCTTAACAGTTTCTAAGCATTTATTGCTACACAATCCACCCAGTGCAGGTGTGTTTTTTCAACTCTTCTACATCCGAATATTTTTCTTGTAGAAACTTTCATTTTATGAGAGTTCATTATTATTCATATGTGCAGCATGTCCAGCCCATCTTAGACTTCCAACCATTATTAAATGAACAATATCAGGGTCATTAGCTAAGCGTTATTCCTCAGATCTCCAAACACCGTTGATACACTTAAGCAGAAAATCCTCAACATTTTTCTTTCATATCTCAATAGGGTTAATGCATGAGCTTTCCAACTCTGACGAAAAAGTGATAATGGGTGTGATTAGTGTTATAGATAAGTATCTTAGTGCACCTAGATATTTGCCTTTTAAATGCCTCTGCAGACCACAATAGCATTTAATAGCTACCAAAGTCCGCCCCTGAATCTCTGGTTGTACAATATTGATCAAGTTCAACAGCTTGCCAAGGTAAATAAATTTCTCGACATAATCTTAGAAATAGAAATAGAAAAATAACTTTATTCTGGGACACAGTCCCTTGAGAATAACAAAATAGAACAAAATTAAAATATTACATCTGGCCAAAATAAAATAAATCGAAAAAAAGAAGAATAAATTTTAGTTGAAGTATCCGATTTTTTGTCTCCCTTTGAGGTATTCTTCTCATTTAGGATAGCAGATCATATGATTTGGACTCATTCATCTGCAATCCAACTTCAGCAGCTGCTTTTTGTAGATTTAGAAAGGCAGCCATACTCAGAAAACTTCATACAACATCCGCATTGGCTAGAATTTGGCATGATTTATTAAAAATCATACCTCCTATTTGAATTTCCGACTCTCTGATGGCTCATTCCAACGTTTAATATTAAACATTATGTCCATTCTAGATTTAATTGATATTTTTAATTAAATCTTTTCAAATCGAAAATATCCACAATTCATAATGTAGATATCCTTTTAAATAATAAAGATTATTATTAACAAAAACAAATTGGAGCTTACCAACTCCATCCATTTCAAGCAAATAAAGTGTTATCTTCCACTACTGTAATGTAAACAACTAAAAGTTATATTTATATGCCAAAGAAGTAGAAATAATTCACATCTCTTCTACCCAAGATGTTCTCACAAAAAAAAAAAAAGAAATGAAATTATCTCTGTATACAAGGTTTGTAAATTTAATTTGAAAAATAAGAGATAAATAAAAATTTACAAAAAAATACTAGAATCATTTAACAGAATAAAATAATGTATAAAGTAGAGATTCTCTTCCTTCTAATATCGTACAGTCTTTTGTTGTATGTAGAATGGGCGCATTTGCTACATAATACATAATATTTTTATTTCATATATATAACTTTTTCAAATTATAATATAATACTTATTATCGTAATATGATAGTTCATATTATAATGAAATATACCTCGGAGACATGGGTCATCAACGGAAAAGACTGTTAGACGTGTCTCTACTGAGGTGGACTTTTGGAGAAGGACATCAAGAAAATCCAGAAAGGAAGGAATTCTGGAGCTGATGAAGGTGGAAAGAAATCTTATAGCAAATATTGAAAAGAAAAGATTATGCTGGTTTGAACATGTTAAAAGAATGACGCTTGAAAGATTACAACCGTTATGTAAGGAACTAGAGATTTTTACCTCTGGGAGAAAGGAAGACCAAAGATAAAATGGAAAGACGCGATGGAAGAAAGCCTGGCGGGTATGGTATCGGAGAAGAACAAGACTTTGATAGAGAAGGATGAAAGAATATTTTAAATATTTAGGTCAAGGATAACCACAGTAGTGGAAAAGTCCTTAATAAAAAAAAATTATGGTTCTTGTTTCAACGAATAAAATATTTTATCCTTGTGATCCCTTGGCTCGTATATACAGCCCTACACAGAATATTTTAGTTTATTTACTTTTAAATGAATTTTTCATTTATATTGCAACAGTTAAATGATTTTTAGAAGTTATTTGATTATAATTGGCTGGTTATTGGTGCTTGGTGCTTGTTGTGATAATAGGACGAAAGTAGGTTAATGATAGTAATAATTTTATATTATTATATATATTATTCATGGATTTTGAACTTCTTCCAGAAATGTAAATATTTCGGAAATTTATTTTCCGTTTATGAAAAATAATTTTGTTATAAAATAATTGGTAATCTAGCAATAAATAAAAGAGTGAATGAAAAACTTTCCGTTAATTATTTCAGACGCAATTCATTCAGAAATATACGGCAATGAATGTTCAATTCATTCGAAGTTCAAAAAGTATTTATAATAAAACTTGACGAGTAACTATTATTTTAGAAATAATTATTTCATGATTATTCCTTCATTAAATAAGTTATGTCAACAATGTCCAGATCGCTAGAGTGATAAAGCCCAGTGGTCAGAGCTGTGATTTCACAGGGCCTATAGTGACCGTCACTATGATTTCGGTGCCCCTGTCACTGTGACAGAATCACAGTTCCGACCCAGTCACTGTGACAGAATCACCGCTCCGCCTATATGGCCCTGTCACTACAGAGTACTACTAGGGAAATCGCTAAGAAAGGAAACCTTTTATAGTTGTAGTTTTAAAAAATGTGTCTAAGGATTCATTTCTGATTTTTAAAATAAAGCTGATCAACAGCTTATAATATAAATCCTTTTGAGAACTTTGTTCCCACTAATTAGAACTCTTTACCACTACAATAAAGCATCTTAGACAGAGATGTCTATCCCCTCAAGGCCGATGGCGCATAAACCTTTCCCCATCCCTTCCAACATATTTTATTCCTCTCTTGTTCTTAATAACAGTGCCAATGAAAGTAGAATTTAAATAATCGTAGTGTATATACAATTATACCTCATGACGTCTGTTCCATACTCCTACTTGTCTTTTAAATTGAAACTTTTCATTTTGAAAATTCATAACCCCATCAAAATATGTCCCTAAAAAAAAATTGAAAACTCTGTCAAAAAGTGCCCCCTCATAAATTTTGATAGCGCAACTTGCGCCATGAAACCCCCACCTGGGTACTCCTTTTCTTAGATATAGTAAGGAAGTAGTGTTTCTTGACCTAAGTTGTATGAGGAGGTGATTTAATCAAGATTAACTCTTCCAATAATTTATTATTTAATTTACGGCATCCACTATAGATGCTGGTTGTGCCACATGAGGATCACTTGGCCCCAGGGTTGATCCACAGTTGGTGTATCACAATCATCGCCTATCACAGATGAATTACGGAACCTGAGAATGGGAGCATATGAGTAGAGTGTCTTACTCACTGAGCAACCCCATTAATTTAATAATTATATAAACCTATAATACTTTAAAATAGATTATTAAAATGTAGCTATGGCTTTTATGAATTTTTACCAAAGCATTTAATAATAAAATGAGCTCTTTAGCTTCTAAAGTTATCTGACTACTGGTCTATGCAATAATAGAAGTCAGAATAAGAAGCAGCCAACCATGAGGAAGATTTCGGCAATGAATCTTTTTTCCTAGTAATTTAATATTACTATCTTCTAGAAGCTCAAATTCTTGGCAACTTTTTATTGTGACCTCTACTTCTAGGAAAAGATCCTCTAAGCCACCTGGTCTCTTAATCTGACTTATTTTATGAAATGAATCGGTAATAAAAAGCTTTCTCACAACTTCTCATTATCCTGTGTGAGAGCAAACATTTAAGTTTAGACTTCAAAAACTTAAACTAACATAAGGAAAAGATTTTTTGAAGCCATAAGTGAAAAGTAAATAAATGTATTAACATTAGGAAAAAATAAAATAAACAGAAAAAACATCTACTTCATTTTATTATTTATATGCATTATATTACAGCTTTTACTCTATCTACAACAAACATGGCACCAACAATTAACATTTCTTTTATGTATTAACATATAAGTAGAAAAATAAAACATTTTGTAGGAGTTCCATCCATGTGAAACTATAAATATATATGTATGTATATTTTACAATTATATATTATCACTTTGCTCGTTAGAAATGAGCTTTATTATATTTAATATTGATACAAGTCAGTTTCTTCATTTTTTTTTCTTTACAAAAAAAACAAACTATATTATCGTCAAAACAAATTACCAATTGTCTCTCTTGATTATAATACAACTATTAATAAAAGAAACCACATTTACCTCATCCCAGACATAAAAAAAAAGACATAATCCCACAATCACACTTGTGATTTATTTACACTTATGTTTATATCAAGTGGAATAAAAAATGCTAAAGTCAACCTATCAATCCGTCAGTGGCCTGCGGTGGACGTAGTTATATTAAATGAACAAACAGAAGAAAATTCAGACAACAAAGATGAAGGAGGAAGACTGTAAAATTAGAAAAAAACAAAAACTAAAGAACGTTTAAAAAGAATTAAACAAAACATAAAATAAATGAAAATTGTATATATAATAATGAAACAGGCTTCGAAAGTGTTCTCTGGGATTATTTAGAAAATTAAACCATATCTATCCAAAACAGTGAACATTTATAATTAAAGTGATTAATTTTCCTTAGTTTAAAAATGAAGTAAGCATTTAAGGCATTGTGATCGAAGTGTCATAACAAATTTACAGGAAAATAAAAAATAAAAAAGCTGTTCATTAAATCATGTTTAATGAAAATAATATATTACGAATAAAATAATGAAAATAATACATTATGACCACTTGATATAAATCTAAGGTCACCTTTAAAGACTCTGTTAATACTAACAGATTTATAGTATCAATTTTTCAACTAAAAGTGAATTTTTGTTGGACTTTAAATCAGAATATACTGCATTAATGATTATTTCTAGATCACTTAGAATGAAAAAAAAAAAATTAATAATAATCATGATTTTGTTGACACGAAAATTATTTTGCCCTAAAACGCTTCATATATGAAGAATAAGGGTGAAAAACAGGTGCAATTTTTTTTTTTTTTTTTATGGTTAATCAGGATAAATTCATTTAAATGAAAAGCTGTATACTTCCTGAGAGTTGAAATAAGAAAAACAAAATATTATTGTTTGTATAATTTATTTTTTTGCATTATAATTCCCTTCATGTTCAGCTTTTCATTTTTAATCCATTTAAAGTGGCTTACCTCGTTTCTTTTACTTACTCTTCATATGTGATTTACTAACTACTCTGCAACAGGCGATTAGTTTAAAACTAGCTCAATCCACTTTTATTTAAAGAATGTTTTAATTTTATTTTCCACCTGTCATCAATGCACTACATCACCTAGCAAAGCTGTATTGACTAAGAGTGCCTCGATGGGTTCAAACTAAATAGTTATCTATTTAAACTGAACAGGGCTATTTCATTCAAATATAGGACAATCATATGTTTGCAGTGTCTCTTGTAAAATCTTTAAAGATAGATTGAGCATGGATACTAAATCACTTCAAATACAGAGAGAAGGGGAGACAAAAATTGTAACTAGAGATAAATTAAATATTAAGGAACAGCTGTTTTTGTTTTAATTTTCAGTCATCACAAAGTAGTAAAACTTCAATAGCTGAACTAAAAGATTAAAAAGGCAACAGCTGGAGCTTCTGGTCGAAGAAATAAAAAGGCAGTTTCGTCTTCATGTCAGGTCCATAAGATTACATAAATGAATCTTTTTTCATAATAATTAAAGCAATACGGACGTTTGCCATGAGCATTTTTCTATGATTTGCTATTCCAAACCAAAATTTCTGATAGAATGTAGCTTATTTTAGAAAGCCGATAATTAAGTGAGTTAAAGTGTATCAGCGGAATTATGCTAGTAAAACAATCTTCAATTTACAATATTAAAACTAGGCAAACGTGATTAATATCAACAGAGCAAGTTAAGCTTCCGTCGGCTTGTCCTTACTCTGATAGTCATTGATTATAATTGTGCTTCCAGCCTAAAAAATAAAGAGGATATATATTGGAAAAAATGAAATAATTTCGAGAATTCACCAAAGTTGAACACATTACCTTTCATATTATATATATACAATTAATGCACCACCCGTGGTCATAAAACATACAGAATTACCCTTTACATGTGGGCATATGTATATAAATTTATCTATATATTATGAAAAATGTAATTAAGTCTGCTAGCATATACAGCTTATATATTTATATGAAATATATATGTATGTACATATTTACATCACAGATTCAAAAATTAGTACAGTTATTTTTAATGAAAGACTTAGCATGGATAACCATGATTGACTTGGATTTCTAGTCATTGAGAAGAAATTATCAATAGTAAGAAATGGTTACAGGCGGCACTAACTCTAATATCTTTGAAGCTGTCGCGAGTTAGGCGACGCTGCGGAATAGATGTGCTTTTCTTCCAAAACCTTAATCAACGTTATAATACCTGTACTAACATGTAATTATAGCACAGGAAATGTAATTAACTTCATATGTTGCTTTTACATTTACAATAGGCAGGTTTATAAACAGAGTTGATCACATTTTTAAAACTGCATACGCTTTACTCGATAAATTATTAAATTTTTATCAAATGTCATTGAAACATGATAATAAAAATCAAAATGTGTTTCACAAAGTATAATCATTTAAAAATGTATCATTCTAATTGGAATATATGAACATTAATTGAGGAATGATGTATTGAAAAGAAAGAAAGTAGGTGGAAGAGATTACAAAGAAAAAATCGAGTAAGAGAAGCATAATGCCAGCTGAGAGGCAGATCGCGATGCAGAAAGAGCTGAGAAAGACGTGCATCAAATAGTAATACGGTTGTATTTGTTATATAACGCTCTAAAGTATTTGTTGTCAAGTTTTCCAAACTTCGAACACTGGCCGCCAGCGACAAACCTCCCCGTTGTGGGCGGATCAGGAAGGGTTACAAGTAGCCAATTTGCGAACCGAAAGGCAAGAAGAAGCATTTGATGATGAAGACTTCTTTCCCGAAGTCCAAGATTTCTTTCCTTCAGAGCACTTTTGCTTAGCCAATTCTTCTTCAGCTTGCCTCCTTTCCTCAGCTAAAGTAAATAAATTTTCAATTTAGTTTTATTAATATTAGAACATACATCATGTACATCTTTTACAGATAATATCTTTCAGTCAATTATGATTAATAATAACAAGAACTAAATTTAATAATTAATTGATTGTTGTTATCAATGATTTACAATTTAAATTATTATTTTAAAATAAAATCATTTTACCAGAAGCGTGGTATTTAATAAATACAAATATAACAGCCACTTCATTGAAAGTGGCATCCCGAAAATAAGGTTTTTAAAACCATAGCATACTCCACGTGTTGAAGTTGAGAAAATTATTTAAGAAAAGTGTGTTGAATATAGCCATTAACACACTCGATTTTAACGCAGTATGTGGCTATGAAAAGATGTGCTAATTTCGTAAATGCGTGGAGAAGGTTATAATGAGATTCTTTAGTTTTTTTTATTACAAACAATTGACTACTTACGTGAAAAATAATTTGATGGACAAAGGGAATTATAAAATTCGTTTTTGGAGTTTATCAATTCTAAAGATAGGAAATTCTATTCCGAGGGAATGGAATAGTTGCCAACACGGCAGAAATGTATTGACAGTATAGGAGACTATTTTGATTAAATAAAACAGTTTTAAATCTTTCTTATTGTCATTTTAAAACAAAATCCTGCATTATTTTCTAGACAACCCAATAACATTAAGTTAGCATACAAATGTTGTATAAAATTGGTGGTGAATAATTTCTTGGTACTTTTTGTCTAAGCGGCCGCTACTGACTGCTATCTGCCAATGTTTATAACCTGAACACTGATAGCTCCCATAACGCAGTGATAAGCCTTCTCCTACTTCACATCTTCGTATTATTGTATTGAATTCGTATCATTGAAAGTGTAAACAGATACAGAAATAAATGTAATAACAACAAAAATACTTTTATTTGACGACAAATATATTAATGAAATAATAAAAAAACAAATTTAAAAGAACATATTTACTTAGAAAAGAAAAAATATCAACACTATAAACAACGTATATACAAATTATTTTTAGTTAATTATTCACTTCCTTTTGTCTTATTTATTTTGGAAGGCTAAATTGTTTTATGCTACTTAAAATAGCAAGGAACGGGTCCTCGTCTCTGTGAACCCGCTGCCACAAAAATTTGCACAAATATGAATCGAGGTGTTGCCTGGCAGTTCCTCTATGTACTTTATTTCTCCACTTAGCTGAGCCCCACAATCGTTCTATGTGTTGAGTATGAACCCTTGTTGATGGATCGACAAAATTATACCAGTGATTCACTTGGAAATGGTCATAGTTTGCTTCGTTCAGTTGTCGGGTGTTGTATCCTTTCCAACAGTCCAAATAAATGATCGTTCCCTCTTCTATATTTTCTTTAATGGCTTGTAATAATGTTGTTGTCTTTCTGTCAATTATTTTGATGATAAAACATTCATCTGTTTCTCGGCAAACTCCACTAAACATCCACCAATGATAAGCCAGCAAGTACCCCAACATTTTGAAAATACTGAATTGCCTGTTCTTCTGAAGACGGTAAATCCCATATTCTAAGAAGATCCATAATATGACGAAAATAAACGAAAAAAAAAATGAAAAATAAACACCAAGGGACCACAAACTAAAAAAAAAAGTAAAATAAACACAAACGGACCAAAAACTAAAAATAAACACAAACGGGCCAAAAGTAAACAATTTAATAAGTGAACGTAATAAGGGAATAACTGAAAACTAAACAATGCAATAACTCAAAAGTTTGGCGGGTTAAGAAGAGGGAGGTTATGTGACATGATGACATGACGTTAGATAAGATAGATAAGAAGTGAGGTTTCAAAACGGCCGCTTAGACAAAAAGTACCAATTTCTTTACTTAAATAATAATTCTTCCATCATCAAACTACAGCATACCAATGTAAATAACAAAAAGGAAATACTTTTTTTTGTATTTTGTACTTCAAAAAGGAACAAAAACAATGTTTTTTGAAGTGAAAACTTCTTTAGGCGCGTTCTGCACTTTTTTGTAGAGAGTGAATTAGATTGATCTGTCAGATTTCCGAAGTGTTAACGCTCGGGTAATTTAAATGTTTTTATATATGATGGATGATAAATATTCAGGACGCAGTCATTATAAGGTTTTTATTAGTGCCGACGTTTCAACCCAAACATGTGGGTCATCATGAGGGTGTGGTTCGAGTACTAAAGATATTCAGGTACTCGTCTTGAAGATCTTCAGTGCTCGAACCAAGCCCTGATGATGACCCACATGTTTGGTTTAAAAAGTCGGCACTAATAAAAACCTTATAATGACTGTGTCCTGAATATTTTTCACCCATGATATGTAGAACAGTCGACTAACTTCCTTCAATAGTTTTTACATATGGATTAAAATATCTCAGAAACTAAAAATGGCACCTGTATACTGTAAGCGAGGGGAATGTTCATCATTTCATCATTTTACAATGAGTTATTATTTATGATTTATATTTCATATTATTAATCATGCCTTGTTGATGTTTTCACTTCTATAGTGTGGTCTAAAGCGTACATCTTAGTTTTTATATTTTATTTCTTAATATGCAAAATAAAATTTTAAAAAAGAATTTTGTATTATATATTTGAAAATATTTTATTTGAAATATTTCTCAGGTCTGTTACGAAGGAAGATTTGAATGAAATGATGTATTGGTGAGAAATAAAAATACTAAATATATACTTGATATAAATAAAAAGCACCTTGAATCTGGCGCTCGGTGATATACTGGTTGGAGCCACCTTCCGGGCCGTAATGGTAGTCGTACAAGTACGGGAGCACCGTCATCGAGTGACGATAGTTTCCTCTCAACGGTGGCACCAGCACGATCTGTTCTGTCAAGGCTGGCTTACGAACGACCCACCTAAATTACCAAAGCATACAATTAATAGACAACTTGCCATAAACATACAATAGGAGATATTCAATCGTAAAACAAATGAATATAACAAGAATGTCCATAATAAGTTAAATTTGTACAAACATCCAATGATCACTAATATTTAATAGATTTTACTTTTTTTTGTATTTTACATAAATTAGATTATTCATTACTATGTAAAATTATTTTTTGCATATTTAAGACATTTTTAGGAAGTACTTGAATGCAGATTTTCACATTATTCTCAAATGCACTTTGAATTTGTGTGAACAACTCTGTATTTGAGATATTTTTGGAGTGAAAGTACAAAAGCACGTCAACAATGTCTAACCCTTGACTTTTTAAAGGGATTACTCTTGCCAATTTAGGTTTTTTTTTTTTTTTTGTCGAAAAATGGAAAACAACATATAAATAAATAAGCAAATAACTATTAAGCCAATAAAACAACACACATTTTTTAAAGTAAAATTATCAATATACAAGCCAAATAATATCAGTAAATTTTATATATAAAAATTAAATACATCATAGACTAAAAACAAAGCAAGCCTGTAAATAAACAACCTTAAAACAATAAGTAACCATTTAGAAGTACAATTTATTAAAATGTGAGGTTGAAAAATAATCATGGCCAGCTATAGTTTATATTCACTCCACATATTGCTCAAAACGGACAAATTAAAAAAAAAATCAAACATTATTTTTCAAAATTATTTCAATCTAAATGATGGATGATGGATCACTTGTTCTCGTTCAGAATGATTGTAGAAAAGGCTTAGGATCGAGGGAAGAATATGTACCTCACTTTCTTGGATCGTAAGGCAACCTTTGGATTTGGGATGCATTACATAAGAAGAAAGTCTGTCCTAATCTGATAGAGGCTATAAAGTCAGCCAATCAGGAACCTAATGGAGTGGTCCGCCTCAGTGGAAAGGAGTCCGGATCATTCTCCTTCAAAAAGGGTGTCAAGCAATAGGACACCGTAAGTCCCCTACTTATCATAACATTTACGGGTGAGAATCTTAAGATCTTAAGAACTGAGGAATAATCCAAGGCAGAAATGAACTCTGGGATGTTCTTTGCAGCCACTGCTAAGTTGACCTGGCCTTGTCAGCTGTAGCGGAATCCTGCAGGAAAATCCAATGACTTCCAGCAGAATATCATTTAAAGGCTTGACAACAGGTTCCAAAATATCGTCCTGATAGTTTTTAACAATTGTTTTAACTCCTTTTTTGCAAAAATGGAGCTTTGTGGTCCCATCAAAGCAAACTTCCCACCTAGCCATCACTGAAGAAGGGTGATGACCTACATTTTCCGACTTTGTGTAAGGCGATCACAGCTATTCGGATTTATTTATCATCCCACTCCATTTTAACTGAGCGAAAGACAAATACAAACTAATTGGGATTATTATCCTGACATGTAAAGAAATAACCTGACAGAGGTAAGGATTATCTAAATAATACTCAAGGATGTAAACAAAGTTCAACTTTTGTTACAGTACTTATGGCAGAACTAGGTATGGAGGTGAAACCTTAAGGACGAAGACCTGTGTAGCAACCCAGGATAACTTGCAGAGAGCACCTTGCAGGGCTGGGAAAGATGAGAGAAAAGACATGGAGTCAAATGGCCGAAGATAGAAATGAGTGGAGGAAGTGCAACGAGGCTCACACCCGACGATGAAAAGCACAAGAACAAGAGGAACATGAAGAAGTTTTTCAAAGTTGTTTATACTTAAGCATACAACTTGTATCCACGTGATGAAAAAAGAAATTAAATGACTATTATATTTAAAATATAATACTCACGGATGAGACATGATCTGCTGAAGGCTAAACCTCAGGTGAGGTTCACGATGAAGCATGCCCTCAAGGAGGTTTCGAAGGTGATCGTCTACTTCATCTGGTATTGTAACCTCACCACGACCAATCACCTCAAATAGTCTATAAATGTTATCACCTTCAAAAGGATATTTTCCAGTCGTCAAGTTGAACCTGCATCCATAACAAACGGGATAAACTTAATTTATAATTTAATAAGTTACAGATAATAAAAATAAAGTAGGTTTATAAGGATAAAAGATAAATAAAGGTCATAGTATAGATATAGTGGATCTTTCTTTTAATTGAAATTGTAAAACTCAGGATTTGGATATAAAGACTGTAGAGAGATATAAAATCTGTTTAGGGAGTGGGGTAGCTCAATGGATAGAGCACTGGATGTACTTGTGAACTACGCTGTAGGGATGGACTGTTATCTCCCAATGTTTATAACCTGAACATTGAAGGAACCAAAGGAATACGAGCGCGTCCGAAAATTAGAACAGATTTTCATACGTATCATAAACTTAATATAATAATGTTTCCGACAATACAGCTGTTTACAATAAAACAGCTGTTTTCATTGGTATTATTTAATATTTACTTGTATAGATTACAGTGATATAAATATTAAAATTTTTATATATAAGGGTACTAAATATAAATAAATATAGCATCTATAATTTAACTAACGATTACCAACAAGACCAGCCAATATCACGCTCATCCGCCACCAGGTTTTTCCCCTTAATTAATTATTTAATAAAGAGTACCCACTTTTACTTTCACTTCCCCTTTGTCTGAAAACACTTATTTCTATTAAGAGGGTGGTGAGTGAAAGTTGTGTGATGTGCACACCGCATCAGATTTTTTAATTTTTAGCCCTGATGACGATCCAGATGCTTGGGTCGAAACAAAAATTAGATTGAAAATTCTAACAATCACCCAAGATAATTATCAAAATAGCCAACAAAAATTCATTTAAAAGTAAGTATAAATATCTAAACAAGAATACCGAACCTACAGGGTGACACCAGAGCTCCAGATGTCGATCTTGAAACCTGAAAACCTCTCCATTCCGTTGGCTATCTCGGGAGGCTGGAACGCAGGGGAGCCCTGACTGGTGAAGCAGGTATCATCGGGTGCAAACATGTCCAGAGCCTGTAACAACATATCATTGAGAAGACGAAATATTATTTCAAAATCATGAGAAATTCTTGATAATCTAAGGTCAAAATTTTTTACCCACACCTTGATTGACTCGTTTTAAAATAGCCATGTTTACTAAGGCCCAGTAGTGTGGGGAAAAAAATAGCATTCTGTGAATGAACGGTTATTTTTTAATTGGTTTTAAACCTTACATATCTTGAAATATAAAAACTCTGTTTTAAGGGGAAGGGGTTCATTTTTTTTTCTTGACCGACTAAAAAGATTCATCATTGAAAATAATAAACAAAAATCACAGCGTCAAGAATCAAAGTTGCAACTAATAAAACCAAAACTAATCTCTCTTTTAAGTCATTTCTTAGCTACCAAAATTAGCTATTCCATGGTGTATGAAAATTTAACCAAGATATTAAAGTTCAGAACTGATGGCTTTCTAAACTTCAACAAAATTTACTGTGCTTTTTCCACTTTTCCGATGATAAAAAATTTCTTACATCTTTCCGAATTTTCTAGAATTCCCACTGGTAGATACATTGTTGTCTTCCTTGAAGGTTAAGACTTTGTGTCTTTGACACAAACATGTGTATTTTATAATTTAAAAACACATTTTCAGAATGATGAATACGAAAATTATGTTTTTCATGTTCAATAGGTCGACGCTGTGAGAAAAACTTAATTTAAAACTGGAGAGAGCCTATTTAAGTAGGCCGAGGATCGCTTCATGCATCTGATGCTACATAAAGAAGAAGAAGAAATTTATTAAACTGAAAGCATGAGTAATTTGACACAGTTAGCACACTTACCTCAGCTACTCCTAAATCGGAGATTTTCAGAGTACCTTCCAGTGTCAACAAGAGATTTCCCGGCTTTATATCCTTGTGAACAATGCCATGAGAATGAAGATATTCAAGTCCATCCATAAGCTGGCAAAAATATCTGAAATAGATTTTATATCAGTGTTTAAGATAAAATTTAGAGCCAAAAAATCAAAAGAGAAAAAAAAGAAAGACATTTACTAACCCATGCGCTTGCCAGTTTGGAAACTTTTTCAAAGGAGTACTTTCTAGCATATCTTGAAGTACTCCGACACAGTATTCCATAACTAGGTACATTTTTTCTTTTTCATGGTTATAAAGTACGTCGACCATCTCTATCACATTCTTATGTTTTAATAACTTTAGAAGTTGAATTTCCCTAAAAATTTAAAATTAATACAAATTATATCAAATAATCATAGATATGCAAACACTGCATGATTTCCTAGGAATAAGAGAAAAAAAGAATTTATTTCCTAAAAACAATAAGCAGCAAATCACTAATAAAAGTTTGCAAAAATAGGAACAAAATCAAACATAGAATTTTTCAATGATAAAATTTCAATAGATACATAATTTGAAACTAGTTCAATAACCGAAATTCTTAACTTTTAGTAGCTTGATATTCCAGGAGAAGTTATCCAATTTTAAAACATTATAATCTTTTCCACATTATATTTTTCATTTTAACATTTGATTCATTACACTATTTTCTTTTTATAATTTTTATCATGCCCATCATTAACCTGTATGTTTCATTTTTCTTTAATAGTTCATACTGTATAATTGATATCAGGCTGATTGTATTCAAGATGAAACAGAGAGAAACACTTTATTTTCATAAAAATATAAAATATAAAAGATTGCTGCTCAATTATATTAGATTGCTATATGCATAGCATACTCTTTAATCCTTAGATAAGTTGAAAAGAGTATCATACTTTTAAGAATGGGTAAATAACTTAAAAAGTCAAGCAAATAAAAATTAAAAATCACTTTGAAGGTGCAATAAATATCTTCCAAAACTATGATACATTAATAACAGCATTTGCTTTTAACGAGACCTTACTTTTTTAAAAAATTCACTTTTTTATGACGGTTAATATAAATCTAGTATTTCTCAGTTCAGCAATAGTCAACCACTTTCAAATTAAGTACCTATTACAATTTTGATAACAAAAATTCTCTTCAGAAACAATCAATAGTTACATAGTACCAAATTAAGTGAAACAAGGATGTTCCATCGTAGTAATCAAATTTTAGGAAAAAACCTCACCCACAGCCAGTGAAATGGTTCTTCTGTTTGCGAACAGTGGCATTATCACCGAGGATGATCCACTGTTGCATACAGTTTAAAGACGAACAAGATAAAAATAATAAAAAGAAAACATTATAATGAACCAAACATTAAAATGAAAATAAAATGTAGAAAAGAGTATAACGCTTATTAATATTTTTATGGAAAAATACTTGTATTATTAAACTACAATTCAGGCGGGAAAAAATGTTCGATTTTAACAGGTTATTCAATATCAAACCCTTCAAAATACTCTCCTTAAGACACAATTATGACATTTCCGTTTCCAGTGTTGAAAGGCTCTTTAAAGTCTGATGTTCTTATGTACTGTTTCATCGTATGTTTTAATGGCCTCTTAATCACCCAAATGCCATACCCCAATGCACTATTTTTTATTAAGAAAACAAGGAATAGTAACATGGTGCCATACTAAATGAATTAGGAGATGTTGTATCATATTAATCAAATTTGAGTACAAAATCCCACCTAAAACCAGAGAAATATGAACAGGAACATTGTCCTGATCCACTCCACCACTAGGGCCATATTGATTCGAAAATGAGCCACACAAGCTTTAAGATGTCAGCTTCTATCAACAATCTGACTAGGAGGGAAGAATTCTCAGAGGACAATGCCCGGTGACATCAGCTTTGTTTTGACATTCACCTCAATTTCTTGAACTTTTGCTTCTTTGGCTTCTGAGCTTCCTGTTACTAATTTGCAATGGATTAGATTCTCTTACGTTACGCAATAAATGTGATGCTCTTCAAAGGTAAAACCCCATGCCAACAACGTGGGAAAAACAGCCAAGTTTGAAAAAACATAAGACAAAGTGATTTAGAATGGTCGGCACAAGTGCCTAGTGTCTCAGAGTTAATTTAAAGAGCATATATTGAATTAGCTGATAAATTTTGTTTCTACATTTATGTGAACTTACAAGAAATATTTCAAAAAATAAAGAATGAAATGCCTATCAAATTACAGAGCATTCAATATTATCTTTTCGGATATGTCTATTTGAACGGTAAGAGAATACTAGTCAACCGAATGGTCCAAGATAGCTATTAAGTAATAAATAATTATGTACCATAGCGAGACTCCGCCCGAACCTTAGAAAATTATCACACTCACTGGATTAGGCTATTCTTTACTTTTTATTCACATTCCATAATCCATAAAACAACATTCATGCATTGTTTTTGATGATATTTTACCCACATCCCATGAAAACATGATCCTAGAGTACTTGATTACATAATAATATGTCAATCCACATTTTATATAAGTCAGAAAAAAATTTTATTTAAAAAAAGCAGTTTATCTCAGCTATCATTCAGCTCGCAACTTCTATAACAAATGAGCTGTTTTCATAAAATCTGTTTAATGAAGCCTCAAATCAATTAAGCTTGTAATTCTTCAAAATAAAGCAAGTTATCAAACAAATGAACATACAAATTAAACAGGGATTAGGGGGAAGACGGATTGTGTTAATTAGTTTGTGAAAGACTGTCATCGATTTTCAAAAACAGAGCATCTCCTAGATTCTGAGCAGTTTACGGTATCAACAAGAATGTAAATAACAAAAAAAAAAAACCAGTATTGACAATATTGATAACAACACAAACACAAAATATTTCTGATTTTATATAATAACTTATATCTAAATGACTGTAAGACAATAGTACACAAACATACATATGATGAACACAAACATATAAATAAATCTTTAAACAGTTTACCTTTGAACGTTTTGTTCACCATTAGGAATCCTTCTGAGCTTCCTCTTTTTTAGAATTTTTACAGCTCTTCTACATAAAGTCTCTGAATCCAACATTTCTTTGACCTTCCCATAACTACCTTCACCTAATAAATCACCCATCACATATTTCCCTACCATTTTACACCTTTTTTTCTTCGTTTGGTATATAATTTCATCTGATTCCACTCGGTGAAAAAACAAAATATCACTGTCATTTTCCTCATCATTTGCCCAAGACGAACTAGGCTCCCTTAAGAAATCACCAGCAGTTTCTATACCATCAGAATTAAAATCATTTATTGTCATATTATTGTCCATAACTGTTAAGGAATCATTTCTTAAACACTATAACCTTTCAACTACCTAGAGATGGCAACGAAACATCGATATTATATGATAAATATAATCCTTAGATTAATATCGATTAAGAACTAAAGTTTATCGATAGATGATTTATGAAAAATTGCAATATATACCACTAAATTTTACTTATATATCACTTTAACGATAGAAATAGATTACTACACCTTGGACTGATAACGATATTAATGGGGGACTAATCTGGCAAGTGTGCTTTAATACTTATTTCACTGACTCCTAATGATTAGATAGAGATTGCCACTTATTACACTAGGCATGTCATGATTCATTACTTGGAACCACTAAGAAATAAATATTAACTGATCCAGTTGGGAATCGAACCAACAATGTTCGAAATCGAACGCTGTGGGACCCAGGCACCAACGATCTTGGCCACACGTCCGCATCAAACCGTAGAAATCAGAAATGGGTCAGTTTTCACAGAACGGGAGATTAGTTTAAATTGATAATTACTTCAATATACCATCAAGAGACATGTCATGTAACTGCAGCTCAAGTTTCCCAAAGAGACGATGTACAATAAAGAATACGTTCAAGGTCGTATTCAATGATTAGGAAGCTTCTGCTTGATGAGTTGCTAAAGAATGAATGATCAAATCGGGGTCATCATTCGTCAGCGGTACATCATCCTAATATCAAATTAATGTAAAGAAGGCAGGATGGTTGGCTGCTGCCAAACATAGATCTTCTTGAAGGCACCTATGATGTTAAAATTATAAGGATGCGTCAAACAGAAATGGAAACCTGTCTATAATTAAAGCAAACGTCTTAGCCGATTTCGAGAATATTTTACAAAATTATAAATTCAATGATATAAAGGGGCACATCCCGTAGACTAATTTTAGTCAAAACTTTGCTATAACATTCCACGATAAACTACTAAGTGACGTATTTTTGTTAAAAATTGGCAGTAATTACAAAGCTGTTCTTTATTGCTAACCCGATAGAAACGTAAATGCTGTAATTATTTACTGTAGAGCTCACAATGAACTGATTCCTGGGCATCTGTCTCAATATACAGTGCAATTTCTCTTAACAGACATTTTTATAGACCCCATCAAGTTTTAAATCCATTAAGGTTTGGATGATCAGTAAAAAAAAAAAATACTTATATATTTTTACTGATCGCCCCAACCAATCTTCTCTTTAATTAAACTATTTTACAGTATTCAGATCATCCAAAAATCGGACGATCTCTATAACAGAAGCAGAAAGAATATTGATTGATAAGATAATATTGATAACATGCGCTCAGATCTTTCTGCGAGACTTGGTTATTTGAACTCAGAAGACCTTGAAACATGGATTTCTGTTAAAAATTCAGATTTGAAATCTTGCATGGTCCCAATACTTTACCTTACTACTGTTATGTTTCTTATATGCGTAAGAGAACGTTAAAGTTAAAAATACCGCATAAAATTTAACATTATTAACAAAATGTTGCATATAAATCTGTTCTTGGGGATACAGAAGATTCATATTTGTATTAATTTATATAATTCATTCTATCCAAAAACATTTAATAGCCTTGTGGAAAAAGCAAACAGTAAAACAGAAAGATTTATGAAATAATTTCAAAGAAACGTGTTAAAACAAACTGAATTAAAATAATTTAAAAACATTTTAGTTGAAAAAATAACATTTACATTTTTTTAAATTAGATGTAAGTTTTTCTATGTATTCCAATGAATTTTCCATTCCAGATTTTTTTTTCAAATTAATCAAATTACTCAACTAATAGTAATTAGTTTAATTTTAGATTTGATATGTTGTGTTAAAAGTAAAACTTTTGTTTTGTAAGATAGAAAGTGTTTACGTCCTCAATCCTCCAGATTCTTCCATGCAATGCAATTTTTCCTTTTACATTAAGGTCAAACCAGAGAGGTTTTAACTATATGATGAATACTCTCTTTGGAAAAATATATAAGCCTTACAGTGTAGGTTATTAAGCCTCGTGATATTATTGTTGTTTTCACACAGGACTAATGGAGAATACTGTTAAAAGTAAGAAAAGGGGGAAGAAATCGCATTCCCCTGTTATTGATAGCAATTCTAGTGATGATAAATCTAAAGTTAAGAAATCGAAGAAGAAACAGAAAATTAGTTCAAATTTTATCGATGAAAACCAGGAACCGTCAAAAACAGATTTGGTGCCAATGAAGAAGTTTAAGAAACTGAAAGAAGTACCACAGGAAGTAGATACTGAAATAACCACTAAGCCAGAAAAAACTAAGAAGAAGAAGAAGGGAAAAAAATCTAATAATATTGATTCAGAGGATGTTACTGACTTCAATAATTCTGTTGCATTAAAATCAAAGAGTGATGAAATGGATGTTGATTCTTCATCAAATGATGAGTCAGATATATCTGATGGTGAATCCGCGAATAGTGTATCCTCATTCAATATTGACAGTTACCCATCAGATGATGATGATGATGAAGATGATAACCCATCCTCAGATGAAGAAGAAGCGAACAAAAAACGTGGTCTTCCTATTAGTGCAGTACCTTCAGCTGAATTGGAAGAAAGGGAAAATCGAACAATATTCATTGGTAATCTTCCAAAAACAGTTGAAAGACATGAACTGCGGAAGTGGTTTTCTAGATTTGGAAAAGTTGAATGTGTTAGATTGAGAAGTGCTCCCCTTGCTGATCTTGAAATGCCCAAAAAAGTTGCTGTAATCAAGAAATCTTTTCACGAAAATCGATCAAATATTCATGCTTACATTAGGTTTAAAGATATCGAAGGGGCACAGAATGCATTGCAAGCTAATTGTACAAAATTTGGTGAATTCACATTGCGGGTTGATAATGCACGCCACAAAGGGGGATATGATGGGAAAAAGGCAGTTTTTGTTGGTAATGTTCCATTTAATGTTGAAGAGAACTCCTTCATCAATTTATTCTCAAAGTGTGGGGAAATTGACGGTGTTAGAATTATCAGGGACAAAGCAACTGGAGTGGGTAAAGGTTTCGCCTATGTCAATTTCAAATGTTCATCATCTGTCCCTCTTGCTTTAAAGCTTGATGGTGAAGTTTTAGAAAAAAGACAGCTGAGAGTAAAACCAGTCAAATATGAAAAACGTTCTCACAAATCACCAGGAAATTTTTCACAAATAAGAAATAATTCCAAGTTTAAATCTGGCTTTAGGCAAGGTAAGACCCAAGGATTTGGTGAAATGAAGAACAAAGGTACTTCAAAAAAACCTCCTTTTAAAAATAATAAATTCCAAGGTGAATTTAGCAAACGAAAAGAAAAAAGTAAATTTAAAAAGAAGTCTCTTGCTACTAAGAAACATGAAATTTATTCTAAAATACTTGCAAATAAAAAGAAATCAGCCTAAGTCCACATATTATGTTGTATATAAATTTTTAATGTGAAATAAAATTATAATTGTTAAATTGAATTGTCTTCATCATTGGTACTTGGTACTTTTTTACCCTTTAAAGTTTCTGTAAATTTAATATCCAGTGAATTGTAAAATGTTCTGCTTTTACTATTATTGTCTGCAGTTATTTGTAAACATGAAATTTTATATATTTTATAAGCAGGATTGTTTATGATTGTTTTTAAAATACTGAATCCCTAAAATGTGGAAATATTTCCATTTATAAATCATCGACCAGTAATAGTTCGAAACAGGCTGGAACAAGTAATGAAGTAGGACCTGGTTATCGTTATGAGATTGCTGTTCTCCAACACCAGAATAAGTATACATTTAAAGACAAAGTAGACCTAAGGAATGTTTATCATTCCACAGTTTGTACCCTAACTTAGCCTATTACATTTTTCATTCAAAAGTATATGACAACAAACGAAAAAAAAACAGTAAATGTAAATCATTAAACTAGTTTTGCTTCCATTTAAGTATTCATATTAGGTCATGAATTAAACTTAATAATATTATTAGGTTGAATTGTATCTTCTTCTGTAAGGCTTTTAAACAGTTAATTATCATCTTACTTTATCTAAAGTAGAACAGAATATTCAGTTCAGATCTCAACTTAAATTGAATTTTTTTTTTCTGATCTATCTTATTAAAATATTTTGCTGAATTGATGTACTTTTATTTTTAAAAATCTTTATTAAAATTTTGTATTGAATCAATGGGTTGCTACTTTGCTTTGATAGAACAACATTTTATTTATTTCAAAAATAAAATAAGTTAACTCATGTAAAATAAAACAGTTATAATTTATTAGCCAAATATATCTTTCTATACTTTTCTGCTCATTTATAGAAATAAGGACCTTCATAATATTAATATAATTTGGAAAAATCAGACAAGTTAGAGGGAAGTAATCCTTGCAGATAAATAAAAAAATAAATAATAAAAATAAAATAAAATACAGACAAGGTAAGAACAAGAACAATTATGCTTCCTTTTAGGGATTTCTTAATTTTTTTTTTTTTTTTTGTAGGTGCTTCACATTTAATAGTTTAGTTTTGTAATTAAAAAAAAAAGATAATGTGAGAAGGAGTTAGTCGAGGGTGCGGTCTAATAAATAATAAATTAAAATATATTAATTATTATAATTTATTTATTATTTAATTATTATAATATATTTTAATTTATTATTTATTTGACCGCACCCTCGACTAACTCCTCATATTATATCAACGGTCAACCATCTCTACATCATTAAAAAAGATAATGTTGTGATTGTTAAAATTATTTAACTCGAATTACTCACAGAAACAAATGTGGACCAATGAAAAAAAAATATTTTTAAGGGACCTGCTACTTCACATAGATCCACTGGTGAGATTTTATTTTATAATGGTGTATTATCTAAAAGACAGTTATAGCATTGTTTTTATGTTATTAATATTAAAAGGGTATTATAAACCAAACTTAATTAGTTCATTTTCAGGATGTTTATACATAGAGTAAATAAAAAAATATAATATACATATATCTGATTATTATGTGGAACTACCATCCCAGTCGACCATGCATTTTCAATTTTATCTTTTGGATATAAATGAATATATTGATGTAAACTAATATAAAAATAGACTTATTAACATTGTCTATTTAAGTTTTAATGTTATTTATAATTTGATTTAGTAAATTATGTATTATTTATAATTTGATTTTTTTAAATATGTATTGTTCTACTTTTTTTTTTCGTAAGTACAAATCATTATATTTACTTCTTCACTATGTCATTATGGTCATTTATACTAGCTATAAATATATTACTTTAAAAAAAATATCATATAATTTCTATTGTTTAAATATGAAGTTTGAATGATGTATAATTTTAAATGATATTTATTTAATTATTATTTATAACATTTATATAAAATTTTGATATTATGAAATGAAATAGTAACTTTTTCACTCCTTTTTTATATTTGTTCTATTTTTAATATTCTATAGCAGAATGATATTTTAAAATCAGTTTAGAGAATCCCTAAATATATAAAATCTTGGCCTTGAACAGTGCTCTTAAAACCATAACGAAAGGATAATCTTTTAGTAAACATTGAGTTTGACTATTGTTTATTATAGATAAGCCTATCGCCAAAATATATTTTTTATACTTGCATTTGATAAATACCTATCAAAATATTTTTGCTACGTCAATAGTAGTCTTATCACAATTTTACTAAATTAAATTAAGTTGGACAATGGTTTTTCTAATCTTCTTGACAGCACTTCATTAGAAGATTTATAGTACGCGACATTCGTAATTTTTACGTCGATAAACATTAAAATTTAAAGCAAAAAAAGGCTATAAGCTGTTGGAATGGCATTCAAAATGTGAAATATTTCCTATATTTTGTTATTTGTTCTAGTTAATAACATTGACTAGAAATATGTCTCGTTTTTTCGTCATCGATCTGGAATATTGATTAAAAAAAATCAATTGACAAAATCACGTGTGTCAAGATAAGACCAGTCCCGACCGGCTCGGGTTTCAATCGTGGTCAAGTCCATGAATAAGTAGCATGTCATTTATGAGATCGTGATGTGGGTTTTTTATTTGGTTCGGTTTTACCTTAGCAGCATGTGAATTTTACGTGATTTTGGAAGGACATGCTTGCAAATCGTAAAATTGTTTGCCATTACTATTAATTGGACCATTTTAACTTATTGCGTAATAGAATTAATATTGTATAATATTAATAAATTATAGTATAAAATATATGAAGAAATCAGTTTTGCAATTGGTGTTTGTTATCTTTGGGTATCTTATCAGATTATCTAAGGGTGTCAAAAGTCAGGGAAATAATTCAGTTTTGAATTTGGTTAGCTTCAGTCAATCTGTAAGTGTTGAATTCTTGTTAGTATTTTATTTAAATATATTAATTTATGGAAGTGTAGTAATTTTCTGTTTTTATCTTAATAAGGAAGTGAACCAACAGCATTAAGAATCAAAATGAGTTTGTTTAAATTTATTGAAAAACTTATAAACTGGTTCTACAGCCTCATAGGATTCTTCTGTATTGATTTGAAGGGGTAATTCAATTGGCATGCTGTTTAATGGAATGTTGTTTTTTTATGCTGTAACAGTTTTGAGTCCAATACAGTTTCTTTTAAAAGGGGAAAGTGTCTTGTCGAATGGTTTGATTTTTGAAAATATCCTTTAACTGTGATTAGATGTTTTCAAATTTATTGTGATCCTTGACTTAATTTCATTGCTTCGATTTTTATTAAACATTATATATATGTTTTGATATTCTACCATGCAATCATTTTTAGTTTGTATATATTCCAATTGGAACTAAAATTATAATTAACTCTACTTGCTGTATGTATAGTGTATCTAGCTTATTATTTCAAAATAATAAAAAAATATGCCTTTAGTTCATCTAGAGTAAGGAGACAGAAACTAGTTAAGGCACCTGATTCCTAACCTCATGTTATTCATGAATGACAATGTTATTATTAAGATGCTCCAACAACCTAATTTTTTATCTGTTTTCTGTCAGCTATTCATTTTTTGTGGATTCTAGGAAAGGCTGTCTATCTGCAGTTATCAAATCAACGAAGCTCACAAATTTTTCTTCAATATAAAATTCAGTGCACCTGACAATGATTTAAAGTGGATTCATTCAGCTTAAGAATTTAAGCACTCAATCCATTAGATTAACTATATCACTGTAATTTTTATTTTTATTATCAACTTCAGAATTAATATTTCACTTTTAATAATAAATAGATTTAATTTTATCACAATATTTTTTATCTAATAGGATTCTGTGTCATTTTTGTTCAGTTACTATAGTTATTATAAATATCCTGAACGTTTTAATTTTATGTTGATGACTCAGAACTAGTTTATAATAGCCCTTCATTTCAAATCCAGCAAAACTTCCCTCTATATTTTATCTTTTCTATTTAGGTCAATATTCCCCCACTCTCCCCCATTCATATCTTAATTGTAGGTCATGGTGCTTGAAGCTGTAAACAAATATTTTGATAATTTAAGTCATAGTTGTACACACGCAGATTTTATTGTAAATATATCAAAATTTTCTAATTAATTTTTTATTGTTCCTAACAGACTGAATTTTTTTTCTCAATATTCAATTTTTAAATTATTAAAATCTCAGAGAACAGAATAATTTTTGTTGGTTTGTTCATTATTAACTTTAAGTTAAAACATCTAATCTGTAAGATACGTACCTTGTCTTTTTGTTTGCTTAAGGGTAGGATTTGCAAAATGATCAAGGTTATTATATAATAACTATCTAACTTAATTTTTAAAATTATTTTAATTTTGTTACATTAAAAAAAAAAAATTGACTTTTTTATTGGATAATCTCCTACCCACCATTTTTGCCTATTCTAACCCAAGTGGGAAAGTCGAGTTTCATTCCATGGGTCTGCCATAAAATAAAAGTCAACCACCCCAGGCCAGATTCGAACTGGCATCGCTAGGTTCGAGGATGCTAAAACAGACAACACTCCTACACATTCGGTCATCACGACCTCAGGGACTTTTTATACTGATTAAATATGACTATGTAAAAATCTGAGTTCATTTTGCTAATTTTTTCCTCCCTGTGAGAAAAAACAATTCTCCCAAGGATGATGTTTGAATTGAAATTATTTTTTTCGAGTGATAAGTTCACGAAGTTTCGTGATAAATGTTTCTGTCAAAACTCAGAATTTTTTTCCAAAAGATCCATTTTCTCCACAATCATTAGTATTGTTTGATACTATACATAGTCGTAAAAGGAAATGGAAGTGATGCAAATGTATAAATTTAACTGATTAGATGGGTGGGAAAAAACATGGTAATTAATTGTAATAAATGAAGTTGTTGTCATTACATACAATTTTTTGTCAAATACTTATCTACTCTAAGGTTGACAAATGAAAGTTGTGTGATACATGCACTGCACCAGATTTTTTATTTAAAGCATTAGTATTGATTGTTATGGTGTCCATTGAGGATCACTCCATCCAACAGCTACATGCACACAGCTTTTAGGCTATGGTATAATAATTATAAAAATTGTTGGTCATTAAATACACTATAATTACAAGTTAATGATGTTATTTTAATATTAATGAAGATACAAATTTTCCTTACTAGATAATAAACACGTAAAATTTAAATGTTTACTACTTTTTATTTTTTGAGTAAAGATTATTTTAGATGATTAAATTATTACTACTATTATTATCGTCTGTTATCTTAAATTATTATTTCTATTACTATCGTCTGACCAGCCCTGATAAAGGTCTGAACTTTGGGCCTAAACGTAGGGAAAAATAAATATAAATATACTTAATTTTTTTTTTACTGAAAATCACAACCAATCTTCTATTACTATTATAGATGCAGTATTTTATTCTATCAATTCACAGAAGTTATATTTATCTCTGTGTTGAAATATTTAATACTCTCTAAATATTATTAGGTCCCACCCTCTACCAACTTCTTTTACCAAATGATCAATTGTCAAGAATATTTCTTTCTTCCACCCATTTGCCTTTCAATGTGGAGATGCTTTTAGCCATTGATGCTACACACTTTTATCCCTGCCAAGATTCCTCATTTCTTTCAAGGTCTTTCCTCTATGTCTCCATTTTTATTCTATGGAGTTGATATAAGAAGATGTAGTACTCTTGAAGTTGGAAACACTATTGTAAGATAACCAATGGTATGAGCAAGGAACTGACAGGCCATGATGTAGCCATATCTCCACTCTCATTATCATCAATGCTAATTATCTTTGTAAATATGCACCAGAAAAATGTAGGACTTTTTGCATTTTTATTTTTTTAATCTGGTCTTCAACGATGAGTAAATTTCCTGTTTGTTTAATTTGGACTGCACCTGGTATGAATAATACCCATTGTTAAATCTAGGTCCATATCCTGACTATGGTTAATAATTGTTCAATATTTTTAAAAGTATGATGATTTGTTCTTTATCTTCTTCTTTCATTGGCTCGACAGACCATTACTGATCCCTGTCCTCCTTCAATAACTTCGACCAGTCTGCACACTGTTGGGCAGCATTACTCCAGTCACTGACCCCCATGATCATCCGGGAGCTTCTTCTGCTACGCCATCTATCCATCCTCTATGAATAGCCTCGCTCATTATATTTCTGCGGATCTCATCCTCTGACATTTGTGCTGCATGGCCAGCCCACCTTAATCTTGCCAGCCTTATATGCTTCACAATGTCAGGTTCATTTAGGAGGTTATATATTTCTTGATTGCTCCTCCTAAGGTAGGCCTGACCAACTCTTCTAGGTCCACAAATGCGCTACAGTATTCTTTTCTCAAAAGCCAATAAACTTCACTCATCCTTCCGTGATATTACCCATGACTCCGAGCCCTATGTCAGGACCAGGATCAGTGTCTTATACAGCCATAACTTTGTTGTCCTTGAGAGATACTTGCTCCATAAATGTCTTTCTAGCCCGAAGTACCATCGGTTAGCAATGACTTTTCTTCTCTCAATTTTTTTTCTCTCATCTAATTTTTTCTCATCTCTCAACCTTTATGATGTCATTTTCCGCAGTTATCAGGGATCCCAGGTAGACGAACTCTACCACTTTTCCAAACTTATAGGAGCCAAACTGCACAATATCTGCCAAAGTACCAAACTGTATTGTCATATATTTGTTTTGCACAGCATTTACTCGTAGTCTCAGTTATCTGGCTGTTGCTTCCAGAGCAAAGAAGGCCTCACAAACTCCAGCTTGGAATATACCGACAATATTTATATTGTCCGTGTAACAATCGATCTGAACAATTCTATTAAACACTGCCTGTTATTATGATATGTGCATCTCGCTCCGCTTTCTGTAATGTTCTTTATCTTGTCATTTCTAAACATCTTAAGATTATTGTACCAAGTTGAATCTAAGTGTCGTCAGTGATCATGTATGCCGATCTTTGTATCTTTGATCGTTTATATTTGTATTTTAAGTATGATTTATTTTTTTAATGTCCATGTGAATTCAGAATAATAGCTTAAAATGTCCTGTAAAAGGTCTTTATAATGTAATCATTTGTATGTTCATAATATATATTATAATCTATTTCTGTCTTATTTAATGTTTTATTATTAATATTTTTGTTTTAATAGCTATGAAGATATTCTACCCGTAGAAGTTATAATGAAGCCTGGGAATTCGTATGTTATTGAGCTTAACCGTGGAGAACATTTGGAAACCTCTCTCTTTGGTGTAAAAAAAGGTAATTTAAAATAAAAATTTAAGAATATTATGTTATATTAGTTCTCGGTGGATGATTTATTAGTGAATTTAATTAACTTTAGTAGATAATATTAGACTGTTTTATATTCTTTGAATATTAGGATTTTTACCAATGATTTTAAGCTCTCTGTAAGACGGTGTCGGACAAAGAGGAGTCCTCTTCTCTGAGAAATAGAGTATGGAGAAGAAGAACAAACATTGTTCCATTCTTTTATGTTTTTTAAATACAAAAAGAGATAAATATGGTGCAGGAACACCAAAAGCTCTGGATATAAGATATAAAACAAAATAATATAAATTAAAGAGAGATTGTGATTGGTAAAAAAAATCTTGATTTTCTCAATTTACGGTGGCAACTGACCTGGAAAAATGGGATAAATCAGAGAATTTTCAAAACTGGAAAAGATCAGGCAAATATTTTTAAAGTCAGAGCATTGTTTTAGTACAAAAATATTTTTTTCATATTGAAAGTAAATATACAGTGGATATCGTCTATAATGAAGTTAAAGGGGTAAATTTTTTAAACGGTCGCTATATTCATCCACCTTTGACTGTCAATAACGGCATTGATCGCGTTATATTGAAATCAAACAAGGGTAATGAATAAAATTTAAGCAAAATGGAATTAAAACAGTGTTTTTTGAAAAGGAAAACATACCAGTACTATTTACTATTTGTAATATATACATCTGGGTCAAGATCTCAGCTGGCAATCGCTCATTTGTTTGACCTGCGGTGCTCCTTAAAAAAGCATTTATTAACCAGAAATGTCACAGTTGTTATCATTGGGATAATTATTTTGTTGTTTATAGTAATAAAGAAACTAAATTACTTATGAGAAATTACATTAATATTATATTTTTTTTTCTATTTTTTATTTTTTCTAAAAGGGTTTATTTATATTTTACCATTGTACATAGTTTTAAGTATCTTAGTATGGTTTCGAGAGTTTTTTATATAGATTATTTTAATTTGTTTTGTATTTAGTATGTATTACTAATATATATATATATATATATATATATATATTTTTTTTTTTTTTTTTTTTACTGATTTATCTTTATCTTTACTTTTTATGTTTGTTTTTATCTGGCCAGATGTAAAATTTTAATTTCTGTACTTTTTTGTTATTCTGAAGGGACTTGGTCCCAGAATAAAATTATTTTCTATTCTATTCTATTCTATTCTATTCTATTCTAATATTAGAATTTGTCATAGCTCACTTTATTTTATAATAGAGAAAATCATAGCTTTATATGCCAAGTATCAACTTTTACCTGCTATCAATTTATGAAAATAGAATTTTTTTTTTTTTTTTTTTTTTTTTTTTTTACTTGGGTTTTACACAACTTAAGGAGTCATATCCCCAACACCCAAAAGCCACTGCTCCCTGTCCATCCAATCTCCTTCACGAAGCCCTCTGGCTGCCATGCTTTCTTTCACGTCCTCTGTCCATTTCTTCTTTGGCCTTCCACGCTTCCTTCTTTCAGGTGGCATATAGTTATAGATTTTCTTTGGCCAGCGGTTCTCATCCATCCGCATTAAGTGGCCATACCACTTTAACCGTTTGGTCCCGATCAGGTGAAGGATGTTCTTTTGACATCCGACCTTGTCTCTAATAGCTGCATTTGGGATCCGCTCGATTCTGGATATGCCACAGCTTCTTCTCCAGAAATTCATTTCCATGGAAAGCAACTTATTTTCCATCTTTTTTGTCAGTGTCCAGACTTCTGATCCGTAAGTGGCGAAAATAGAATAAAAGCGATAAAAATAAATTACTAAAAGTTTAGTTTTCTGAAATAATAAATCCTAATCAAGCTTAAAAAATTACTCCTCTAAAACATTATATTTGTTATTTAAAAGGCTGTTGTTATTTTTTTACTCAAATCATTTTGTAGTCAGTTTTCTTTCATCCATAATAAATAAATTTAGTTATAAATTATAGATTTGAATATTTGTATACCCAGAAATATTGGTCAGTAAAAACTTTCCTTAAACAGGGAAAAGCCAGGAAATTTTACTTTAACTGTCCGGTAGCCACCCTGTAATTTTAATATTAAAGATGTTAAAATCAATACAGTTGCTTTGATTTATTTTGAAAATATAATAGAAATAGGTCCATTTAATTATTTGTTTTATCTGATGTGAAATAAGTATTTTTTATTGACATGCCTAGGTGATAAGGTGACATTCAAGAATGGACCAAGCCTATACGGTGAGCAGGTGAAGGTTTACACGGAATTGCCTAAGAAAGGTAGCTATTTCTCGAGGGGATGTTACCATCAAAATCGAGAGGTAACCTGCTGGTTACCAGGAGCATTCCGCTATTATTTTACCACTGGAAGTGATGGGTGAGTTGAGGTTTTGTCTTCTGTTTAATTGTTGTACTAAAAGAATTGTATTGGTTTTCCTGTGGGCAAGGGTGACCTAGTGGGCTAAACAGAAGATTACGAGTTCAAATCCAGAAGGATTTTTAACTCTGACATTAATCCCCTGCCCTCCCTCCCCTCGGCTATACAGAGAAATATCCTGTATAGCCAAAAAGGTGATGTAGGGGAGAAATCGAAAAATTAAGAAAATGATTTTTAAATTAACAATCCTAATAATGTTAATTTGTTTACTTTTATTTTATACTAATGTGTTCATAGGCATTGTGTAATAAATCATATCGACAGTAATACAAAAAAAAGAAAAGGAAGATGATAAGACTAACCACACACTAACTTCTCCCTAAATTAGTGTCATTTTATATTGTTTTTGCAAAGGTAGCCTCATAAAATCTTTTTCATTTATCTCAAATCATTTCTCAAGGTTAGATTAAAAATATGAAATAATCTTTAAATTTATTCAAAATGTATTGTTAGGCAACTTCCTAAACTCAATGATGGAATTCAGCGTATCAAACTAACAGTTACTCAGCTGTTAAGGTTGATGGATCTGTTGGATGTTACTTCAGCTATTTTTTCAATTTAATTTTGATCTATATTTATTTTTATTTTGAATTCATTGTTTTTTATTTTATTGTTGATTTCAACAATTCAGTAGGTATTTATTGCCTAAACTATCTTGTTTTGTTTTTTTATTTATTTTGTTACCCAAGCTTCCATTGCAATCCAGCAGGTCGATCCTAAACTCATTACTTCAAATTATATCATTTATGATAAAGATTTATTCTGTAATAATTTGTTGACATAATATATCAGATAATTTGGATTTTTAGGAAGGAGGTAGGCTCCGGTTATATTAATGTTGAGCCAGAGATCCTGTTGGGAGACGAGCCATTACCGTTAGAATGCATTCAGTGCATCACCGTACTGGCAAAGTGCCTCGGACCTTACGGAAGTTGGCTCGATAGACTAGCTGCTATAAAAGAAAGTGGATACAACGCAATACACTTCTCACCTGTCCAGGTAACATGTTCATTTATATTTATTCTCCTATAATATGTAAAATAGATTTTTATCATTTACTATTGTTGGGATGTTAAGCTACTTTTTACTGATTTTTTTTATTTATTTTTTCCCACTCCCTTCCTCGTCTTTTGTAATATAGGACTCCATTTTATTGTATAAAACAATAAAATTGAACTCTTGTGATAATTGTTATATTCCTCTTTTCCTGTTATATTTCTATCCTGGAGTCACCAAAGATTGTGATTGTGGAAGGCTCCTTCTTGCTCCCTTCTATTACTTCCTTCCACAAATACACGAATGCCTCGTAGTATGGGTAGTTATCTGTAGCAATGAGTAGAGGTAAATCTCCTTTGTTGATACTGTAGATACCTGTACTGCTGATTAGCTTGGCTATCAGTGCCTCAAAGATAGTGGATTAGGTGGTCACGTGTTCGGCAGTTTCCAGGACACCACAACTGGAGCATGGAGGATCGATATCTTGTCCAAGACTGTAAATTGGTCCGAAAACCCCCATAGCGAGTGAGAAATTGAGAGATCCAATAGTCTGGTTTGATCCATCTGGCTGCTAGTAGAGACTATACGGTGGAAAAATACATCCTTAGGGTAGCTCCCTTAGTGGTAGCGACCCACCGCCTGTTCCACTCTTAATATTTACCGTCTGTAATTTTTTACTTTCACTTTCCTTTATGTGCAAATGCTTTTTTCTGCTAAAAAAAAAAAAAAAGGTGGTAAGAGAAAGTAGTCTGACGCACGCACTGCACCGGATTTTTTTATAGATTTCCATTGGCGTATTTCAGTTTATTTTTATTTATAATGTGAAAAATATGCTTGATTGTGAGCATCAAAAGAGATCTCAGTACTACTTTTTTTGCATTACAAGAAAGTAGTCCCTCATAGAAAAGTCTTTATTTTATGTAATTTTGTTAGAAAACATTTTTACGTTTTCCATATGTTTATTTCAAACAGAAAACTCAAAGTTTTTCTTAGGCTGTAAGATGAATTATAATTCTTGTAAAGTGACTGCATTTGATCCTTCTTATTGTTGTTAGCTACTTTTTAGAAAATTAGAAAGTTGGTCTGCTGCAGGAGATTTTTTCAAATGTTTTAAAATTTCATACTAATGTCAATGTGACATGTTTCCTTTTTATTGACGTTGCACTTGTATTATATATTAACTGCTCAAAATAATCACTCATGACATAATACATTAAAGTACAGTCTCCTACTCGCTCTTACCGACAGGTGGAGACAAGAAAACAGCTGACTCGCCGATACCCTCTGAGTTGTTTGATTACTAGACATACTGTAATAGTGAACTTCCACATTATAGAGACTATACTGTATTAATATTTTATTTGGTCTGCATTACATACCTATTTTTATTTTTTTACTGTATTGAACAAATTTGTTATTATTATTTGTTTGTTTTTTTGTTGGATAGGAACTCGGTTCTTCTGAGTCTGGATATTGTCTCCGAGAACAGTTAAAACTGAATCCTACGTTTGCTGAAGACCAGAATCCTATGTCTTGGGAACAGTTGTCTAAAATAGTTTCTACATTGAGAACGGATTGGAAGGTATACCATTCTTATCAACACTTTTGTATTATTTTAATTTAGTTTATGTTTTATCAATATACAATAGATCTAATACAATAGCCTAATTTGTATTTGATAAATAGCAGTAACTATTGATAAATTTCATTATATACAGTTGTCCAGAAAATAATGCAGGGTTTCATGTTTTCTTTATACTAACCCTCAAAATGAGAAACTTTTAATGTTTAAGGGATTATTCTTTCATATGGCTGTTATATTGGTTTAGTTATATGTGTATTATATTAGTTTGTAAATTACTATATATAGATTCTTTATTTTTATCTCTAATACTTGTAATAAATTCACTTTAATCTTAACCAGCCGAATCACGGAATACGCCGAGGAAACTATCGGAGACTACCAATGCGGATTTAGATGGAATCGTTCGACTATTGATCAAATATTTTCTTTATGGCAAATATTAGAGAAAAATTTGGAGTACAATGGTATTGTTCACCAGCTGTATATAGATTTTAAAAAGGCTTATGATTCTATTGACTGCCAGAAACCATAATATTCTAATCGAGCAGGGGATTCCAAAAAAACTAGTAAATCTAGTCAGGATATGCTTGACGGAGACACTCAATAAAGTTAGAATCGGTATTAATCTGTCATAAAAATTTGAGGTTCGTTCAGGTTTAAAACAGGGGGATTCCCTTTCGCCTGTCCTGTTCAATTTGGCATTAGAACATGCCATTAGGGAGGAAATGCGTACTGAGTAAGGATTGGATCTGGGTGGGACTACATCCGTGCTGGGCTATGCTGATGATCTGGTACTGTTAAGCGAAGACGTTGAAACTATAAAACTAAATACAACAACTTTAATAAAAGCCGGTAAAGAACTAGGATTCGAAATAAACGTGGATAAAACAAAATATATGGTTAGCTGCAAAAATGGCGATACTACTGGTGATATCGATATAGATGGTAATATATTTGAACAAGTAGATAAATTTAGGTATCTAGGTTCTACAATAACTAGAAAACACGAAATTGAAGAAGAGATTAAGGTTAGACTGAAGGCGGGAAATGCTTGTTATTTTTCTGTGACAAAACTACTTAGTTCGCGCCTCTTGTCCCGAAACTTAAAAATTAGAATCTATAAAACAATTATCCTGCCTACAGTTCTTTATGGATGCGAAACTTGGCTGCTTGAAAATAAAGTATTGCGTAGAATATTCGGACCGAAGAAGGATGAGTTAACCAGAGAGTTCAGACGGTTACACAACGCCGAATTGCGTGAACTGTATCCGGGTAATATAATTGAGGTAATTTCATCGTGGCGAATCAAATGGGCTTGTAAAGTTGTTGGACTTAGTAACGAGAGAATTCCTAAAAAGTTAATATTGGCTGCCCTGAATGGTAAGAGTCCGAGGGGTAGACCGAAGCGAAGGTGGGAAGATTGCATTAAAGCCGATCTGAAGGGACTGGGTTTGGATGGCGAATGGTGGAGGGAGGTGTGTAATAAGCGATTGGTGGTGTCGGCATCGAACCTTTGGGTTCGCTAAGCCTTTTATTATTATTACTTGTAATAAAAATCTGATGCGTTACAACACACAACTTTCACTTCCTATCTTACTTTCAACATAAATTATTTTTTAAAAAAGTTAATGAACCTTCAAAATAGTACTTTAATTATAAATACAAGACAAAGATAATCAATATTCATTATGAAAATTCTATGCAATATATATTTTTGGTTCATTCAGCTGAAAAACAAAAATATTCATCACCTCTACTCACCTCATTAGTCTTTTTATTAAGGCATCCTTCCAAACTCTTTTATTTTGTTTTTTTTATCTAACTTATATTCAATTCAAATGTTGTACTTTAAATTTCATACATTGCATGACCTTCAATACAATTTTTTTTTTTAAATATGAACTTTTAAACATTTATTTTTTATACAATTGAATAAGTCAAAAACTAAAAACAAAACTTTTGTTTCTATCATGTAGTAAAAAACATTAGTTATAAATTGTTAATTTAATCTTATTGTGAACTTTACAGTATATGTGTACTACCTCATAGAAAGGCCATGAGATAGTTCATTAATAGAATTTACCATAGTCGTTTAAAGTAAAAGAGCCTGATAGGCTCTCAACTCATATATGAGTTCACTGTCGCTTGGGCCCGATTCCTTCTCGACTCATATATGATCTCACCGTCACCTGAACCAGATTCCTTCTCGACTTATATATGAGTCCACCGTCTCCTGAACCATATTACCTCTCGACTCATATATGAGTCCACCGTCATCCAAGGGTTAAAAACGTAATTTATCCAACTTAATATTATGACAAAGAAACAAAAAAGGTTACTGCTATTTAATAAGGATGATAGACTTATTTTTATGCAATATTTTTTCTTTTATTTATATACATTTAAGTTAACTTAAGCTGTATTATGAGAGCTTTACAAGAATTAGCTCCTGTTTCATTGGTAGATGCTGACGGTCTGTGACATAGTGCTCAACCATTCTGCCAACGAGAGCCAATGGCTGCAGGACCATCCGGAGTGTACTTACAATCTTGAGAATAGCAAACACTTGAGACCTGCATATTTGCTTGATGCAGCCCTAGCAAATGTTAGCAAGACTGTCGCTTCGGGAGTACTCGAGTCTTATGGAATCTCATCTTACATAACTACTGAAGGCAACCTGGAAGTATGTTTCCCACTTTTTCTCCAATTAGTCATTTTATTATATTTTTTTTATGTCATTTTTTGTATCAATGTTTTATAATTTTACCAAAACTGCCTTATTAAAAATTTGCAATATTTGTCTATGTACTTGGTTGTGTAGTTTTAAATATGTAATTTATTCTTTCAATGTATTATTTTTGTTATGTTACGATAGGCTCTCCGTTTTCACTTGGCTGCCAGAGTGATCCCTCAACTCAAGTTGCATGAGCTATTCATGGTAGACGTTCGGTCTTATGTCAGCAAGTTTCAGGACATGGTCAGTCAGAACGAACCTTCACGAAGGACAGAGTCAGGAGAACCTTTGATGATGAAAATTATACAGGATCCAAAATATCGAAGACTAGGATCAACGATTGACTTGGATCTTGCAGTCTCTTTGTTTAACATTTATAGGTAAAGTTAATGAAAAAAAACAATGTCTGCAGGTTATGATTGCAAAGTTTCTGGGATAAATATTTTTAATATCAGTATTTTATGCCTAATTTAATGTTGTATTTATATTTTTGCTTTATGACCAATTTTACATTTATTTTTATTCTATCTAAAATCATCACAGTTGAAAGGTAATGTTCTTTAGGTCATTGGATATGGACAAGTACTTGGTCTTTTCTAGGAAATGTAAACCTTGTGATGTTAAATTGATGATTGATGATGGTTTAATTTTAATTTATTTCATAACTAATTGTTTTCTTAAATGCTGATTAGTTAGTAATTGCTCATTTTATCTTATTTCATTAAGACATTACATATACAATCGGACATCATTAACTCAAACTCAATAATTTGAAGAAACATTACAGCATTGATGCTATCTTTTGTACATTTTGAGTTTGTACATTTCGAACAAATGTATAGTTTACTTGAATACTTAATGATTTGAATAAAGTAATAAGATCTTAGCAACTGGAAAAAAAATTGTTTAACACGTTAGCTGCTGAGCATGATCAGCGGTCAACCGACACTAGTTATGAAGTTCCTAACGCCATCGGATGCCGGAGACATGCATCAGTTTCGAGGTATACTCCTATTTTTTTATAACAAAGGTGAACTAAATTTCCTAGTCAGAGTCTCTACCTGTTAATTATGTCCTCATTAATGGCCAACAATCCTAGGAGTGGACTCCGACCTCCGATACCGTTTAATAATGAGTTTTTCATTATTTTCTTTATTTCAGTAAACAAGTGTTATTTTTAGGGATATAAAGGATTTGCTGAAGGATGTAGTTTTATGGGAGAGGATATATAAATCTATAGGCTGAGACTAGGTATTAAGAGAGTGGATGGAGGAACGTAGAGTAAGGAGTTCCAGAATGTAGGGAGGGTTTTTGGTTTTGAGGACTTGAAAAAGTAAAACACCCAGGAGGAATTGTCGTCGAGAAGTAGGATAAAGCCACTTCAACTCGGTGTACCAGAATGATATATGCGAACGTCTGGGGATCCCGAAGATGTATCTTATAAAACAGTTGATGAGTTAGTTCATGAGTTGTCTCATTTCTCATGTCTTCAGTCTCATTTCCAACCTGGCAGATAGCTCTCCTTATTCCAAACAGCCAAGGTCAATAAAACTACCAGGTTCGCTCACTCAGAAATGCGTGGTGGGGGAACTTGAAACGTGACGTAAGGAATAGACTGTCAGACCTACCTATTACTCATTCAAGCCTATCGATGAAGGCTTATTTCAACATTATTGTGCCTCTTGTTTAATTTATTGAGAAGAATACTTTTCTGTGTTTTTGACGTTTGATTGAAGATAATTTCAAGTAGATAAATAAATAAATACGGCTACCAATCTAGAATAAAATGCTATGAAAATTACAGGTCAGGCCTGAAACGAAAAGAACGAAATTGATATTAAGATTATTTATACTTTCTTTATTTCAAAATCTCTGTAAATAATATATGAATAAATTACATAAATATAAAAAACTAAGAGTTAAATTTATTTAGAGAACATTTTAGCACAATGTTTGGGTAATTTTGATTGTAGATCTCGTGAGTATTTCTTTTAATATTATAAGAGTGAAGATCTTTGTCAGCATTTGCAGTCAAAATATTTTTAAATAAATAAATTTAAATAAAAAAATAAACAAATTTTACTGCAAATCCTAATAATTTATTTTCACCTTATAATCTTATCAGTCAACTACTTATCCGTCTCAAAATAATATTATAACGAGTATTTATTTTTTATTTTTAATGAAATGTTACAGAGAATTTGTTTGTTCTTATTAGTATTTCTCATAATAACACAATTATTAATAGAATCCTATAGAATGCCAGATACAAAATGCGCAGTTGCATCTTACAACAATAATCTAATCGACACAAAGAAGATGGGAAAGAAAATTTCATTTCATACTTTTCCAAAGGATGCCCGAAGAAAAGATTGGATTTTAAAATATACATGTAAAAATATTGTAAAAAAATTACTATATTTTTCTTAGGAAACAAAATGTAGAAATTAATGAAGAAAGCCTTTCTTTCAGCAACGGCTATTTAATAGAATCATATTTTTAAATACCCAATGATTTTTGCAAAAAATCACTACATAGGATTACTTATGACATAAAAATGTAATATTTACAAAAATTCAAGGAAAGAAAATGCTTCTTTAATGTTAGATTAAATACTTTTTTTTTTTTCAATATTTCTATTATTTTATAATATGCTCTGTATTTATTTGAAATATTTAAAAAGTAGTATTGTGGCACTTTGCAAAAAATCATACATCAACTTGTTAAATTACATTGTATTTGCTTCAGAATAAACCAAATATCAAATCGACCTTTCTCTCACCTTTCAAATTTATTAAAATTAATAAATTAATAAGTTATTTGGTAATACAGTATTGATTTAATGTATAAAAGTAAATAATAATCTTAAAATGTCCAGAAACAAAGGCCGGAGGGGTAAAATCAGTCTTTTGGCTACGTCAGAGCTCAATTCCTCCCCACCATTTTCCTTCCGAGTGAGCGAACCTGGTAGTTTTACTGACCTTGCCAAACAGCCATAGTCAAAGTGGGGGAATATAAGGGAAGTTACAAGGTTATATGTATGTTATTTATTTATTTATAAATGTTAAGTAAATAAGGGAAACACTCTAAGATGAACTCTCAAGAGCTACTGCATGACAGAAGTCTGAAAAAGACAAGACCATGCATGTGCTCTGTCCTGCCACGCCAGGAATATTGGATTATTCATGTATAATAAATATATTTAGTTAAAAATTATACATTTTTAATATTTGTGTTTCCAGCCATATTGATCAGGGAAAACTATCATTAAATAGGGAAAAGTCAGAGCATTTTACTTTAACTATGTGAAAGAATCAATATTTTATTTAAATTAATTTTAATTATTGCATGAAATTAATTAGACTGCATACGAATGTAGGTCCGATTGTTATGATGAGGATACAAGAAGACGCCGTTGTGCTGAGGCTTTCAAAGTATGCCTAGAAGAACTCAATGCGAAGATTAAATCAGAAATAAAATCACATTTAGTTGCTGCAGTTGAAGCATGCATAGCATCTGTCCGGTAAATGTTTTTGTCATATTATGTTATCGATTTATTATATATCTTCAGTATTTTTTTTTATTAATACTGTTTTCTTCTCAAAGGTATTTTAGAGTACAAAAGAACGGTCCGAAATTAGGGCCGGTGAATGAGGAAAATCCTCTATTTCCAAGGTAAGATTGACTGAATCCGTTTAATTATTAATATAATTTTTTTTTTCACGTTTGTAATTTCTAAATCATGTATCGTTTTTAGATACTTCTTTTGCAATGGTCTTGAGAGCGATAATGCTGAGATATTGGGATACGGCGACACTGCAAAAATGATTTGGGCCCACAACGGTTGGGTAATGAATTTCGATCCCGAAATGGACTTTGCTGAAGAGGGATCACACATTTACCTGAGGCGTGAGCTGATTCCTTGGGGAGACAGTGTCAAGCTTAGGTTTGTGCCTATTAATTATGTTTATATTAGCAAATCTTTTATTTTATTATTAAACTTTAATAATTCTTCACCAAATCTCAAGATTAAACCACCCATTTCGAAGGCTTCCTTCTCCTTCAGGCGGGCAAAATAGTCCAATCACCCCGAAAATTCAGACAAACAAGTTATGAAAACAAACTTTATTGGCGAATAACTAAACATTTACACACTTTTCCCTAGGTTATGCCCATCATTATATAAAAAATTACTAAATTATCTACAAAAGGGAAAAATTATCAAAATCGGACAAAATTTTTAGAAAAGGTACAGCTTATTGAAATTTGCAAACATGTTGGTTCCAAACATTAATGAAGATTTAAATTAATTTTTGTTTCCTTTGCCGATTATATTTATCGATAAATGAACAATTGATTTCTTTATTTTTTGATAAGTTGCATTATTTTATTTTCTTCTTAATTTGACATTTGATAACAATATGCTGTGTGAATTTTTTTTGCGCTGGCCTACTAGTTATTAATTCATTTTTAAGTTAAGCTTAACAAATTATAATTATTAAGATTTATATCTGTGGCATCTGTGTATAGTGTATCAAGTGCAAAAATCATATTTATGGAAAATCTAAATTGAAAGTTTGTAATTTTCAAAGATGGAAGTTCAATTTTTTTAGTTTCAATCCATTATAAAGGAATAGCTTTATAAGTTAATAATGTTAATGGCTGTATAACTTAGCCCATTAGACAAAAACAAAGAGAGAGAGAGATTAGCTTTCTGGTAATACCCATAAAAATTCACAAAATTGCACTTAACACACTTTTCACAGGTGCCACAGATGTATTATAGTTATATTTTATAGTATTATATGTTTTATGTTAAAAAGTGGTATTTATATTGTATTGTGTATTTATAGGTATATATTATAGGGTTATGTTTTGGTTATATTGCATATTAGTATTTATTAATTTTGAAGAGAAGAATAGTTGGGGTGGTCAGTCAGAAAAGAATGCAAAAATAAATGATAATATTTATTTTTACATATGCAGACGTTACATATGTAAAAATAAATATTATCATTTATTTTTGCCTTCTTTTCTGTCTGACCACCCCAACTATTCTTCTCTTCATTATCCACGACAGTCAACCATTTACGAATTATGAATTTATTAATTTTATTTAAATGAAAAACAAATTAAATTAGCTATTGTGTATATTTAGGTTTCCTTTGATATTGTATACTATAATACTATGTTTTATTATAGATTTTAATGTATTATTTATAATACTTGTTTATTATACCTCTGGCTAAAGGTTCCAAAAACCAAACTTTAAATATTTTTAATGAGCTATGATCATTTTTTATTTATTTCCATTGTATAAAATACTCAATAAAAAATTCTAATTCCGTCATATTTTATTCTATAATATCTTTATGAAATATTTATTTTAAATATATTAAATTACTTAGTACTACTTATTACTTTCAGGTACGGAGAAAAGGAAGAGGATTGCCCATTTCTTTGGTCCCATATGAAAGAGTATGTTGAACAGACTGTTAAAGTGTTTGATGGTGTGAGGCTCGACAATTGCCATTCGACACCGCTTCATGTTGCACAGGTCAGTTTTCTCTGCGTTTATAATGGTTGTGTGTGTGCTAAAAAATTAATAGAAAATTTTATATTTCACATTATTCATCATCATATTTCATATTATTCTGTTAGCCATATTGGTTGATTAATCTCTCCTCAGTTGTGTAGATGGTAGTGTGTTTGGTTGCAAGTGTCAATTTTTGATTTGTTAGAAAAATGGATCAGAGAATTTACATTACGTTTTGCTGTAAATTATATTTTATAAATGGAATAAAATTAACATAGTTTTAAAAATTTTGAATATTGCTTTTGGCGAGTCCGCTATGCGTAAAATAATACTTTTTGAACACACCTCATATTTGTTAACAGCTCACTAAAATAATTTGAAATAACTTTTACTAAAACAAAATAATTACAGTGATATTTTGCTATTGTATTGATATAATAAAAACTATCGAGATTTATCTTGTTTCTTTTTTTTTTCAGTATCTGTTGGATGCTGCTCGTAAAATTAAGCCTGATTTGTACATTGTGGCTGAATTGTTCACCAATTCTGATCTTACTGATAATGTTTTCGTGAATAAATTAGGGATCACATCATTGATAAGAGGTAATCATCGTATTGCTTTTGATTATTTATAATTTTTCATTAGCCAATTTTAAGGAAATGTTGCTGTCACATCTAAGCCATATTCAAACCTTTAATATGTAAAATCAGTTTCATATGACTTTTCGTTTTTGAGCTAGACTCTTCACATACACATACACATACAGACACACAATACACAGACCATTTTGCAGAACTTGGTTATCTGGACTGAGGAAACCTTAAAACGTGTATTTCCGTTGAAAATTTCCACGATCGCAATAGTTTTCCTTAATATATACTACATATATAAGTAACTGAAAGTAATAAAATACTGTTCTATTTCTTGTGTGGCTCTTGATTTTGTCTCTTCAATAATTGAGCTGGCCATATATGGTTGAGACTGCAAAAATCTTGAACTTTTAATTTGAATTTGAATTATATGAGTCTACACTAACTGACATATTGTTGACACCATGTTAAAATAAGAAGTGTGCAACATTAAAAAGGCTCACATTCGTTACTTTAACATGGTTGCTGACGATATTCACTGAATCGTAATAGCTGTTCTCTTGAAAGGCATGCTTATAGGTCTGTCTCCGGGCAATGAGTGGGAATGTGTATCACCCTTTGGCCGGATGAAGACTGGGACATGTTTACTGGATGACGATTCAGCTAAAATAGTTAACTATATGACGAGAAGAGAGTGGGGGCTAAGTTATCTCCTCAACTTCATTTCTAACTCCAACGACTTGACAATTTGAATTATGACTTCCATAATTTCAAATTTATATTTTCGATTAATAAAATCACAACAAATGATTATGGTCGAATTTCTACCACAAGGAGAACATTAATAATAATAATAATGATGCTTTATTTGTTCTGGGACGAGTCCCTTTAGAATAATACAGAGTGACAAAAATGTGGGCTAAGGAGCCTCAGAGATACATAAACAAGAATATAGTTTGATTAAATAGTCAAAAAATAAATAAAATAATAAGAGAAATTATAAGTTACATTCTAATTTACATCAGTTAATAATAAAAAATAAAAAAATTAAAATAAACATCAAGTAAAAATAATAAAGAACGGTCTAATAATTTATATACATATTTACAGTAGTAACTTTACAATTTTATGAGGACTGGATGGATAAGGAATGATTAAACAGTTGGGATTTAAAGGTAGGAAGGGTTTTGGATTGATGGATGTGGGGAGGGATGGAGTTCCATAGGGATGAGGATCGAATAATAAAAGATTTATTGAAGCAGCGGTTCGGTGAGCCATTATATATAAATCTCAAGACCGGGAATGGGTATTGCGGGAGTGGACAGGGGATTTAAATTGAAGGAGCTCGGCGATGTATGAAGGACGACGGGAGAGAATTACTTGGAAGAGGAAGGATGCCAGGAAATACTTACGGCGGTAGGAAGGATAAAGCCACTTCAAATCTTCATAGAAACAGGAAACAGGGGTGTCTCTTGGGATCCCGAAGATGAATCGTACAAAGCAATATTGTATTAGTATTATATTAGTATAATTTAATGACGAATTACCTGAATATTTGATGTTGATTGATAAAAGGATTGTTTATTTTATAATATTTATATCAAAATTAAATTATAATGAGTTGGTTGCTTTATTACAGAGTCGATGTCCGGTTGGGATTCACACGAAGTCGGAAGACTGGTGTACAGGTACGGTGGTGACGTGGTTGGCTCTCTGCTCAGCGGGACGAGGCGGCCGCGTAAACTCGCTCCTGCTCTGTTTTTCGACATGTCCCATGATAACCCTCATCCTATCGATAAGAGGACTATTTATGATGTCATTCCTTCTTCTGGTTTAGTTGCGATTGCAGCCTGTGGTACTGGATCAACTTTTGGCTATGACCAACTTGTCCCGCATCAGGTATTTTTGTCAAAATATAATTTTTCACTATTATGTTTATTCTTTTTAATTACTTCAAATTTTTGACTTGGAAATAGTTGCTTATATTAATTAAATTCAAATATATCACTTCTTGTAATGTATTGCTAATTAATATATATATTTTTTTATGCTTAATAGCAAGGAATCCAAGGTATGTAATATAGTTTAAATCTAGGGTACTTATTTAATAACGGGTAGCGTCAAAACCTCCCTTCTTATCTAATCTCATTTCACATAACCTCCCTTATCTCATCTAACCTAAGTTATTCCCTTGTTTATTTTTTGTTTCTTGTGTTAGCTGTGAGTTAGTGTTATTTAATTATGGATGTTGTCACATTGTGGGGATTGCCGTCAGTTTATTTTATAGCCTCTCAGAAGAAGAGGCTATAAAATATTTTAGAGACGCCGGGATATTTGCAAAGGTCAAATATTGTGATGAAGATCATCAAATGAAGTTCGATGAGAAGATTAAATGGTGATGCTTTCGTAGTTGTAACAAAACCGTTTCTATAAGAAAAGAACGTGGTTATAGGGGTCGAGGATTTCTTTTTTAATGGCTTTAAAATTCATTTATGGGTGGTCCCATAATTTAACAACAATACAGTGGGGCAAAGGGCAGCTCAAACTATCCAACGCAACTATCGTAACATGGAACAAATTTTTAAGAGAAGATTGTGCCTATGATATGTTACACAGATCGAATAAAAAAAATTGGAGGGCCTGGCAAAGTCGTCGAAGTAGACGAGAGTCTACCCGCATAGAGAACAGGATCCTTTCCTTGTTATTTTAAATACCATAAAACTATTTTCCCTACCAAAATAAATCAAGTTAAAATTAAATTCTTAATTTAAATTGCTGTTTAAGTGGTTTTTTATTATTTCATCTATTTTTTCCCCCTTTTTTATTGTTTCATTTATTTTGATGTATATGTCGAAATTTTTTCGTCTATTTTAATATATATATTTTGTAAAATAAAAGTATTTTTTTATTATTACATTTGTTTTTGTTCACAATTTAAATAATATCAATACATTACAATAAATATGAATACGAATATATGATAATATGAATATAATACAATATATATGAATACGAAGAGCTTATCAGTATTAAGATTATAAACATTGGCAGATAGCAGTCGGATGCTACCCGCTATTAAATAAGTACCAAATCCAGTTAGGAAATTTAATCATATTAGATATATCTAATAAATTTTGATGTTGGACATTGCTTACACGATTTACTATCTTTTGCTAGGTTGATGTTGTAAAAGAGGGTAGGCTATATATGGCCAGGTCAGACGCAAGGTTTTCCAAAGGCATCATGGATGTGAAGAAAGCCTTAAACAAACTTCACTTTAGCCTGGTGAAAGATGGCTTCTCCCAGGTAAATTATTCTTTCATTATAATATTTTCCATTTTGTTTTTTTATATAAATAGAATAAATTTGGCCTCCGTTATTGCAGCCATTTATCTATAACTGCAGATAATCCTTACATTAACATGTTGACTACCAAGTACTTTTCAGGATTCCTGTTTACAAAACTAATTTAATTTAATCATATTTTTTATTAAAAGCTATGATTCCCAATGGATAATAATCATCAAAAAGCACTACCAATTTTATTGTGGGCTGCAAAAATATAGTACTACATCATATTTTGCGTCCTAGGCAAGAATAATTAAAATGAGTTATTACATCTATATACATCAACACTATTGTTAATCATCAAATAATCCATTGATGATTATGTATTGGGTCGTCCGGAAAATAATGCAGGATTTTGAGTTTTCTTTAATTATTAATTTTATTAATCCTCTTCCAAAAAATAATTTTTCTTTACCTCTGTAGTATAATTTTGTTTTACGAGTTTAAACTCGGCCGAAATGGGACCCAGATAGCCAAAAACATCAATCAAATCTGGGGTCAGAGCAGCATTAATGAGTGTACTGTTCAACGGTTGCTCAAAAAATTTCAGGAGGGAGACTTTAGCCTTTAAGACAAAGAAGGTCGTGGAAGATCTTCCTTTCTTGATGATGATGTTCTGCACGCTTTGGTGGAAGAAAACCCCAGAACAACTATTCGAGATCATACAGGAGTACTTAACCTAAACAAATCGCTCGTCGATAACCACCTCAAGGCGATTGGAAAGGTAAAAAAGCTTGCTTGAAAGTTGGGTTAACTCCAATGCATTAAACAAACAACTGTCAAAAAAATCTAGCGCTATGAAGTTTGTAATACACTTCTTTGCCAAAACAAAAATGATCCTTTTCTGTCCAGAATTGTTACTTGTGATGAAAAGTGAATACTTTACCATAGCAGTAGACGTTCTGGACAGTTCCTCGACAAAGGAGAAGCAGCAGAACATTTTCCAAAGCCCCCAACTCATCAAAAAAAGGTGATGGTACCTGTTTGGCGGCCTTCATTTGTTTTGATACACTACAGCTTGTTAAATCCTGGGGAAACCATCAGTGCTGAATTGTATTTTAACTAAATTAAATACATCAGAAATTGGCAATAATGAAGCCATCTTTGGTCAATCATTTTTTTAGACACTACTTACGTGAAAAAAAAATGTAATGAACAAAGGAAATTAGAAACAACTTTGTTGTGTACTTTAGACCATACCATAGAAATGGAAACATCAACAAGGCTAGATTAATTATATGAAATATAAGAAACAGTGGTTTTTAAAAAGAAAAATATGTCAGTACTATTTACTATTTGTAATATATACATCTGGTTCAATATCTGGCTGAAAAACAGTCATTCGTTCGACCCGTGGTGCTCCTTAAAAGAGCATTTAATTACCAGAAATTGCAAAGTTGATTATGTAATATAGTTATTATTATGCTGTTGATAATAATAAAGAAACTAAAGTACTTTTTAGAAACTACATTAATATTAGAATCCTACGTAGCTCACTTCATTTTATAATAGACGAAATCAAAGCGTTATATGTCAAGCATCAACTTTTACCTTCTCTCAGTTTATGAAAATAAAATAAAAGCAAGAAAAATAAATTATTAAAAGTTTAGTTTTCTAAAATAAAAAATCCTAATCAAGCTTAAAAAATACTTCCTCTAAAGCATATCTGTTATTTAAAATACTGATTCGGGGTGCCGGTCATAAATGGGCTAAATAGTGATAAAACTATTTTATTAAAAGCCAACATTTCGACCCAAATTTGCAGGTCTTCTTCAGGGAGGTGTATTCAGCTAGGAGTTTGAATTAGAACTGCTGTGTTAAGAAAATTGAAGCAGTTCTAAGCCAAACTCCTAGCTGACCACACCTCCCTGAAGAAGACCTGCAAAGTCGAAACGTTGGCTTTCAATAAAATAGTTTTTCCACTATTTAGCCTTTTTATGACCGCCACCCCGGACCTTCTCCTTCCTTTATAATCCAACTATCAAATATTCAATAAAATACTGTTCAAATCATTTTGTAGTTATAAATTACACATTTTTAATATTTATGTCCCCAGACATATTGGTCAGAGAAAACTCTCATTAAATAACGAAATGTCAGATACTTTAACTGTCTGATAGCCACCTTGTAGTAAGAAATAGCATTGCGAACTTAGGAAAAGTAATTTTTTTTTTTTTTAAATTTCTTTATTGAGTATTATAACAATCTGTCTGTTGGACATTGGTTATAGTGAGGTAGGATGACATTCACACCATATGTACAAAAAAAATAAAATAAATAGAACAAAATAATAATCAAAAGTATATACAATAGACAATAAAATAAAATAACCTAAAAAATAAGAAAATTAAAACTAAGAAAAAAAAAAAGAAAAACACATGCATGCCTATATACAATCAGGCGAGGGAACTCCAGGAGAACCCTGCGCTACTCTCCCAACCGCGTCACTGGTACTAAAGCCAGAGGAGATTGGTCGAGAGCACTTTAGCCACATACACACATGTCTTGAGTGAAGAATCTGGCCATTGCCAGAACTCCAATTTATACAATCTACAAAAGGTCGCGAGGCCACTGCCGTTTCAACCTTCTTGGATGATTATAGGGATGGGAGATGCTTGATAGGGATTGTGCAAGAGGATTTGGGTGGTAAGTAAGGTTCTGGTGAAATTTGGAGAATTTTTCTGGGATAAGGTCTAGGACAAATGGGATGTTAAGGTCATGATGTAGGGTTTTGTTGGATACATAGAAAGGAGCATCGACTATTGTTCGAAGGACTTTAGACTGGAAGGATTGGATGCGCTTGATGTTAGAAAATTTTGCTGATCCCCACAGTTCTAGTCCGTAAGTCCAAATAGGTTTCAGTATTGTCTTGTAGATCAGTAGCTTGTTTTCAATGGAAAGTTTAGATTTTCTGCTAAGTAGTCGGTATAGTTGGCCGTATGGTCGGTTGAGTTCTTGTCTTTTGAGTCTAGTATGCGGGTTCCAAGTTATTCTTCGGTCTAAATGAAAGCCAAGATACCGGACTGTGTCTGAATAAGGAAGCTGGATGGAATTAAAGAGTACTGGTGGACAGGAATTGCGTCGGAGTGTAAAGGTAATATGTTGGCATTTAGATTCATTAACTTTAATGCGCCAGTTATTACACCAGTGCTCAATCAAGGTGAGGTGACTTTGGAGATTTAAGGATGCTATTTCGGGATCAGAGTTGGATGATAAGATTGCGGTGTCGTCAGCGAGGAAAAGTAATTAAATTTCTATTTATTTTTGATAAAACATAACAAAAAAAAAAAAAAAAAAAAATGAATTCAGGAGGAGGACCCTAATTACCATAGATATTACTATGCTCACCATAAAGTTCCTAGATAATGAAAGACTTAAACAACATATATGACAAGTTTATAAACTACGATCCTTTGCAGATTTATTATTATTTTTTATTTATTTATTATTTATTTACTTTGTTTCATTTTATTTTTTTATTTTAAAAATTCATTTGGTTATTAATTTCAACTCATTTACTGCTATTCTTTTTAAAAGTTTATTTATTTATCTATTCTATCTTATTATCAATAAGCGTCTATTGTTATTTTTATTTATTTATTTTATTCTATTAATCCTTTTATTTTTTATCCTGTTTTTTTTTATTCTTATTCTTTGGACTAACCATCCGAACAGTATAAAAGTATTGTTGTTTAATTGATCAGGTGCTGATGTCCTGGATGTTTTTGCGCCTAGACATCCAAACAAACAAACAAACAAATCTTAGATATTGAGTGTCTGAAAAGAACAAATGCTATAAACTTTCTGGAAAAGCATAATTATTATTTTGTTATATAAATATGTTCTTTTATTATTTATAAAAGATCAGGAATTTTCGTTTTTAAGGTTTTTGTGGACCAACTGACGAGTGATATTGTTGCCGTAACAAGATACAACCCGCTTACAATGGAATCGGTAATACTGATCAGCTACACAGTGTTTTTTAACCCCGATCCTGCGGCTTCTGGATCTGGCCATGGCATAACCATTCCTGGAATGGCCCACTCAGTTCTTTTACAAGCTCGATTGGTATACAAGTAAGCTCGCTCTAATTAGTATGTTGTTGGGTTTTAATTTTAATTTTTTTTTTTTTTTCAGTTGTCACTTCAAATTTTATATTTTTCTCATATAAATTTGTAATAAAAGATTTTATAGAACTTTTATTGATTATTTAATAGTTGACCGTTGCATTCTAAAGGAAGGAGATGGTCTGGGATGGCGATCATAAATAGGCTAAATAGCTATTTTATTGAAAGCCCTTCAAGCCCTTTTATTGAAAGGCTTTTAATAAAATAGTTTTGGCACTATTTAGCCTATTTATGACCGCCACCCCGGACCATCTCCTTTCTTTATATTTTATTAATTACGATAGAACTTTTTAATTAAAAAAAGTTTTACAATAAAAGGTCTAAAGAAATGAATTTGATGTCAACGTTTAGCTTTTAATTTGTTAAGTATTTGAAACAAAGTTATGTTAAAAATGAGAAATAAGCAATAATGGAGCTTATATTACGTATATTATTAAATTCAATGAATTGCCTGATTCTGATATTGAGAATCTACTTCATAATCATCAGTTTTTTAAAAATACTTTTTGGCTAAATAAATTCTTTAACAATAGTTCTTTTAAACAAAAAAAAATTAAATAAAAGTTCTGAAAAACCTTTAATTGATAATTTTCATGGAAAAAGTTTTAGTCCCAAAAGTAATAGAAAATAAAAGTAGCTTTCATATCAGAACTTATTTTAAATTCTGTAAATAAATAAAATAAAATTTAAATAAAAAAATATAATTATGTTTTAGGCCTGATAAAGACAAGTATGTCATGCCGACAGCTAAAAACAAATTCAGCGATGCTATCAACGGCCTAACTGATTATGAAGTCTTGATGTCGGAGAGAGTTAGCATTGACAACTGTCCAATGCTTCAGGCTACTCCGACCGGCTCATCCGTGCGCCTCAACCTCACGGACAATTTCAAGCCAGGCTCTGTTCTCGTAATCAGGTAGATATAATGTTTTTTGTTTTGTTTTGCTTTGATGAGCTGTATAATATTAACTGAAATTCAATTTGTATTGAAAGTTCGTCATAAATAACACATTATTATATTTATATTCTAATTATTCCTTCTGTCAGTCTACTGTCAACGATTTATACAGTTGACATACCAGCTCATCATAATACCATCACCATGCATACTGATAACATATATTTGCTATCAATTGAAATTACCCGTTAATAGCATTACAAACCTTTTAAAGGATGATCTCGAAACTAGAGGATTAAAATTAATTGCATCTAATCACCTTTACCCTTAATTATAAACCTATGACTTCCTGTACTATGACATTAATACTGCATCTTAAATAATATTCTACTTATCTCTGTTGAACAGGTCCACTACCTTGAAATCCTCATACAAGGTTGAAACTAAACTAAACTAGCCATTCCTGGCTACTCCAATACTTAACCTATGCTCTCAGTTTCCAATCAATTACTAACCTCTCATTTACATGATTATAATAAGAACTCTTTTGATTTATGAAATTAAACTTTAGGGCTCTTTAGACTCGTTGAATTCCTCTTATATCCAATCCTAACAATCTAAAATCTTCAATATTCCTTACTTTCTCACAAATAAAATTATCCCTAATAACGTTAATGTTTTATTGGTTGCTGATTTGGCCTAATCCAGATAGTCAACTTTTATATATTAAAATCTAGCCTCTTCCAGATCCTCTACTTTCTGATCTTGCTTCCTCTTCAATTCCTAATGATCCTCCTATATATATATGAAATGAAGATGACCTTGTGGCCTTCTAATAGAACTGTAATTGGAGTAGGGGTACCCATCCCCCAAGGCTGATGGCATATGAACTCCCTTCTTCCTCCAAAGAAATTTTATTGCCTTTCTCTTTTCAAAACAGTGTTAGCGAAAACTAAGTTAGAAAAGTTGTTGATCATATACAATAACTTAATGTGATACGGTTCATGTTTTCCTTCTTGATCGCTTATTTTGAACTTTTCACTCCAAAAATTCATAACCTCATCGAAATGTGCCCCCTCAAAAAATTCAATATTATGTCAAAATGTGTCCCCTTTAAAAATTTTGATGGCACGATTTGTGCTATGAATCCCCCTTCTGAGCACCCCTGAATTTCAGTGCTACTAATGGTTGAATTCTCTATAAATCTTTATTTTGTCGTTATACCACAGTTCACATTTATTTATATTTTTAGTTTCGATACACCCGGGACTGCTGTACAAACTCCGAAAATTCCTACCATCTACCTACTTCCTCAGTATCCGTTCCTACCTTACTGATAGATACTTTAAAGTAAATCACAACAATGTATAAATCCCGTTTTTCCCAGTCTGCAGGTGTTCCTCAAGGTAGTATCCTAGGTCCTATCCTTTACACAGTTTATACAGCTGACATCCCAACCCATCCCAACACTGTCATCACCACATATGCTGATGACATATGTATCCTATCAGTCAATAACGACCCATCTATTGCATCCCAAACCCTTCAATCCCACATCACAAACCTTGAAGAATGGTGTCAGAACTGGATAATTAAAATAAATTCCAATAAATCCCATCAAATTACCTTCACCCTTCGTCGTAAACCAATGACTTCCTGTCCTTCAGTATCCTTTAACAACACCTCACTTATTCCTGTTGAACAAATCCGTTACCTAGGACTCCATCTGGACAAACCTCTAACTTGGAATCCTCATACCAGACTGAAACGACAAGAAACGGCTCAACGTTTCCGACTACTTCAACACTTACTAGACAAACGCTCTAACCTTCCAATCAATTATAAAAGACTGATTTACATGACTATAATAAGGCCTATTTGGACTTATGGGGTTGAGCTATGGGGCTCCACCAAGCCTTCAAATTCCTCTCGCATACAGTCCTTGCAATCCAAAATCCTTCGTAAAATCCTCAATGCTCCTTACTTTGTTACAAATAAAATTATCCATAATGACCTTAATGTTCCTTATGTATCAGATTTGGCCCAATCCAGATATCTGTCCTTCCATAATAAACTTCATAACCATCCCAACCCTCTTGTCTCTAACCTTGCTTCCTATTCGATTCCTGATAACCCTCCGAGGCGTCTGAAAAGAAGATGGCCACGTGATCTTCTAATATAGACATATTATTAGAGTGCTACCAATGGGTAGTTTCTCAACATGTGTTCCATGTCTTTATACCAATGTGCAAATTTACTAGATGTATTTTTTGTGTACAGTTGTAAATATCATTTAAAATAAATAAATAAGTTTTGATACAGTTGAAAATTTAAATATATATATATTTATAATATATATATATATATATATATATATATATATATATATATATATTTATTATATAAACATCCTTATGTAATCTTCCGCCTTTTTAAGAAACTGAGACTGAGGTCTTAAATTCTTTTGCTGTCTTTTCTTTAATTTGAAGGACTCCTTATCTTAGATTGGTTTCTTAATGGACTGTTATAAAGATATTTGTATATATATATATATATATATATATATATATATATATATATATATATATATATATATATATATTGTTTTAAAGATAATTATCCAATATTAATAACAATAAAAAATTACAGAGTTATCAGTCGTAATAGTAGCCGAGCTGCAGCCGACAAGTTGAGAAGCAAATCAGTCGAAATTGAGAAGGCTGTGTTTCGATTAGGTCTGACCGATATTAACTTTGCCCTATTCCGATGCGATGGAGAAGGCGGTTCAGTCTATCACGTTCCCGGTCATGGCAACCTTGTCTATCAAGGGCTCCAGGGTGAGTTTTGTCAATATTATTTCATTTAAGAATTATAATTTCAACATAATATTTTACCACTTAATATTGTATTGTAATATTACAATATTAAGTTTATTACATTGTATAAATATTAAATTAATATTGTACCAACGATATGGATTATTAAAATACAACTGATTTTTTTACAGTTTCTTATAAATTTTTATATTACAAAAATTGGGAGGGGGGAAGAAAGTTAATATTAAATACTCAGTAGTTGTCTGTCAGTAATATTTAGAAAAGAGATGGTTTGTCATAAAAAAAAAAAAATAAAAACTAATTTTATTTAAGCCAACGTTTCGACCCAACTATGCAGATATTTATTAGGGCTAGAATGGACAAGATGCAAAAGATAAAGGAAACGGTAGGAGTTACATAATATTTAGATAGAAAAATTTTAAACAGGATAATAAAAAGTATTTAAAAGTAACGTAAAATGAAGAGTAACCAACAATTTATAGCATTTAGTTTGACCAATTTTTATTTACTCTATTATAGTCTGTGGTTACTTGGTTTCAAATTTCAATGTTCTTAATATTTCATTTACTCTGTTAGTATTTTAATGTTTTTAATATTTCTATATACTTTTTATTTACTCTGTTTATAATTTTCTTAATTTTTTATCTAAATGTCTTATAGGTGATAAATATTCAGAACACAGTTTTTTGTTTTGTTTTTTCATTTTTGCCAACATTTCAACCCAAATATGTGGGTCAATAAAAAATAAAATAAGTAAAATACAATCAGAGATATAATATTATACGACCGCTAATTATAAATAATGAACTATAGTGATTGATGGTACATGAATATTAACTAATGTTGCAATACACATATTACACACTTATCATATTACACATACAAATATGTAAATAGTTATACAAACTAAAAATTAAAAAAAAAAAAATGTATATAATCCATTTATACAAATTTGTAATATTTTCTCTTACTAACCGTGGTTTGAGCACTGAGGGTGTTCAAGTACTGACACATTTGGTAGGTAAGTGAAAAGGTTAGGGGGGGGGGAGGATTTCCCAGTTGTCCTTTTTCAGATAGCAAAAGGTAGGTAAACATAGTCAGAGGGGATGGGAGATAACATTTATGTTTATAGAATGTACATAATTTGCTGACGAAATATTTCAGATGTGTACAATATTTGAGTTGTTTCATATGGTTACAGAAATATGACTATTGGCTAGTAATGAAATGAATATAAGCAAGAGGTGCCAATCAATATAAATATAACTTAGTTTTGATAAAAAGTATATAATGGTTAGATAAATAATTTTTATAATAAAGACAATTTTAATATGTGTATTGCAATATTAGTTAAGATTCATGTACCATCAATCACTATAGTTTATTATTTTTAATTAGCAATCGTTTACTATTATATCTCTGATTGTATTTTAAAAAACATTTTCAGCCCTGAAGATGACCCACATGTTTGGGTTGAAGCGTTGGCTAAAATAAAAAAATTTAAAAAAGACTGCATCCACAGTCGACTAACTTCCTTCAATAAATGTCTTATAGTTCGTGAAGTTTTCTATATCTTTTGCATCTTGTTTCGTTCTAGCCTGATAAACACTTGAACAGTTGAGTCGAAACGTTAGCTTAAATATAAAATGATTTTCACATATTTAAGTTTTTATTTTGTTTTTTTTATGGCTGCCGCTCCGGGACTATCTCTTCTCTTAAAAAAAAATTATTGTTTCATTGGGACTGGATAATACATCGAATATTATTTTTGATTATTTATTTAAAGTATGGAATAGCCTTGTTTAATTGACGTTACAAATATTGGCTTCTCAAACTATATTTATTGCAGGTGTAATGTCCTTGTTGGAAGAAATCGCTGCAAAAGATGACCTCGGCCACCCGCTTTGTGCTAACTTAAGAGCTGGTCCCTGGCTTGGAGACTACATGGTCAATAGGCTGAAATCTAGGCCTTCCACAAACTATCTAGGTATTTAATATGTTGGCAGTGGAGCAACTACTTATAAATTTTTAAAATCTCATTTTTAAGGAATTATTAAAGAATATTTGTTATTTAATTAATGAGAGCAAAAATTACAAAATAATTGTTTGGACATTATCGGAAGGGTTTAATATTTAGCCTTAAGTCTCTTAACTGGGTAAAGGTAACACTATTGTAACCTACCTTAAAGGTATCAATTCATTAAAGCGACAAAGTCGTTCCTTCTTAGGTATTTCTCAGTTCTTTTTATCGATCTTCTGATCCATAACACTTATAGAACTGTTTATTAACCATTTTATGGTATATTTAGCTAAACTGATCACAACAATGACAAAAATAACCGTAACAACATAATAATTAAAAGTATAGAGGTCAGTTTGCCAAAATGCATTCATAAAAGAACTCATATGGAGGTATGGGAACAAACTATTGTTTAATATTAATAAACGAATTATTTATTTTATACAATATTAAAAAAATAAATAAATATAAGTAATAAAATGGAAATCAGTGAAGAACTGTTTAATATAATGAATTGGTTCAAATACGTCTCTATACTCTCAATTTTCCTCACTTCGATTATGGCTGCCTTGTATATGATGGACTGTCTGGAGGGAGGGCTTGAGTATGCCTCCAATTGGTATGCTGAGTTGAAGTGGCTCTCTCCAATTTTCCAATGGCAATATCTCCTAAAATCATCTTAATTTCAAAGCTCCAATGTAATTTAATTCATTCTTGATCATCATCTTATGCGAAACAAATATCACCGAATTGTTCATTACAATTATTCTAATGGGTATAAATTTCCCAGAATAAAATTTACTTTCTTTCTTTCTACAAATATGTCTTTCTGTAGAACCATATACAATGTTGGCACTAATAATTTTGTCTACATTTGTTGAGTGTCGTTCTCTACTCAAAATAATTTTTACCTTTTATTATGCCATTCTGGTTAGGCAATTCAAGGCTAAGTAAAGATAAAGGTTCATCATTGATTTTTCTGATTTGTTTTAATTCGGTAGCAATTTTTTTTTTAACAAAACATTCGGTAAGTTAAAAAGCTACTGTATCTGTAAGACAAATAAATTAATTATTTTAAACGGTAGATTTCACCATTACAATGAAGAAGATTTAAGGCGAAAAGGTATCGCTTCATCATTTAGGCGATGTTACCTCAAGTAAATAATAAAACAATCAGACTTAGTTGGTGGAGATAGCATTGCTAAGAGGAAGGAATGCCAGAAGAAGGGAATACCAGGAAATTAATTGGATCAAACAGAAACTTCATCAAAGATATGATCGGGATCGAGTTCCGTGTGAATCTACAAATAGTTTATGAACCACCATGCCGGACCGTCTATTCGTTATACTTTTTATTTGAATAATTTATGTATATATTCTATTTGTTTGTTAGAACATTATATAATGTTACTGTAGTCATATTTCTTTTTATGTTATTATTAATCTATTTTAAATAGTTACTTTTTTTTTTAATTCTTACGGATGATGCATGATGATAGGTGATCTGATCCAGAAAGAACTGAAAAACATTTCGGAACTGCCGACTGGAATCAAACCTTGGGGTTATTACAAGGTCTTCTCGCAGGTTCATAGCGTTCTCGTTTCAAGAGCTCTCTCTCTTTTATCCACGTAAGTATAAAATGTTACATACACTTAATAATAATATTATTATTATTATTAAGGTACAATTTTATATATACCTAATTATATGTGCATTTATCAATCCTTACCAAATTTAATTTATTCTAAAACAAGCCTTATACCTGAAAGAAATAAGAGCCTAATATATTAAGGGTGATAAATATTCAGGACACAGTCATTTCGAGTAACAAAGGTATTCAAGTGTTCTGAAACATGCCCTGATAATGACTTACATGTTTGGGTTGAAACGTCGACACCAATACAAACTTTGCAATGGCTGCGTCCTGAATATTTATCACCCATGATATGTAGAACTGTTGACAAACTTCTTTCACTAATATTCTAATATTTTCATTTATATTTCCCTTATGCTTATATTTATATTTCCTTTATATTTAATTATTCCCTTATGCTTTCTTATTATAATTTCATATTTTATTATCCTCTGCTATTTCTCATAGTAGCAGGCTACTTGTATCAGTGTTGCAGAGAACAAAATGTCGCCTTTAGCACAAATATTATAAGACCTGAAAATTTCTATATACGACATTTTGCACTCATGGTAGTGATATATGCTCAATATGAATGTTTTCAATCGTAAAATTAATCGAACTAGAAAATGCATGAGAAAAATTCAACTTGTCATTTGTTCAGAGTTAACGAGAGCAATACACCATCCTCGAGTCAGAACAAAACCAATTAGGATGTATTATAAAAATATGAGTGAAGCTGACACAACTGAGATATTTTTTTTTTTTTTTTTTTAAGTTTATTTCTTCTTAACAACAATGAAATTTTTAATTATGATTAAAGAAAACTATTGATTTTCATTAATAAGGTTCATTGATTATTAAATTATTTTCTTGAGAAAAATTTCTCTAATGATATGAAGAGGGGAGGAGGCAAAATCTCTTAAGAAATGTTGAAAATAAAAGTTTTGTTTTATAAGTTTAATATTGTAAATCTGAATTTCTGAACAACTTAATAACTAATTATTGTAAAATGTTTGTTAACAGTTTTGCCCAAGAAGGTGACGAACTTACTAGGCTGTTATCTTTGTGTTCGGTGCAAATGGTAGCAGAGGTCTCCAGCCTGCCGCCGCTCTGCGAGAGTGTCTTGCACAGCAACACTGCGCTATCTAACGGCAACGCTGACCAAGTTTCTGTAGCGACCCTAGCTGCAGGTCAGTTTGAAATGTTGGTATTACGCGCTTTTAATTAACCTTTTCACGGTGGCGAGTTATAAGCTTTACATGACTCACAACTTTAAGTGAGAGAGCAATCCGCCTATCAGCCTGTGCTACATATTTTTTACCTGCATTACTTCGAGCTGTGGACCGACTTTAATATTAATATTAAAATTTGTATTTATAAGGGTACTTATACAAATAAAAATATCCACAATGAAATATAAATAAATATAGTGTTTATAATTTTTACTTCCCCTTTGTCTGAATATACTTATTTCCGCTAAGAAGAGAGTGGTAAACGAAAGTTGTGTGATGTACGTGCCACACCAGATTTTTTCATATATTGATATATATATTTATTTATTTTCTGATCTCGCACTGCTTAGTGGTGCTAAAAGGAAATTAAAGATTATGATGATATTTTTGTCAATATTTACATCCCTTCGGCAACCTCCAGGTAGCCTTCAATGGTTGAAATAAATAACCAAAGGTCACATGTAGTTCAGTTACCCATAGAGTAAGGTTTGTTTAAATTATATTGAAGGAAAGTTAATTTTTTTTTTTTTTAAATTAGGACTACCACACTTCAGTAACGGATTAATGCGTTGCTGGGGCAGAGACACTTTTATAGCCCTTCGAGGACTCCTGCTGTTAGCTGGAAGGTATCATGAAGCGAGGTCAGTACCATCTTAAGAAATGTGCCTATCAATACTTTTTTTTTATCATTAAAACAAAAAAAAAAAAAATGAAAATAAATTCATGATAATGAGCTTAGGTGTCATATCTTGGGATTTGCTGGCTGCTTACGACATGGCTTGATCCCGAACCTTTTGGACGGAGAAGGCCTGAATCCTCGCTACAACTGCCGAGATGCTGTTTTCTGGTGGCTATACAGCATTAAAGAATACTGCCTCCTTGCACCATCGGGCACCGACATCCTGAGGGACAGCGTTAACAGGCTTTATCCTAAGGACGACACGCCAAAGCCTCTCTTTGTTGTAAGTTATAAGATATATTTTATTTTTATATGACTTATAGTTTATATGTATATTTAAATCTTTTAGGTTAGAACTCTATTAGTAATAATAAAACCACACAATTTGATCACAAAAGTCGTACTTTGTTTCTTTTTCTACTCCAACGTTTCTGTCCTTAGGCCATTTACCAAGGAAGAAACCTTTAACAAATAAAAACAATTCTCATAACCTAATTACACTTGCTCATTAATTATTTTCATTTTATAGTTTATATTTACCCAGCTATTTTAAAAAACTAAAATTATATGGGCTGAATTGCCCTAGTTAATATAACTTAAAAGTCTGATGCTGAAACCTGTAGTAGACATCCCCCCCTGCATTTACTCCTTTATGTGACATTATGTGAGGCAATGAGAAGGAATATATAATATATAGGAATGTGAGGTTGCACGATGAATTTTACTCAATTGTGCAGTAGAAAAATTCATTGAAAAGTCTCATATCGATAAACAATCGATGAAGAAGGAAAAAGCAGGTAACAGCAGCTGGAGAGAGAGAAGGGCACTTGAGGCTGGGACACGGAGGAGAGAGGACGCTAGACCTGGACAGGAAGAAAGGAGGTTGACAGAAGAGATAGATACTACATTGAAGACAGAGAAATCAAGCCTACAGTTATAAGACTTTTATACATTCATTTATTACAGTTGTAAAATAAATTGTTTTATTATGCAGGAGTAAAAAGTCATTTTATTTAGTTGTTCTATATGCCTCACGATTGAAAAATAACAAAACAGGTGAGTCAATTCATTTAAAGTGTATTTACTAAGTCCCATTTCAAATATATATTCTTATTGTTTCTTCTCACTCAATGTCACAAAAGGTATTAGATTCCCGAATTCCTAACAACAGTTAAACACCCTCAAAAAGTCTATATCCAGTGCCGGGGATTTGTTTAATAATCACGAGTGTAAATAACCTAGTTTCCCGATAAAAGCGGAAGGCTATTCGCCTATTCCCGTCAAACAAATCATTTACAATAAACTTTTAATAGGTTATTTACAAACCTCTACTTATAAGGTTTCCTGGTATTGTACATAGTATACAGTTACCAAGAGGCCTCGACAGAGCGTTGTTCAATTTAGGGGTAAGATGACTAAGTGGATAAAAGAGATGAGTAGACAGAATGACCTCAAGTGTCAGGCGGATCAGCACCCAAATCACTCTCGGTCTGCGGTGTAACGGATTAACCTTAACATTCCACAGGAACGGTAGCGACAAACGGAGGGATCAATCTCTTAACTTTGTGGGAGGATGAGATACTAACGGAGGGATCAGTCTCCTGACTTAGTATGTAGGAATACAAGCGGACAGATCAGCATCCAGATCTTGTATGGAGAGAGAGAAAGAATAGGATAAAGGTTATAGGAACATAATAATAGAAAAGGCAGTTTGATGTAGAACTGAAAAGAGTATACAAATCATATACTGATAGGTAGGTTTCTGATATCCAAAGCCAGAGGGCTAGGAGGATCATTCTTTCATAAAGATGGGTAACGAGAGTCCTACCCGATTATTCTGTTCTTATTTTTAGATCAGTAGATTTATATACCTTCATCTTTATTTAATAAAATAAACATACTTTTACAGTACATGTTTTACTATAAAAAAATAGAAATCATCTTCTAATATGAGCGTCTTGTAGGGCCGCCACAAAGTCTTAATGGTGAGGTGTGTAGTAGCAATCTGTTTAATTTAAACAGTTTCTTTCTGTAAACATATACAGTAAATTGTTTCACTCGAGATTAAACAGATACAAGGATTACATTCTATTAGGAAGGGGCAACTTCTTAAAATCAGCACTGAATTCATCGATGGCATCGAATAAATTTCTAAACTGAGCAAAATGAAGCCATCGATGAACTCTGCACTGAGTTTAGGAACTTAACCATGACATCTCACTGTACAGGTTTAGTAGGTGGAGACAGTGATACCGACGTGAAAAGAGGAAAACACTGAATCTGTTAAATGAAAAGCTTTCCGAAAGAGATACAGAAACCTGTTTCATTAAACAGCTTCTTGCAAGAGATCCGTAAGAAGTTTTCTTCTAAATTTGTTTCTTTCTTAAACAGCTCTACTGTACTATAAACAGTACTGATTGCTGTTTCAATGAACAGAAACACCAGCCACCGCACTGTTGCAACCTATAAACAGCTATGCAGATTCTGTTCAAAGAACAGTTTTATCAATTCGTTTTTCTATCTAATTACTATTTTCTCGTTATTTTCATCAATAAATTTACTTATTACCTTTAAAAATGTTATGATACAGGATTAAAATTTTAATGCTAGTTTGACTTATATCAGCAAATATAAAAACAATCTTTTTTTTTGTCTCACATTTGATATATTATAAACATAAAATTGAAATTTAACAATTAAATTGATAATTACTAAATACTGTGGAGATAAAAATCACATCTTATTAAAATAGTGTAAAGATAACAGAAGAGTTTGTTTTTTTTAGTCAAGTTGTGAAAGAGTTGTATCTGTTTTTTGAAAGTAGCAGAAACTGTTTGCAACTGCTATTCATGATAAACTGTTTTGCCCATCATTAATTAAGTTATGTTTATTTAAACCTCTCCATATTTTATTTTAATGATCACATTTCAAACTATATTACCAAAATTAAAATTACATTATTAAAATATCCTTATGTATTGTTAAACTAGTTCACAAATATTATATTATGAGCAAATACAATTTATTCATAGCCCTATTATTAATTCAATCTATTTTTAATTTTGTTATGAAACATAATTTTTATTTTTCAAATTTAAAATTTAACATAATTTATTTTAAAGAAAATATATCTAAACAAGTATAAAACTCATTATTTTTGTATTTCAATATATTTACAAATTAATTTTACTTATTATTTCTTCATATTTGATAGATTTAAATCTGTCGAACGATTACAATATCAACTCTGTACATGTATGGGATCTGTATTAAAAAAATTAATGATATCTGATTGCAGGAACAACAGCTGAGTGAGGTAATCCAGGAGGCACTGACGGTCCATTTCCAAGGCCTGACATTTAGAGAGAGGAATGCAGGGCATCAGATTGATGAGCATATGGTCAGTGAGGGTTTCGACAACCAGATTGGTATCCACCCTCACACAGGTTTGTCTCCGTAGCAAAATATTAGTAATAGTCCAATCTCACCAAATATTATATTTTATTATAATATGTATGTCTACTAGACCTGTAAAAGTCAGAGAATTTTATGAACACTGAAAGTCTGGGAATTTTATTAACACTGAAAGTCTGGGAATTTTATGAACACTGAAAGTCTGGGAATTTGATGAACACTGAAAGTCTGGGAATTTTATGAACACTGAAAGTCTGGGAATTTTACCAACTATTGGTGTTATGATGCAGATTATTATTATGATTGGTCCCAATACGTTTACATAATAATGACACATAAATAACTATACTAGTTGTTCAAAAATTTTCAAAAATAAATAGTGTCAATAATAGGTACCTTTAGCTTAGTTGTTGTTTGTAATGTCAGTTTGTAAGTATAGAAAAATTACTCCACAAATGTCAATGTATAATTTTTGTGAAAACGTGTATAACGCGTGGCAATATCAAATTTTATTCACAAATGTTAACCAATTGATACTTTTTTGTGATAAGTAATATATATTTAAATGGTGCTCCTGTAGCTATTACTAATCTAATACTTGAAAGTTAACCCTCTTCCCTTTCTTTTAAAGTTTAAAAACATTGAAGCATGGATTATCAATATCTTTTATTGATATTTCTATCTTTACATTTATTCTCTTTAGGATTAAAAGTATCGAGGTCTTATCTATAAATTTTTTTTTTCAATAAATAGTATTTTGAAATATATAGACATATAACAATATATTGGCAGCCACACTGCAAAAGCCTGTAAGAACAAAAACTAAAAATTTTCAGGAGACAAAAAAAAACAGTAATTTTTTTTTTTTTTTTTACATTAGGCCTCTCTAGAAATAATGTAGAGAAAACTCTAAAATAGCAGGACTATTTAATTTTTCACTGAACAAATTAATGTGACATTAATAATGAACATCTAATGGAGGACTCATTAAGACTTGAAAATGGCCCTTAGTATGGTCGAAATGTCGTAATTAGTAGCTAATAAATGAAATGTTGGTGAATAATGGCCTAATTTATATAAAAAAAGAAAACCTTAAGACACCAATTTTAGGAATAATGAACAGTAATTTTTGTTCTATGAGCATTATATTTTCGGTTCAATTTTGTTTGCAGGCCTAAGACAAAGATATAGTGCTCCATGTAACTTGTTTGATCTTGTTTCTGTCAAATAATCTTTTAGAGCCATTAATTCTAACTTATAGATTTTTAGTTACTTTGAAAAACAGTTATTAGTTAGGTGAAAACAATTAAATTTATTGTAGTAACACCCACAACTTTGTTAATAATCATCAAATCATGACAGGAACAAAGTCAGTTTCTTAAATATAGAGAAACACTACTTCAAATGAAAATTTATAAAACATTTGACTAGAAGCGGGTATTTAATCACACGAGCTATTCACTTTTTCGTCTCACACTGTAAGGACGCCTTGAACGAAGTGCATGTGCCCCATTTCTGATTAGTCTATGAAAGTTTCGTCTTTAATGTACTTAATTTCATATGGGCATGGTGTGATTCAGGTTTTTATAGTGTGGCTCTCGATGTATTAACTTGTATTACTTTTTGGTTTTTTTTTGTATAATATTTAGGTTATGTCTAGTTAGGTCCTAAATAAAATAAAGATTGTCAAAATAAAACATAAGAACATTTTTACTACAGAATTACTCTAAACTCCGAGAAGACGAAAGCCATCCTGATCGGAACTCCCTCACTCCTAAAATCCTTACCGACACTTACTCTGTCCTTTCTCCAATCTTTTCCTCAATAACTCACCTATCTCATTCCACACTTCCATAAAAAACCTTGGTGTTACCTTTGATGAAACCCTCTCCTGGAAACCACGCATCTCCCAAATTTCCTGTCGTACTATCTACCCTGAAACAGTTTAACCGTCTCCGCTATCTCCTTCCATATAAATCCTGACAACTCCTGGTTTCCTCTCTTGTGTTCCTCCACTTTGACTATGGCTGTCTGGTATATGGCGGACACGCAGGAGAATTCGAAGACCAGAAGTGATTTTATTTACTTATATTATTTTATTTTCATATGTTTGTATTATATATATCTATATTTAGTGTTTTTGTTTTAATTTTATGGCCACACAGGCATTTTCTCTGTATCTATAATTGGTCCTAAAGGGACAACAGTCCCAGGGTAATAAAAATCTATTTTCATTTTCATTTTTTGAAAAAAATATAATGTTAAGCAATGGACATTAAAATCACTATGATCTTAGATATTCTATTGATACCAAGTACATCTCATAATTGAAGACGATATTACATTATACGATAACTTTTTTTTTCTTTAGGTTTTGTTTTTGGTGGTAATGAATGGAACTGTGGTACCTGGATGGACAAAATGGGGTCTAGTGTTGAAGCAGGCACCAAAGGGAAGCCCGCAACCCCTAGAGATGGCTCCGCCGTCGAGATGGTAGGCCTCTTGTATTCCGTTCTCAAATGGTTGGCAACCCTTTCTGACCTGGGAGAATACCCTCATCGGGGAGTCAGTAGGCTCTCCAAAGATGGTTTGTAAAAATTCTTCTTATACTTTGCTAGTTTATATTCATGATTATTAAAATTTACAATTTAATAAAAATTATAAATATGTATCTTTCGAGAGAATATTATTTTCTTATAGATCATGTAGTTAAAATTGCTTACTAACAGTTCATTGACTAGAGCTATTCTATTTTTATTGATTTATTTCTTTGTATTATTTCTACATGCTAGACAGGGAAACAATGCTTGCATCCTGTCATTATTCTTAAGGAACTTTTTTAGACCAAGAATAAAATTATTTTTCATTTCATTTCAATATACATTTTTGAACGTTTACTATTATTATTATTTTATTCATGTTTTACTCCCATTTGTTTATCAGTATTTTCTGCATTTTTGATAAAATGGGTGTTTGCAGCAGTGGATTTTTTCACATGCCCGCATCTGCAATTACATCAGTTTCATAATTTTAGAAACATTTTTACTCGTTACTTTTTTAAAAATTAATTTCGCAAAAATCTGAATAAAAAAATTATAAATAAAGTGTTATATAAAAAGAATTATCATTTAATATCTTATTGAAATTCTTCAGGAATGTTTATTTAACTTAAGTGAACTTTAACTCGTTTTACTATGATACAACCTTTTAATTTTATATTTTTTACTGTAGATCATGTAAAATATATGATATAATATAAAAGTACGCACAAATAAAAGACTTAATTTTCTTGCCTAAGTTTTAGGCTTCCGTCAGGGCAAAACACATAAAGATTCTGACCTAAAACTTTGGCCGAAATCTCGACATACAAGAAAAATAAAGTTGTTTATTTGTGTGTACTTTTATCTTTGTGTTTATTTTCTAAGCCGCACTATTTGCACCTCCTATTATTTGATTTATGGTCAGTAAAATTTTCTACATTAATATATAATTTCATCGTAAAATTAAAATATTGTTTCATAATAAAGGGAGTTTCAAGTTTACTAAATAAAAAGATAAATAAAAGTTTCTGAAAACTTTCAACAAGAAATGAAATAAATAATGAATATGCCTTTCTATATTACAGATTATTACTATTTTTTATATTCAACTCTTTGTGGAAATAATGAAAAATATGTTTACAAGTAAATTCTTTTATGAATTATTTAGTATTAAATATTTTGATTCATCATACTTATATCAGATCAGAATTAGCTTGTATTGCTAAACGATAAAAGATAGCTGCAATTTTGTCAGTGTACATTTGTTCCTCCTAGGTGTGGCTGTCACCTGGTCTTGGAAGGAGTGGTCACAAAAAATAAAAGATAACTTTGAGGAGGAGTTCTGGGTTGGGGAGGATTGTACCAACCGCTATGTCAATCGCCGTAACATCTACAAGGATACGTGCGGTGCCAAGCATGAATGGGCTGACTATCGTCTGAGGCCTAACTTCACTGTAGCCATGGTTGTGGTTAGTGTGCCATTTTTTTTTTTATCTATTTTCAATCAATAGTTGATTGGTATATTATAATATAGTCTGCAAGTGGATTTGCAAAAATATGTCTTATTACGATTGGGAATAGAGGAATTTATTGGCAAATAACTTAAGGAGAACTTTTAGTGTACGTGCACCCCTAACAAAGACTGCTTTTCTTTTCTGATAACTATGTGTTGTCTTATTCTAAATCTGGTTGCATAGAAAACCAGTATTTATACCTCAGATTAAAGAATTAAAAATGTTATTGAAGGAAGTTAGTCGACTGTTCTACATATTATGGGTGATATATATTCAGATCGCACTCATTATAAAGTTTTTATTAGTGCCGACGGATCAGTACTTGAATACCTTCAGTGCTTAAACCACGCCCTGATAATGACCCACATGTTTGGATTGAAACGTCGGCACTAATAAAAACTTTATAATGACTGCGTTCTGAATATTTATCACCCAATTAAAAATGTTGTTTTAGCTGAAGTGTTAGTTTTCTTGAAGTTGTTTAAAATTTACTATGTTCATAAAAAATCTTTTGAAACTGAAAATGCTTTCTGTAAAGTCAGTTTCTTTAGTGATTGTCATTTAAATTTAATGCAGATGAAACCAGTGGGCATAACTAGTATCTAATATTTCTTATATCTTCTATGTTTATGTGTTTTCTTCATTCTTAGTATAGCTATACTCACAGACATATATTAGTCCATGGTACAGATATCTTTTTATCAAATTATTAACACCCTTCTAAAACTTCGTTAATAGCTTCATCTCATCCCAACTGACATCTTTTTAATTTAGGTAAATTCTCAGAAATGAGACGTTTTCGATATAGAAATCAGCAAACTTTGAATGAGATATTAAAAATTCATTAACACCCACTTGAATTCTAAGATAATTTAATCACGAAATCGAGGAAAAAGGTGGTATACAAAAATATTGGGCCATTTGGCGTGACCTCCACTCTCCCTCCCCCAACATGTCAAAATAACGAGGTTATATAGGCCAAATTACCCAATATTTTTTATGCCACCTTTTGTCTCTATTTTGTTGTTAAATTATCTTACGATTCAAATGGAAAACAAATTCATTCATTTTTAGTATCTTATTTTCCCCATTTCTAATATTTTTGTAGATAAAAAAAGTTTTAGGTTCTGATAAGATGAAACCATTGCCAAACTTTTAGGTGGATGTTGATGATGATCGATGCCGCTGCGAGTGATGAGTTTTATGCCTACGACAGTGCTAAGTATTGGCTACCTACCTCCCGACCCGTGCTACATACTTTTTACCTGCTTTCCACTCTTCATTACCGTCTCTTACTGATATCTGTTAACATTATTTTATTTTTCTATTCTCCTTTTTGATTTGGGCTATGGACAAAACTTTTTTTTAATATTTTTTAGTCACATCCTTCAGGTTTGGTGCCATTTTCTCATAAGTTTTTTACATATATTTTAGGCCAAATATACACAGTTTTTTATATCCTATATTCTTTATTCCACGTTTCAGCTTCAGGAGCCATTTTCAAGATCCATGCACCGCGCCATAATTTTTTTTAAAAATCTGTCATTGCAATATGATTCGTCCTTTAGTCATTCTTTTATTTCAAAGAATGTCGTTTTTTCACTTCTCTGAAGAAAATTGTTGCTCCTCACTAGGGCATTCATACAGGACTCTCTTGGACTCTCTCATGAGTTCTGTATGAATGCCCTAGTGAGGAGCAACAATTTTCTTCTGCGAAAGAGAAGTGAAAAAAATGACATTCTTTGAAATAAAAGAATGACTAAATGACGAATCATATTGCAATGATAGATTTTTAAAAAAAATTATAGCGCTGTGCATGGATCTTGAAAATGGCTCCTGAAGCCGAAACGTCGAATAAAGAATACAGGATATAAAAAACTGTGTATATTTGGTGACCTTTGGCCTAAAATATATATAAAAAACTTTTTTTATACGTTTAAATATTTATTTAATAATTTAATTTTGTATGGTATTCTTTGTGGTACTGTGACGAATATTTTTTTAATATTATATTTCTTTTGGCAGTAGTAATGAATTCAGCTGCTTCCACAGCTATGAACCACTGTTTCTCCATTTTAAATAAAATAATGAAGCAAAAAAAGAATTACTAACTTTTAACTAAAATAATTAATTTTTATATGGCCACATAATTAACGAAACTAATCTTATTTGATCTAATTTCTAATTAAAATAACTAGACTAAACTAAATGACATTTTTATAAACTCAGAGCAGTTGGTTGTTTCACATAGAACACAAAAACAAGAATGAAAATGGTAGAGACAGCCAGAGAACGGTTGAGTCACTCATAACAGTTCATAAATTCTACAAAAAAAGCTCCAAAATAAATCCTTATGCCATCTGTAGGCTCTAGTTAGAAGCATTATTTCAGTAGGAAACCAGTAGAATGTAGCAAGGTCGCAGAAGCTATATTCTACATTAGTACTGAGGGCAGGGGTGGTTACGGCAACTATAGCCGTTGTTAGCAGTTAGAGAGTTAATAATTTGATAAAAAAATGCCTTAACTCCGGACTATACTTCATTTGTATCTTTTATTTAAAAAATCATTTATTTATTTTTTATATTAATCTTGTTTTTTTCTCAGGCGCCTGAACTATTCAGTCGAGAGCATGCAGCCTTGGCCTTGAAAACAAGTCGCGTCTTGGAGGGTCCTCTTGGGACGAAGACCCTTGACCCCTCTGACCTGGCTTACGCTGGCAACTATGACAACGACAATAACTCTTCAGATTACAGGGTAGCGAGAGGATACAATTATCACCAAGGACCGGTCAGTTGTCTATAGATTTATTTTCTATTGTTTCTTTTACCTTTTTAAAAAATATTTATACATAATAGAAATTCGCAATGTTGTATTGCCTTCATGAGATGAACTTGAATCCAAGCTAGGAGAGACTCAAATTGTATATTATACTTGAACCATACATTTTATAAATATGTGATCTGCTCAAAAGGTAATTTTTCCTTCTCTCAGCTAGAATTTTTGACAATCTAATTGTCAACGATTTTTTGTTTCTTCCCATCACAAATACAGTTGTTAAGATGGCAGTTCACTGTTGAGGCGGTTACATTTATAAGTTAATATGATAGTAGCTGTCAGTGCAGCTAAAACTTACATAGCTACCATAGAATTTATGTAATGATAAACTAAAATTCAATCTAATGCCTCAGTTTCATCTGCTGATTTATCATTTAAATAACGTAACTTCCAGACATATTTGATACGATATAACTCCGGAGCCAATTAAGTCTCAGTCACTGAATTTGTTCTTATTAAAAAGTGTTCCGTTTTTGATAATTCAAATCTAAAAAAGGACAACATTTTCAAGATTGAAATTTCATCAGCAAGTAGTACACTGATTGGATTACATATGAAGAAATAATTAAAGTTGAGACTCTTTTCATTATTACAGTATTGCTGTGCTAAATGTCTCTTTTTATGTTAATTTTTATTTTATAGTTGTCAATTTTTTTAACAACTTTCCTCACTACTTGTGAGATATATTGCGAGGACAAAAAATTTAGAGCAAAACGTCATAATAATTTTAGTTTTTGTTTTGTTTTGACATCTGCAAAAATGCCACAGTTAAAATAGGTAGGATACGCTGATACCGACTCACAGTAGACAGCCATATTTGTTGCGCTATAACTTATAGAACCAGTCGAGTCTCAATGATCAAATTCATATCACACATTCCTATCATTAAGAGGTATAAATTGTACTAATTTCATAATTTTTTACAAAATCCCTTTGGTGATGTATAATATCAAAAATAGCCAAAAACAACTTTTGAGCATTTTTGAAAATTCATATTTAAAAAAGGACTAGATTTTCAAGATTGAAATTTCATCAGCAAGAGGTACAGTGGTAGGACTACATATAAAGAAAAAAATTAAAATTGAAACTCTTTTCTTTATTAAAATTTTGCAGCTCTACAAGTCACTTTTTTTATCTGTTTACATGATATTTTTAAACCATTCTCCTTTCTTTTTAGATGATGTATTGATCAACTGAAATGTAGAAAAATACTCTAAAATTATTTCAGTTTTATTTTGGATTGTTATCTACAAAATAACTTGAGTTACAGACATTTTCTGAAAACATGTTTTCAATCGTAAAGAAAATTAAAAGTAGCCGCCAAGGAAAAACTGTGAGCCTTAAATTTTTTTTAACTACAGCTTTGAACTCTCAAATAAATATGGTATAACTGCTAAAAAAATTATAAAAATAAAACATGTCGAGCAACATAGTCTAGTTGATTTCAAATGGATTGACCAAAGAGGAAACAATTATATTTAAATAATATGAGTATTGCTCAGAACTTTCTCGTTTCAAGTTCATCTCGTCGCCTTGTGGAATTGCATAGCAATTGACTTGGAAGTTGAGTGGAGTATCTTCTAGTTCCAGTCTCTCTTGCATCAAGTCTATCACCCCCTCATGAGCAGAGGGCCTAAGTGTTCTGTTATTCATTTCAGGAATGGCTGTGGGTGAGCGGCTATTATTGGAGGGCTAAGTTGATGTTCAGCGAGGGCAGTGACAGGCTGGCAGCTCTCAAGGAGGCCAAGCAGTGGCTTGGAAGAGCTTGGACGCACCTGAGGAGTTCACCGTGGCGAGGGCTGCCAGAACTGACGAACAGCGATGGGAACATCTGCTACCACTCGTGTCCCACCCAAGCCTGGTCGGCGGCTACCTTTCTAGAGGTACGACTTTTTTTTTAATTTTATAAAATGTCATGAGTCAATAAAAAATTGTTAGGATAATATTAGATGATTGAAATTCTTAACTAACAAATTATCAGCCGCCAATATTGTACATCTTTCAGCCAGTTTTGATATTATAGCTACTAAATTTTAACAATTCATTATTTTATTTTGTTTTTTTTTGGCATAATGCACCATGACCACAAGGATCTATTGTCCGCCATGTTCTAATCTGTTTTGTGCTAAAACATTAGTTGTGTTGCTCCCACATATTTTAATAGGCTTATAGTGTTGACTCATAGCTTTTGAAATCAGACAATTCATTAACTATTTTTATTAATAAATTACAATATAAATTATTATTTTAAAATATGATTCTTACTAGAAGCCAGTGTTGGGCATTACTTGAACAAATTTGTATCTAGATATCGAATAATAAATAAATTTTTAGCTTTAATTCATTAGCTAAATTATTAGTCATTTAAGATAAATATTTCGTTCAAATGCAAACCACCCATATGAAAGTTCCAGTCACTTCTATGCTAAAAAAAGTCAGACTTTTCATCATTTCAGTTTCCTCCAATATTTTGTGAACGGGTATGGATTCCTCTTTTTCAAACAATTTTCTAGACATTTAGAAATAGTTGAATAAGAAAACTAGAGCTTAAATATTTCCAAGTTTTCATTCGCTTTTCCTCTTTTATTTGTGATCGATTTTTCATGGTTCAAACTATTTTCTGACGGTTTAGAGGTACGTTCTCTTCTTCCTTTTTTTTTATTTTTTATTTTCATCTCACACAACCTGAAAATTTTTGTACTCTGTGGATTTTTATGATTTACTTTAAACTAATTTTCTGAATGGTATCAAAATGAGATTATTGTTTCTTGGATCACGATGTTATAATATGAGTTAATATTAGGATTTGATAGTTTGATTTAAAAAAATGAAGTATAGCTATCGATTAAGCAAATAAAGCTAAAGATGAGCTTGGTAAGACCAAACAAATGTTATTCACAATAATTAATTTGAGTTATTGTCATGTTTAAATTTAAAATTTCTGTTTTTATTTTTCTCTATTTTTAAATAAATAAAGAGGTCATTGTTTTATAGGTGCTGTACGATTTGAAAAAGATGAAAGCGTGATTATCTGCCGAAGTCGAGCATTTCTTCTGCGACTGCTATTTCTCTTTGCCATATCACTTTTAGTCCGTTTAGTTCATTGTTAAGTCATGTGTAAATATTTTGGTTAAGGTGTCCTAGTAATATTACATCAATTCTTAAGTAGGTTTGTCCAGGCTGCTTAATTTTCATCAATGCCAGTATTTTTTTAGTTTCTATAGTGTTATGCAAAGAACTGTTGGGCTCTGATGTTATGTTTGAAAATTTGAGAAAAAATTATTTAAAAAAAATTCAAAGCCCATAGATTTTTTATATGCTGTCAAAAAAGGGTATTCATAATTGCTCATTTAAACTGCTAAATCAAACTATTTGTCAACTTTAAACCATAGTATTCTAATTATCACAATAGGAAACATAAAATAACAGATTCAGTTTAACAGACACAAATGTGTCTGTATGATATTTAAGTGTTAAGTTAACTAAGGTGTCTACTTAACTTGGTTTATTTCAATTTAATAATAAGGAAGCATGATTTATCTTATATATATTTTGATTTATAAACATATTTTGAAAATATCGAAGTCTTTACAACAATATTTATATTTGGCATTATAATTGAGATAACATCTAATTTATCCTGAAAACCATTGTTCTGGTTTTTGTATTTTTTAAAAATCAAATCGAATTGAACTTTTATAAATTTTTCATTACTGGTAAATAATCTCTATATAATTTTCTTAGGCTTTAAAATAAAGCACTCGTCATATAGTTTCTCAATTAACATAATTTTTATATAAAATTTATAAGTAATGAATTTTTAAAATGTTTGTTATTGTTGTTAAATGTTTATTATATTTTAAATTTTGCATTTTTGAAACAAATTGTTGTATTTTTTAATTAATTTAAAACTTATCGAAAGAGACTAAAATAGCAGTATTTGTTTCATTGTAATATTTTTATGTTTTACATAAATAAAAAAAAAAAATTGTTATTAAGTGCCATATTTAGATATATTGAAAATTTTCTTTGTTAACTAAATTGAAATTTAATTGTGATTCTTTTATTTTATTTTTTTTTTAATTTATATTGTTTTCCTATTGAAATTATATTTTTGTAAAATGTATAAAAATTATATTTATAATGGAATTGAAATAAAATTGAATCAGCTGTCATTGCGCATTGTTATATATATATTTCCGAATCGCCCCCGCCCCTCCTCACCTGATCGAACTGGACGTAAACAAAGGGGCCTACAGTGCTATATTTATAGATAGTTCCTGTCGCTAAATATAGAGGAGACCAACACGGCTCAAACAAGCAGTAGATCAGCTCCAACTAATGGATGGTAGGAAAAAATTTGGATTTGAATGCACAAGCTTGTTATTGCATGCCTTCCATAAAAATAAAAATAACTCATCTTTTTTTTTTTTTTATTGTATATATATATTTTTAGTAAAGGAGAATTCGTATGTAAATAATTTCATTTGTATTAATGATCAAAGATCTCCTTTTTATATACAAATTTTTATGTAAAAGTAAAATAAATAAAAAATCTCCTTGAATTCAATTGTCTTACATTAGCAATGTTTTTTCTCAATACTAGCTGCATGATTCGATATACTCATTTTGAATAAAAAGATTAAATAAGAATTATTATTACTAGTTTTACTTTATAAATATATTTTATTTAATCCAATAAAATAAAGTACAATCTGTTATGTACTTATAGTAAATATACACTTATGAGAATTTTTAAAACAATTTCATAATATAAAATTTTTAATGATCATCATCATTAATCAGCATTAATTTAAAAAAATTATATATCTGGTATTTACTGAATTTAAAAATATATATTTGACAATAATGTGAGGTTTTGCTGAACATAGAAAATTTTGGTAAAAATTATTAATGTTATAATAATTAATTATTAATATATGTCATGTTCTAAGATCATTTATTGTACTTAACAAGAAATTTTCCAATTACAGAAAATATAGTTACAACGTTAGTTCAATGAAAAATTAATATTTAATTTTCTTATTTTTACAACTTTTACTTGTTTTTGAAATCATCTGTAATTAGACTATATAGTGAAATGTAAAATTTGTTGTAATTTAAATATATAATTTCAGGGGTACATAAATAACTTTTTTTGGTTCAAAATATTGGCTTGGCAAATAAGTCCTTTAATATTGCTCGTTTCAATTTGATATGGGCGACCGTTGAGCATCATTGATATCAAAATTTCCTGAATGAAATTTGCCAAACCAATTTTGACTGGTGCGTTCAGTTAAGGCATCATCCTCATAAACACTGCAAATTTTGCTATGAGCTTCTGCAGCACGCTTACCTTTTTTTAAAATAATACTACAAAATATGCCGATAATGAATGATATTTTCTTCCGTATTCGCAGTGCCATAGCAAACACAATGCTAGGCTAGTTTCAAAAAAAGTTAACAGATAAAGTTGTTGACATATTACAAAAAAGATAAACAATCCACCTTAGGAATTAATTCATCAGATAAGAAGTGTTATCATAGTGACATAAAAATAAACAGGAAAAGGACTTATTTGATAATCCAATATTTGGAAAACGGGGTTCAGAAAGAGAAAAGAAAAAATGCAAAGCTTATTCTACAAGTTGTTAGGTGGATAAAACAATAATATCAGTTATGCATTCATAGCATTGAACTGTGAGCATTTGCAAAAGATTCTACATAAGTAGATTTGTATGTATTTAATAAATAGGAGGGGAGATGGAAGGTGCTGTCAACTATCATTCTCTATGTTGGTGTAATCTTTAATTATAATCATTGCAATAGGTCTTCACCAGGGCTAAAAAGAATAAGATACAAAAAATTACTATTAATTTGTTCAACGTACAAATAGATTAAAATAAGAGTTCGTGTTAAATTGGTATAACATATGAGATACAAGTTACATATCTAATTAATGAAATGAAATAAAAAATCAAATAAAGTAAAATAGAGTAAAAGAAAATGGCAATGCAAATTATAAACAATGAATGATAAATAAATCATAATTTACAGTTTGCGTTTCATTTAATTCTTTACCACTTATTATTGTTTACCAAAAATAGTTATTTACCACTGACAGTAAATAGTTAAATTACTACAAATTTTACATTTCACTTTATAGTCTAATTACAGATGTATTGTTAAATAAATATCAGGGCTAAAAAGAAAAAGATATAAAGTACAAAAAAGTTAAAATATAGTTGATATTAAATTGGTATATGATATCAAATAAAAGTTAGATATTTAATTTAGGCAATGAAATTACAAATTATTAATTAAATTAAGTATAAACAGAATGAAACAAAAATGACAATGCAAATGATATATAAGTGACTTGAAATGAATATTAAAAACGATATAAATATAAATGGCAAACAATTGAATAAAATACAAACTGTAAACAATGAAATATAAGCGTGTCAAATGAAACAGGTAATTTTTATAATTATAAGTAAAAATTTAACTTTTAACTATTTATGTAGATGAATAAAAATTTTTGTTGACCTTTTATTTTTATCGATACATGCCATTTCAAAACAGTTATTTTCTTTACTTTTATTTTTTAAACCTCATTAATAAAATTTGTATATAGCAGTTTTTATAAACCATTTACTTGAATATGTTTAAATGAAAAAAGTAATATGCTTTTAGGTTTTTATTAACATAAAATATAATGATTAGTATATGTACATAGCTATACAAAAGGTAATAATAGTTTTTCTAAGCATTTAACATAATAAATATTTACAATTATTGAAGGAAGTTAGTCGATTGTCCTACATATCTTGGGTGATAAATAGTCAGGAAGCAGTGATGTTTAAAGTTTTTATTGGTGCCGACATTTCAACCCAAGCATGTGGATCATAACCAGGGTGTGTTTCCCTGATGTTGACCCACATGTTTGGTTTGAAACCTCGGCACCAATAAAAACCTTAGAAATGACTGCATCCTGACTATTTAACACCCAAATATTTACAAAGTATGAAACAAGATTTATGTACTGTATTACATTAATTCAAAAACATTAAATCTTTTGCTTTTCTAATAAAACAATTCCGATTAACAAATAAAACTTTGGATTGTATAATGTTCTTCAGTTAACATTAAAATATTTTCCATTTTACACTCTAAGTACTGAGAAGTATAATAATTACGAACTTCTATTATAATTTATAATTTTTTGTACATATTCCTTTTATGTTAGTGGTTATAAGAAAATGTTTAACAGATACTTTTTTATGACATTTATATGTATATATATAGGCTGAGGTAGCCAAGCGAATAGCCTATGTGCTTGCAATAGGTAATCAAAGTTAAGCAATTGCCCGAGCGTGGCGAGCATGTGGATGGGTGACTGCCCGATTTGGGTGACAGTCCACCAGGAAAAGCCGCGCTTCCTGCAATTCTCCCTCCCCCCTCCCTGGGTATGTGAGGCCCATCAGCCTACTGGAGGCAACTCACATCCACCGGGCGTAGGGTTGATGACCCTACCCCATACTTTAAATCGGGAATTGGGATGTGTTCTAGGATAATAATAGATCAGTAACTTGTATCTGATATCTTATACCAATTTAACATCAGCTCTTATTTTAATTTTTTTTTTTTTTTTTTTTTTTTTGTGCCTTGTATCAGTTAATAGTTAATTTTTGTATCTTGTTCTTTTTAGCCCTGATGCAGATCTACAACGTTGGGTGAAACGTAAGCTATAAACAAATAGTATACCATAATAGTGTATTCTCCTTCCCCCATCATATTACTCAATCCTCCCTCTCACTAACTATTCCTTAAATTATACTTGCAGTCAATCATTTTCGTATCATCTTGGTATTTGTATTATTTAAAATTATGTGCCCCCATTATTGATTTAAAAAACTCATCAGTTTAACTTCATTTAATTAAACGATTCGTAGATGAAAAAGCTGTTACGGAAGACGAGGGAGGATGGTCAGAGCTGCCAGATTTGATCATCGAGACCATTTACTCACACCTTAACATGAGGGAACGTTACTACTGCTCCATGGTCTGCAGACGGTGGTACGATGCCTTTTACCTTCCTCAATCTTGGTCTGTTTTCGTCTTCGACGAGCGGACCTTGACTAGAAGGAGATTTAACTATTACTCGGGCTGGCAGGTATGTGATCTATCCCCTCTGTAGATCAATCAAGTAAGCCATCTTTTAGGGAAGTAATTCAGTGTTATGTTTTAACGATTGAGTTTGAAGAGAATTTATAATGCTATCTTCCTCCCACAAAAAGGATGACTGCATTAATAATGCTTAATAATTCTAAGGAAAACATAATTCAGGATGCCACTGGATAATTATTATTACTATTATATTATACTAGGGATAATTATTCAGAAATATTTAATAAAAAGTTTAGTAAAAAGAACTTGAATCTATAATATATTGATTGGTTAAGGATTAATTACTTGGATTTATTTTCTCAAAGGCTGGTTTGTGGTTATCATGCTTTCTGATTATTAACATTACCTATGATAATAATGATATAAATAAGTGGCATCATTAAAAATAGCTTTAATAAAAAAACTTAATATATTCGTATATTTAATAAAGAATGATATACAAATTATATTTAAATCTTAATGTACAAATTATATTTACAATAAACTAAATAAAAATATGATTCCATATATTTAATAAGAACTCTTATATTATTTCCGTCACCTATTTCCCCTTGAAACCCGTAGCCTCCTAGTCACTTTCCCCACTTTGACTATTGCTGTATGGTATATGGGCGTGTCTCTGGGGATCTCGAGGCAAAACTAATGCGTTTGATAAATTGCTTTATACGATTCATCTTTGGGATCCCGAGGGATGCCTCTGTTTCCCATTTTTATGCAGAGTTGAAGTGCCTTTATCCTTTCTACCGTCGTAAGTATTCCCTGGCATCCTTCCTCTTTCTAATCATCCAATCCTGCCATCCTTCATACACTTCCGTGCTCCTTCAATTCAAATCCGCTGTTCGCTCCCGCAATACTCGTTCCTGGTCTTCAGATTTATACACAAGGGCCCACCAAACCGCTGCTTTTGACAGATTGTTCATTATCCCTGTGGAATTCCATCCCTTCCTACATCCATCAATTTAATACCCTCCTTACCTTTAAATCCCATCTGTTCAATCATTTATCAATCCAGAATTAATAAAATATTATTATTATTATTATTATTATATTGCTTATACATATAACCATGTTTTATGAAAAAAATATTATTAGTGTAATTACTTTTTTTTAATAGGACTTCAAGAATCACTTAAGCACCACCAATAGTTAGTTTCTTTCATTTTCTTCCAAAGTAAATATTATTATGTATTTTAAAAAAAAATAAGCTTTTGGGCTGAAGCCCCTTAAAATTAAATCCTGGACTTGCTACTGGTTCTAGGGGTATAATATTCTTCTCGGTAAAAGTATCTTTCTATTACCTAAAGAACAAAAAAGTTTCAAAAATTTAAATTAGTCGTATTATTATGAATTTTTTTGTTTTTATTTTAGTATACACTTGACCACTTGCGTGCCCAAATGTGCCTCTCTACTGTAGGAAGCTTCTTCAGGGTCCTTATCTTTGCTCCGATGACTAATTTCTACAATATGTACGAGTTCATGAACATGTTATCCTTCTACGCTGAACATCACAATGCAAAAGAAAAGTGTACAGTCAGTGGAATTGGAGAACACATTCATACACTGAGGTTAGTGAAATATATGCTAAACAGTTAGTGATTCTAAATTTTGAGTTCCTAACACATTTTAAATTAAGAGGATAGCAAATAATTAGGGTTTGCATTCTTTATATGAGTGGCCTCAAATCACGGAGAAAAAGTCAATTTTTGTTTTATAAGTTCTACTCAAACTGTTCCTGATGATTTTATTTAAGGAAGTTCAAGTTGAATTATGAAATATAATACTTAAAATCGGTTAAAATTGAATCTATATTAGAAAAATTGGCCTTTTCTCGATTTTTTAAAAATGAGATGTCTATCCGTCTTTGATATGAAGCCACTCACATGGTTTATTAGGCTTGCTGACATTTCGACCAAAGGATGTGGGGCATCATCAGGACTAGAAATTAAAAAACAATTACATAAATAACTCAAAATAAAAAGAATTATAAAAATTGTTATAAAATATTTGAGTTTGAATTTTATTGTTGTTATAATAAATTTTTTGTTTGGGATTTTCAGGCAATGAAAATACAAAGTAAAAATAAATAAATTATATTTATTTTTATTTCCTTTGTGATGTTTCGGCCTAAATTTCAGGTATTCACATAAATTCATTAACATATAGATATTGAGAAAATTGACAGTAATAGTAGTAATATGTTGTTAATTGATTATTGAAAGAAGTTTGTCGACTATTCTACATATCATAGGTGATAAATAGTGAGGACACAGCCATTTTTAAGATTTTTATTAGCGCTGACGTTTCAACCCAAACATGTGGGTCATCATCAGGGCTGAAAATTTGTTTAATACAATCAGAAATAAAATATTATAAAACAGATAATGATATAATTTATTTATTTTTACTTTTTATTTTCATTGACTGAAAACCCCAAACAACTTCTCTTCAATATATCTTCTACTTTTCCGAGTTATTTTTCATGTAATTCATTTTTTTTTTAATGTTTAAGTTCGACTTAAAAATCACAAAGCTAATTTTTAACTATGAATTCTGTATCTAATTTATTTTTTATGTAGAATTGGTCAAAATAAAACAAAAAGTTTTGTAGAGAAATAATCAACACATGCCAATATTTTAGCCCTCCCTGTTAGCTTTTTTATAACAAATAAAAATATGGATTCAAGAAGTGAAACAGAGTCTATCTTAAGTAACTATGAAGGTTTTCAATTTGGGCCAAAACGCTGACATGATGATTATTTTCACAATTTAAACAAATAACCAGTTAAGGAATGTGTTTGTAGGTACCAGTTTCCTTGTGACTTGCTGGCAAGATTTGAAGAAGATCAGATATCACGACTCTATGGAACGGGTGGTATGTTCTATCTTAATTTAATATTGTCAATTTATTTAATATTATAAAGTTTTTTGTAACATAATATCTACATTATTCATCAATAATTGATTTAAAAATGAGATTTCATAGTTTCATTTTCAAATAAAATTAATATCAACTTTATACAATGATTTACTTTGGTATTAAACTATTGTAAAATTGGTCTATTGATTAAATTGGTATAATTTATAAATTTTAAGCTTCCTAGCAATCAATTTCAATTAAATAAATTTATTGATATTGCAGGGAAACTTCTTGAAGCAGTGAAAAGGCTTATGGGTAATCTGAAGAAATTGCGTCATTTGGAGCTAACTGATTTACTGCTGGATGGCACTGAAGCCAAGACTTTGCTTGACGACGTTGCGACAGAACAATGCCTAATTCTTCGAACTCTCAGCCTTGTCAACATGACCAAGTCTACCTGCACAATTATACATCCTGGAGTTTTTATCAACTTAAAGGTACCACGACAATTAATCATTATAAAGCTATAATCATTTGGAAATGGTTCTTGTTTAATACAAGCTCCATGGCTTCCAACAGATTACCATCATTTGTCATCTTCACTTTTATTCAATCTGTAATTGCCAACTGACGAAAGCACTTTAGGCGAGACAAGTTATGAATAAAGTACATAAAAGATGATTTTAAAAACTAAATAATAAATTTAATTTTTGTAAATTTAAATAAAAAAAATTTGAATGATGGAAAACCTGAAAAAAAAGTTTATTTAAGGTTGTTAAAATTTGTACAAAAACATAAGTTTTCTAATGGAACCTTAGCATTATTTAAAAAAAAAATCTTGATTTATAATGTAATAAAGTCAAAATATTAAATACCTTGATGGGTTACTGCCCCCTAGGAAAAACCGTATAGCCCAAGATTTTCTCTCTTCTCAATGAGTATAACAGGCCCATCGGAATATAACCCACATGATGACCCTGTCCTGTTTATTTTAATTGGGAATCGGGTGAGTTAATCAGGACATTGTCAAATATGGCCCCATTGTGATTGGTTATTAGCTATCATGTCTGCCACTTTACCATGGAAACCACTGGGTGCCTTCCCCCAACCTGTTTATTCTAGTTATCTAAATGGTCTATAATGCCAACAACCAACATTGAAAAAAAAAAGTTATTAATTTTTTATTCCAACTTTCTGATTATTTAATGCTTGAAAAAAAAATACTATTTGTTATTATTTTCTAAAATTAAATTAGAAAAATCGAACACTGCCTTACAATAAAACAAAGAGAAAATATAAGATAACTAGCTGGCCTGAATAATTCACCTAGTATATTGGTCAGTCACCAGATGATATTATAATGTGGAAATAAATGAAAGAATTAATTTTTTAGAGAAAGGTGTTAAAATTATTATTCTTGGTTGGTCACAAGCTGTTTATTTGCTAATAATGGTTGATCTCAAGATCAGGCTTTTTATCAATGACAGCCTCTATATAATTTATATCATTTAATTTTCATTAGAGAAGCTTTCAGAGTCCGTGCATCATACTCATCTCTATAATTATAACTCATCATTAATCAGTAGCATTAACAATTCATATATGTTAAATACTTTCTAATTGTCATGAAACTATTATCAAATCATGCCATATCTTTTTTCTTACTGTTTCTATTTAAAATATATAAATTGAAAAAATTGGAACAGTGTTCTTCATCTCATAATATATCTTAAACAGTCTAAGGTTTAAATTAGTAAGTATACAATTTTTTTAATTTATTAAATAAAATATAAATTACTAACTCACTTCTCAGAAAATAGGACTCCTCTTTTTCAGACATCCTTTTAGCAACTAAAGTTTGATTGATTAATGATGTAATTTGTAGAGATGAATATGGTGTAGGTACACTGAAAACTTCTGTGGGTTTAAGATATAAAATAAAATAATATAAATTATAGAGACTGTCATTGGTAAAAATCTTAATCTTGGATCAATGTAAGATAGTTTAATATTACCTTATAATAATGGTTGATCTTTTATTTTATTTTATATATATTTTTAAGGAAATTTAATCATGTTTCAATTCATTCAATATGTAATCAAGCATAAATTGTACATTTTTGAGTTATGTATAAATAAAGCTTTATTTCATTTTAACATTTTTCCTGCTTTTTCAGGAAAATATATTTATATTATAGCATTTTTGGAGAAGTTAATATTTAAAATGATCATTTATTTTAATGAAATGTTAAGGAAGATTTATACATTAAGATAGTTGTAATAGTTGGCAAGGACAGGTAGAGAAATCTGGTGGCAGAAAAATTAACCAGCTCAACCTCAGTCATTACTTTTACTAGCCAAGTACTAAAATTATATTTAAAAATCTTAAAATAAATACTTCTACATTTATTATTTACTATATTATTTATGAGGTAGAGTTTAATGGTTCTAGGTATTTAAAATTGAAAAGCATTTCTTCCAAAGGTAATTCTATATTTTTATTCCTTCAGTCTAACTTTTCGAGTTACTGACCCATTATCAAAGACAATTTAATCTGATATTTAGTATTTCATCCATCTTGTTGTCTTACAATTTATGTTAAAACATTTGTCATTTATTTAAAAACAAGTTTAAGTTAAAATAAATTTCTTGCCAATATATGAGATGGATGTTTTCCATTGTCACATAGTCTAGCTGTATAATATAGCTATGTCTCAAATATTGGGAAGAAATGTATTTTAATTTAAACTTATTTTTAAAGAAATGACAAATGTTTTGACATGCATTGTAGGACAATGAGATATTAACTATCAGATTAAATTTTCTTTGATAATGAGTCAATAATACGAAACTTTAGACTGAAGGAATAAAATTATCTTTGGAAGAGATGCTTTTCAGTTATAAATATCTAAATAATAATAAGCAGTAGTTTTCATCTTTGTTTATGAGGAATTGTTGTTTATTGAGGTCAGCATTGAAACCAAAGAAGAGTGGACAATGCTTATCTCTTTACATACCTCTATACAAGAGCTAAGAAGTGTTGCGTGCGAATGCCAGTAATTGTGACAGGCCAGACAGAGCAGGTGTTGGAGATGAGTCCACAAAACCTTTCTGAGGAACTGGTGTCGCTCCTGGCGGACAGTGGATTGCCGACGCTTCACCTGAGGCAGACCGAGCACAGCCCGCCCAGTCCGCCTCCTGTCAGCCCCAAGACCTGGCGCCAAGCTACTTCTCGTAATCCTCATCTCAGGGTCCATCTCAGCCTCACCTCCTTGAGGGTAGAGCGAGAGATCGTCTGGCAGGAGAAAGCACCTGTCGCATCCATCCTCTATGACTGTCCCTTTAGCAAGGTAACATTTCATCTTGAATTTTTTTGTATATTATTACTTAATCCACGAATCAAAAATATATTCCGAATTGGTCTACTAGTTCCTGAGATAATCTTGGCACAGACAGAGAGACCAATGGCTGAAAATGTTTCTTTCAGACACAGGCGGCTCGTAAACATAAAGATCTGTCAAAAACCGCACATCGGAAATTCAACCCAATTGCAATACTTCCCTTACCTAGTAGAAGTAGGAAAGTAAAATTAATATTTAAAATAATTTTGGCTTTAAAGAAGTCTTTACTTCTTATTTTTGTTTTCTTTGTGTAAAATTTTGTTTGATTAAAAAAACTGAAGTTAAAACAAGGATTTATTTTATTAATTTTACTAATGATTGGACTTGTTTTATACCCAAAAAATATTTCGTTACTAATTTTCTTTTTTTTCCTTGTCTTGACTGCTCAATATAAAAATTATAGTTGTAGGTCCATCAGTCAAGGATTTCTGTTGTAATAAACTAATATCAATAAAACATTTTTTATTTCACAATTAGTGACATAGTTTAGCAATTTTTAACTAGGATTGAAAAGTTGCATTTTAAGAGTCTCCATGGATTTTGTTTTTCTGTAAAAAGTGTTAAAATAAAAGTTTTATAGTACTAGTTTTAATAGATTGGAAAAAAATACATAAATGTTTCATATAAGTTTGTCATTAAAAAATCATAAAAATTTTGGTAAAGCCTTATCATTTCCACAAAAGTTTTAATGAATGAATTTGTTTCATGAATGCAGCTGGAAGGCGGACTCCTGAACAGGACTTTGGAGTGGTACAGGGACACCCTGCAGCTATTCGGCCACGTCGGTATTCCAAAATTCAACATGCCCAAGTCCTTCGTAGACAGATCTGATCCTTTTCTACTCATGATGGTCAAGGAATGCCCCAGGTTGAATACACTTGTAGGCTTAACATCCTTATGTATTACATTTAGTTTTTAATGTTATTATGATAAATATGAAATCTGTTTGATTTAGATTAATTTAAGATGTCATAAAAAAAAAAAAGTAAAATTAGTTAGACCCAAAATATCAAGCTAAATCGCCAACAACCTAAATATTGGAAAATATTAATAGTGATGATCAGTATTAATAATTGTGGAATTAAACTTGCTTTATAGGTTGTTGGCGATTAAGCTTGTTTTATTCATATCATCACCATTCTGCATCTTTCAAGTGTGTCATTAGCAGTTTTTTTAATAAATACAAAATAAATAAATTTAGGTTACTTTTTCAGGTTCAACTCACTTTTTTGGTATTTAGAATATTATTGATGTTCAACTTTCATATATGATACTTGTATTTATTTCGTTATACATTTTGACAAGTTCCTTTTTAGTAATATTTCTTTACTTTTTTTATTACTAAATATTCCATAAAATCTATTGTAAATAAAAAATAGAAATACTCACAATCCTGAAGAAATATGAACTTGAATATTATTATTAAATTTAATTAAGAACCAAATTCAGACATATTCAGGTTAAGCGTTAAGGTAAAATTATATAATTATAAAAAATTGGATTTTTGCCTCATTCAGTTTTGAAATTATAAAGTAGTAAAATATTTTTACCCTTAGATAATATTGTTAACAATGTTTGGTTTGGTTGGTAACAGTAATATTTCTAAAATTTGAATGATTAACTGTTCTCGTATAATGTACTCTAGTGCTAATATAAATAATGTGTCGCTGTTGCCTGGATTACAAATCAGTGGTAAATCATCAGAAAAATGCAGACAGACTTCACTTGATTGAGTTATTTAATTTTGTGCTATAGTACTTTATCCCTCCAAAAATATGAATTGCATATAATAAATTGCAATTAAGTTCAATTTCCAAATTGAAAAGTTCATCTCAATTTGAATGAAATAGCACTTCCTGTGTTGTATACAGTATTTACTTAATAAGTACTATAAAAAATGAATTATTCAGAAAAGTAAAACCCTTAGTATTAGACCTTGAGAACGGGATGGCCGAGCACGTTGGGGCATGGGTTCCAGAGTGCCCAGTTCTGAATATTGTGGGTTCGTTTTCCTGGTTTAGTTTTTTTTATTTTTTTTTTTTATTGTTCTGACATAAGGGTGCATCACAACCTCAATAAGAAGGCCTATTGTACATCGTCCTAGACTCCATTAAAATAGGCCTTGAGGTATCTGTCCACCAAAAAAAGTCCGCATAGGCCCACTTGCCGGACTAGTTTCCCCCACCAGTACCAGTAGTATTAGACCTTATCTTAGCTGCTTATAATTTCATTCTTATCTGAAAATACCTAAAAACTTTTAGACAATTTAAAATTTACTAATAATAAATAAAAGAAACAAAAAAATCCCGAGTAGCTAATTAATTTTGCATGACTTGCATTTTTAATAATTTATTTCAGATATTGAGGGAAAGAGTGTCAACGTGCACGCTTCTACTTATAGCTGAAGCTGGTCGCAGCAGGCTTAAGGACTTGTATGTCAGGAGAAATGCTGTTATCAAGAGGTTGGTCAAAGCTCAATTTATTTATCAGTGCTAGATAAGTTCAACTCACTATCTTGCTAAAACATATTAATAGGTCACTATAAGACGGTGTAATATGACCATAACCCATACATTATACCCATAGATTATTTATGTAACTATTTTTTAAGAAATTATAAAAAACAAAAATTTTAAAGGAAAATATAACACATTTCTAGGTTTAAGGATTAGCTCAGTGAGAAAGACAGTGAGATCCTAGGCTCAGGAGCATGGGTTCATGTATATTGTTACATAAATTACGGATCGATCCTGTTATCAAGTGACCCTCCTGGGGCACACCCAGCCTCTATTACAATGGGGTGATTAAATATTTAATAAAAATTAGAAAACCTGGTGGTTGAGTGTGAGCTTAGTTAAATCACCTCTCTACATAACTTTTGGACTAAAACAATATTTCCTTACAAAGTACTGAACCCAAGATCGTCCATGGATTGTATTCGTACAGTTTCTTTTTCACAATTTCACATTTAACCCTTTAATGACGGTGGACTCATATATGAGTCGAGACGGAATCTGGCCCAGGCGACAATGGACTCATATATGAATCGAGAGCCTATCGAGATCTTTCTCTTTAAATGACAGTGAGCTCAGTGATTCTATTTTCAAACTATCTCGTGGCCTTTCTATCATTTGTATAAAAGTTAGATACAAAAAAAAAAAGTTGCAATGCCCGCCCTAAATAAAAAGGTTAAAGTGGTAAGTAAAGGTGATGAAAAGTATTCAGTCACAGTGGCACAGAGAGCTGTCATATAATTGACGGCAAAGCTAATGACACCCTCAAGGCCGCTCCTCCCTTCCAAAAAGTTAGTAGAAATCATCTCCTTTTGCATAAATAAATTTCTTAACTAGAACTGTAATCCATGAATTACCTAATATTTTTTAAATTTGTTCCCTGTGACCTTAAACATCCTCTTGATTTTAACAATCGACTATCTCTCGATCTCTATTCATAATTAATTTTAGTACTTGTGAGCGTACTCTATGGACTGCTATCTGCACTTATCTTGTTATTTATATATCTTATTAATATATATATTAATAAGAAACAGGCAAAAAAGAGGCAACATCAAATATGTTTATATTTCTTATACGACAGTCTAATTTCATATGAAGATAGGGATTATCAGTGCCTTATAACAATTATCAGTGTTCAGGTTATAAACATTTAATAATAAGAAATATAAATAACAACAACAACACTTTAAATAACAAAATAACTCCAGGTCGCGTCGCTCACACATACTTTAATTTTTTATACAAAGAAAAATAATTCCCAAATTCAATCCATATTTTTTTATAATTTTTTTTTTAAGTAAGGGAATTATTCACTATTTCATACTCTCTGTAATGGCTATTATTCAAAATTGTAACGTAACGCGATGCTGTTAGAGAGGGGAGAAGGGAAAAAAATGGTGTAAAAAACCAAACTATAACAAGTTTTATTGAAGATACGGATTACAATATTTCAGAAACTAAAAATTGAACCTGCATACTGTAAGCGAGGGAATCGTTCAGCATTTCATCCTCTCTGTAATGGGCTATTATTCAAAATTCTATCTTAACGCAATGCTGTATTAGAGAGGTGAAAAGGGAAAATGGTTTCAAATACCAAATATTGAGTTTTATTGAAGATATGTACTAAAATAACTCAGAAACTAAAATATTTTATTTTTAGTTTATTATAAGATATATTATTATTACAAAGATAAACTTTTTCAGATGTGATTGGCCTATTAGCCCAGATTGGGACTACGATTACCAACAATGGTTGAAGAAATGTTCCCAATCGTATGAGGAAACCGAGAGTGCCATCAGCGACATCTTTGGAAGGTCGTGGACAATGCTTTCCGATAAGGAATTTGTCAAACTTTGGCCCAAGATGTTTTAATACATATATATTAAAATATTTCAATATCGAAGCATCTTTAACAATGTTCATTTGTTCACATGGTAATTGCTTTTTTCAATAATTATATGAACAAAATGTGATAGGAATATTCTGACAGTTGGTATTGTTTATTTTGTTCGCATATTAATAAAAACATTTTTCTATTCAATTATTTCTTTATTATTTTTACAATTCCTATAGCATTGTATGATTTTCAGTTATGTTATTGTTCTATTAGACGAGTGATATAATAATTAGCTCATTTTTAGTATTAAAAACTTGTCAATTAAGGTAAAAGATTTCAATTTTCACAGGTACAGTTATTTAGTAAAACAACTTCATGAAATCAAAACATTATGATTCAAAATATTTATCCTCATTTTCTATACATCCCCTCTTCCCGAGTTTCCAAGTTAAAACTCCTTAAAAACAATTACTTGAAAATCGCATGTTTCCATGGTCATATTTGATGGCATACTAAAGAATGTACAGTTAATATTAAGGAATGGCAGTAAATATTAACAAATAAATAGAGGATTAATAACTGCTCATTATTATCTGTAAACGTAAATTTAGTAAACAACTTAAGTCCACTAACCCCACTTTGAATTTCTGAAATAATAAAAAAGGAAATTTGATATGAAATGACCCAATAGATTTGAATAAATGAATATGTCCTACTTTACCAGAAATTGATTCCTGCTCAAATTATGATGATAAATCAAAGTTATGTATGAGATAGACTTTATCTGTGAACTTTCACTGCGTCTAAAAATTAAGTAACTCCAAAATTGTGAATTGGAAGTATTATAGAAATGATAGAGCAATAATATATTTAAAAAGAAAGAATAGGGGAAATAAAGGTGAAATTTGTTTAATAATTTGTATTAAAAAATATAGCATTAAAAACTAAAATATTATCATAACAATGAATTGGACGGATAAGTTGAACATCACAGACTAAAAAAAATCATAACATTATAAATAGGCATCCTATTTTAATACTTAGTTTATTAACACTAAATTTTTGTGTTAAGCAAATTTGAGAGACAAATTAGAAAAAATGAATCAATCACTAGCATAACAAAATACTGTTTAACAAAGGAACAGAATTATCAACACTAGACACTATTTCTCTAATATACGCTAAACTTGATCTAAGACAGTTCTATCTATATATCTATTGATATAACAAACAGAATCAGATAACATATCATATTCTAAAACAGAATAAAATCTCTCATCTTTACATTAAAATATAAAGTTTTGAAACAAATGAATGAGGACTTCAAATTCGCAGCTTCTTCAAAGCCTTCTCTAAAATTTCCTTCTTTATTTTGGGATACTCCGGACTGGAAGCCAAAACCTTTTGGCAGATGGCTACTGACTCGGCAAACTGCTTGTTCTTGAGCAAATTGTAACTGAGTTTGTAGCCAAGGGCAGGATCGGATCCGTTACTCAGATCCCACGCTCGCTTGTAGTTTAAGCTGGCTTCCTCTGCAAAACAATAATTATTATTTATATAAAAATTATAGTTATAGCTTGTCTAGGTTCAGTTTTTTATACTTAATTCTAGTCTATATTGACAACGACAATTTATTAGAAATCAATACACTATCATAAATATATTAAATTAATCCAATATTAACACATTAAGAAAAATTAAGATTTCAAAACGTACTAATTCCTGACAAGATACTCAAAAGAGCTAAGCATGGCGTAGTTGGAATAACAGTACTTACGGTACTTTTGTTCTTTCTCTGCTACCAACCCCAACAGCTCGTAGGCCTTGGCCGAGGACTGATTGTGCAAAAGAACTTTGTTTAAGAGTTCCGAAGCAAGGTCACTGTTTCCGTTGGTAATGTGCAGTTCAGCCAATAAGAGCCACAGCCTAACGATCATTATTAAAATAAACTAAATTATTCAATAACTATAATTTTTCTTATTGAATTAGTTCCATCATAGGGAAAGAACAGGAGTCCCCAACCTTTTCCCATTTGTAGATTAATAATCAAATGATAAGTAACAATTTATTAAAGAAACGTAATTATTATTCCAATTGATTACTTGTTAAATATTTTTTTTAAATAATTAAAAATTTTATTTTAAAACACTTGTTGAAAAGTAACGGTGCTTAATACAGTCATTGACTACCATGGCGACCAGTTACAAGTTCGGTCACGTGGGCACAAAATTAGTTTGTGTGGGCAAAATGGTGCTCATGAGCTCAGGATTGGAGACTCTTGCTTTAGAATATAATTACATTAAATTATTATTTCAAGATAAATAAAAAATAAGATAGAAAAATAAAGAGATAGGAAACCTTTCTAGGTATTCAGCCTCTTCCATTGTCCAAGGTGTCCTGGCAACTTGCTTCAAAAGGACCTTTGCTCTGTTATACTGCTTCTGGCCAAAATAGCACTGGCCGAGCCCAAGTGTGGCACCCACTCTACAAACATTATCATATTATTACTCAAAAGATATTAAACAGAATTGATAAAAAATAACATAATTAAAGAAACCATCTTCAATCTTGAATAATTCAAAGGAGTTGTTTTTAATATGAACTATAAACATACTATGTCAATTACAAAAATAAAACCTATACATTAAATTATTTTCAAGAAATTTTTAAGTTCATAAGACTTAAGTCTCTGCATATAACGCTAAATACAAGGGGAGACTTTTTTTAGCTAAAACAAATGATGAAAATGGGACATATTTGATGAATGATGAAAATGGGCTTAGAACTGACTGAAACATAGTCGTTTAAAATCTTTATCTTATAAAAGCATTAAGCTATGGTAATCAAATAGTTTTTATATTTAAGAAAAGATAGACAATGTTCTAATAAATTCTTGAAATAAATTGATTCTTAGCAGCTGCAGAATATGTAGAGGTTGCGAATATGGATACATATCATTACTTAGTGATATACCAAATCAGTGCATGAATATCAACTGTAAAAAAGTTGTGAAGCAATGAACAGAAATAAATAAACTTGCCTAAGATAAAGAAACCTGGAACAAGCAGCGCAAGTAGGAAGAAATTGGATCAACTTCTTAAAGGAACACTGACAGAGTATCCAACTGATGACCAACAGACTGTCTGCTCGAAGATGATTAGAATTGTGGCGAAGGAAACTTAGGAACAGCTAAAGGTATGAAAAGACCACCCTGGTTCAATGATGAGTAGGCGGTTGCCACAAACACAAAATAAAAGGCCTAAAGGAACATGATATAGATAAAACATATACAGCTGTTCTCAATGAAATATAGTCAGACAATGAGATGAGAAAAGGATCTATAGAAGAAAGAAAAATAACGGGAGTTGAAGCTATTGAAAAAATACAGGAATACAAAGTTCTGAATCATGGTAGAATGTTTTATAGCTTGGTTAAATGGAATAAAAGTCCTTTCAAAGCTCTTATACCAACATAAGATAAATAGAAATGAGAACGGTTTCTTAATAATGGAACGGGTTTAAGTACTATACAGGTGGGCGAGAGACTTTGATCTATTGCAAAATGAAGATACTTGGATTGATCCACGTTGATGAAGAAGAAGATATTAATCCTTCAGAATTTGAGGAAGTCATGAAAAGAATAAATGAACTAAAATATACTTAATGGTGTAGAGAGCCATTAAAATACTATTTTAAAAATTTAGTATTTATTCAACCCCTCCCCCCCTCCCTGACCAACTCCTCATAAAATATATTTAAATAAAATTATTTATCTACCTCTAGATTCAGGAAAGTAAAAACATAATACTTCAGTTTACGATAATGAAATTACCTGTATTGCTCTAGAGTAGCCAAATGAGTGAGATCAGAAATGGCACGGTCTATCTCGGTCCTATCTTGCAGAGCGAGGCGCACCAATGATGACAAAAGAAGTAAGCGCCCTTCCTCGTCAGGACTGCTAGGTTCAATATCTGCAAGGAGCCGCTCAGCAGCCACAGCTTGCCCACTCGCCAGGTAAGCTTCAACCTGTGTTTTTGCATCCATACTTGATTAAAAAATAAACACTACAAAATAATGTATTCAATTATTAAGTAAATTTTAATCATTACAGTAGCCCAGGGAGCCAGAAAAAAAAAATATATATAAATTTTTGTTAATGCTTTGTACAGTAAACATCCATAACTTTATTGCTATTTGATTGTTGTTTTTTTATTTTGAATTTATAGCATATAGAAGTAAATTAGTAGTGTAAAGGATCCACAAGTTATCTGATAATCAAGCTAAAACTAATAACATCTGTTGGTGTGATCCCAACAGCTAAAAGTATAAAGGATATGAGTTTTGGTCAATAGTTTTTTCTTGTAGATTTCGCTACTCATTTAAATTTTAAATAGAGTAGTGTTTCTTAATTTTTTTCCATTATAAGAGTAAGTTTTAATTTTATATATTTTTTTCTTCTCTATGTTACCCACCACATCTCTCATATGGTTAAATAGAAAATAGATCAACACAAGTTAAATTAAAGAATTTCAGTAACATTTTTATAAGTTTAAAATATTAAAAAAAGAAACTTACCATGTCATGCGTTGCCTGACGGCCCCACTCGACATCACCACGAGCCATGTTCAACTCCTCGAGTCCCTTCTGCTTTTCGCCGCAGTAAAGGTAGTATAGTCCTGCATAAAATAGGCAAAGTATATTTAACAGATTCTACAAGCAGGATTGGACTGTATACAATTACTTCTTACAAATCTAAAGTCATAGAAACTTCACCCATGCGTATATGAATTATGAAAGCAGGAAAATTTAAATTATAGATTGGATGGTGTAATATGTTGTAAATACATTAAAATATGGTCTATATAAAGTAGGAGGTATTTTCCGTTTAAAGCTGTCACAGCCAATGACCTAACGTCAGACATTACACTAACACATTTATACACTACGTTCATTTACTTGTTCCTTTCAGGAATACATCAGCTTCTATTCAATCTCCTTTTAATTATCAGCAATCACATTTTTTATTTATTGTTACTTAACCTTTCCTCCATGGCATCCAACTCTAATTATATTATTTTATTGTTTTTTATCAAGTATTCAATATAAAAAGTCTTGGGGTCTTTAATAGGTAATAAACATATTTTCTAATAACCTTCATTGTTTATTAGTTTTGTTTTTTATTGTATACATTTTTTGTTTTCAATATTATTATTTTGCTTCTATCTTATTATATTTATTTATATTTTCTAAAAATTAAAAAAAAACCTGTACCACTACAACCCATGAAGGGTGCGGTACTATTTAGGGAAAGCACTGTTTCTAGGTCAACAGTTGTGCAAGGAGGTGATTTGACCGAGATCACGCTCAACCGCCAGGTTTATCCACTTAATTAATTATTTTAATTAAGGGTACCCACTTTATAGAGGCTAGGTGTGCCCCAGGAGGGTATATCTACCCAGGGTTGCCCTTTTAATATATTTTTTGGCGAAAATAGAGCCGCATCCATCTAAAGATATTGTTTATATCATTTTCACTCATTTGTCCACTTTTCCCTTCTCTCCTCTTTTCTACTACAAGGAGCTTAATATATTTTCTGAATTTTTCTCTGTCCTGATATACTTTTACTCTAATACTAAGTCTTGTTTCCTCTTTCATCTTACTGTGGCATCCTCTGATATGTCTTGTCGAATATCTATTTGTTCAATCTGTTTTCATTTATTCTTTTCATTTACATGAAAATTTTAGTCTTCTTTTCTTCATTGATGTTTCCAATTCTTCAGTTCATTCATACAGTTATTTTTTTTTTTTTTTAAGGCTAATATTTTTCTTCTTTTCTTGGTTCAAAGATACGTTGTAGGATTTTTTTTCATAAATATTTTATTGATACATAGCATTATTAATCACTTTAGTAATTTAACTTCAGCATGGTTTTTAATAAAAAATAATTATGCATCAATATAAACAATAATGTAAGAATTCTTAATTAGTATTATGATGTCGTTAAACAAAATTACCTGTGCAGTAATGGAGGGCTGGATGGTTCGGGGAAACACTTCTTGCAGCTTCGATGTATGGCCATGACTGCTCTATGCAAGCACTGCGCCTGTTAACCTAATAAAATGGCTATTAGATATGTTATCTACTAATTCTAACCTTACATTTGATCTGTCAGAGATTATTTTGGCAGTTGCAGGGAATAAGTTGTCGAACAAAAGGCAAATGATGTTATGATTACCACAAAGTCTTTTGAACAATATTCTTAATCTCATTGCTTGGGAGGAGATATAAAATTCTAAAGTTTTCATTATATTATTAAATATTATTTTTTCACAATGAAAGATACACTCACGTTTGCTTAAATATGTATAATATAAAACATCAAACATATTTTAATTTAAAAGAAACATAAATCATATATCCACATATATTGTTTCAGTAAGCCTCGAAATCAGTTTCATACCAAATAAAAGTCCTGTCATGGTGAAATGCCATGAATAAAGTTTTAAATTACATTAAAATGTCGTACCTGAATAAGTCGAGCTAGGGCCAACCAGAAGTCAGGTCTGGCCTGGAGCAAAGATGAGAAGTGAATCGCAGCAGCTGAGAGATCGAGTCTACGCAACGACAGATCTGCAACCATCAGCAATGCAGCCTCGTTGGAAGGCTCATTGGCCAGAATAGCGGAACATAACATTTCGCACGAAGAGAGGTCTTTCACCTAACATATCAAACATCAATATTTGTGTTTTTTCATGCCAAATAATTACTTTTTAATAAATGTTTCTTTAATGATAAACTTTTTAAATCGGATGTATTCTCTTCTGAAGGAGAATAGGTTAAATAAATAAATTCAAGAAAACAATTTATTTGAAATGAGTGGAGGATGTACCTGCATGTAGAGCTTGGCAAGAGCTACTTGAGTGCGGATTGAGCCTGGCCTGTACGCCAATGACTTCTTGAAGTAGTCGATCCCAGCTTGATAATCTGCAGTTGAAGTAGCGTAGCTTCCCATCTGATGAAACAACTGCCCTATATCACATTCGTTTTCCCTGAGTAACTGTAAATAACAATATAAATGAAAAGAGTGCATTGTAAAAATATTTATTACATTCATAACAGGAAATTTTTTAGCGATAATAAAGTTGTTAACAAACAACAATGATTTTGGATACACTAAATAATACACATTTTATTAATTTATATTTAATTCTACCAGAGGCATTAAGAATATACCAGTGGTTTAGTGATTAATCATTTAACTGATTCTGAAATCTAATATGTACTATTATTAATTCAGATAGGATTGCAAAATATTTCCGTGGAAATCCAAAGGAGTTACTGGTCATTTACACCATTTTAAAATATTTCATAAATAATGTAATTAGATCTGGTTCTGTGTCAACTTAAATACTTATATATAGAAAATCTATTAAACAAAATAAATTTGGAGCATTTTTAATAACAGCTCTCATTGTCAGCCAATTTGGGGTATCATGCTTTTTTTTTTTTTTCATAGTTCACAAACAGTCGATGTTTTAAAGTATCAATTTTAATATTTGTATGTCTTTCAGGAAGCTTTGATTAACAACAAATAATAAATTTAACAATTTACTGGTTATTGTTATCAATGAGTTGTATTACCAGAGATCTTGTATCCACGAATAAAACATAACTGGAACTTTAAAAAACATTATAACGTAAATACTGATAACAGTTGATAACATCCTTCCAATATGTCTGTAGACTCCTGAAATTACAACACTAGGCCTATTCACAGAAAACACGATCTCAAGTTTTCGACTTTTCTAGAACTAAAATCTTTCAACGCTCCTTTCTTACTTGATCATCTGCCATTTAGAATCCCCTCTCATCTAATATACACCATCTTTCTTTCCTACCCTCTTTCAAAATATTTTCTTTTCCATTACTTTTTCACATCCTAAAAAGACGCTCATATCATGAAATTTTAAATTAAGAATAGAATATGGGTGATGAATGAATAACAGTTGTAATATTTTAGTTGTAGGTTTTGATCTCTGAACACTATTATAAATGTTCTTTGAGACAGGTAGTAATATTTTTCAATAAAAAAATAAAATAAAATAAATTAATTTAAAAAAGTTTCAGCTTTAATGAACAAATCACAGTTTTATTCATGTATTGAATAATACTTATTCAAAAGATGGTTTTCTTTTTCTTTTTATTAACTGTTTATAATTTATATCATGATTGGATTTTATTATTTAATGTAGTTTTAGGCCAGTTATGTTTTATATTTATTCGTACATGTTTTTTTATTCATAAGGAACCTAGTCCCACAATTAAGCTTGTTTTTCTATTCTATGAATGTTACACAAACACAATTTATCTAAAACAATTTATTTATTAAAAATTCTTGATGTAGGCATAATCTTGAATGCCAATACATGATGTTAAAAAAATTTACTTACTTCTGCTTGTGCATCAACAAGAGTCTTGAGTGCTTTGTCAACTTTACCCTTCTTTTCCTCAACCTGTCAAAGAAAAACCTTAAATTAAATAATTTTCTTATTGATCCAAAGGGCATTAGAAGAAGTCGCTACTATACTATAATATATAGATTATTATGCAAATATCTTTCAGAAAGAGATAGATATCAACATATTTCTATTTTCTACGATTTAAATATCATTGATGACTAACTTTTGCTTGAAGAAGAGCTCTCTTGGTTGTCGGCAGTTCTTGAGCTACCTCCGAGGCTTGGTCGAGTTGCCCAAGACGAAGGAGTAGCTCTCCAAGTTCAAGACGACCCGCTTCACCTGGAAAATACGAATGAAAGTAATTCCACATTTGAGTAATATATTATTTAATAAGCCTGAAATCAGTTTGTACCAAATATAAGGCTCTGTCATGTCGAAATGTCATGAATCGGGTATCTTTAGATTCAGAATTTCACATGAGGAAGGAGAAGCAGTTTAGCAAATCATACTCACAATTCTTTCAAAAATAAATAAAGTTGATCTTTGCATCGGAACTAGAACAGTATCATACTAACTATCTTTATATATTATTTCTCGTAAATAACTTTTTTTTCTTTTTCTGTTTGCTGTAACATCGTGAATACTTCATCAAAGCTGATGATGATTTAACCATAATTTTTTAACATTATCTTCTCCTCCAGTATCAAAAAATTAGTTAATTTCCGAGAAAAATAAGGGGAAAAAGTTATAAAGAAATTAAAACTTTATTTGTGTTCAACTCAAGAAGTATATTCTAATTTAGAGTGAATTATACTCATGATAATTAGAAAAGTTTCTTAATTCCCTACAAAAAAAAAAAATTATTGAAATCAGACCATTTTTAGCAAAGATACAGTTTATTGAAATTTGTTTATATGTTTTGGTCTATTATGAATCATTGTAAGTGATAGAGAATAATAAAGAAAATACTTATCGTTCTCATAAATACTAGGTTGTTACAAAAGTCCTCATGCATAAGTATAGTTTTATTTCATATTAGATATTTTATATGTTATTGAATATTTCTCTTCAAAGTAAATTCCACTGTTTTTAACTACTTTCACCAACCTTTCTGCCAATAATTGGATTTGATGAAGAAACCACTAGTTTGATTTTGAGGCGAAAAACTCTTCACATCCGATTTTTACATCCTTATAATTATCAAACATCCGACTTTTAAAAAATAGGCCATTACCTTAACTAAATAAACCAAAATCTGATGGTGCAATATCTTGGCTATATGCAGGATGAGGCAAAATGTTTACTGCTTGAAGTTCCAATAATTTTTCCTTGGTCAAATGAGAACGATGTATTGTCATGTTGTAAAAATGTAAATGACCTCATAAAGCTAACTCAAGTCACAAGGAATTAAAAGGTTATCGAAAGTAAACATTGACATAAACAGTAGGAACAAAAACATTCATATAGAATTAATTACAAGAGTTGAGTTCATGCAGGACTCCTGTAAGGACTTTTGGACATTTATCTATTTCCATATTATACTACCATTTGTTCACTAATTAATATACCAAGCGAATTATTCCCACAGGCCAACTACCATTAAATATTAGTGTCCAATCTCTTTTCGAGAGATTTTATGAATATTTTCATCTTGTGAAGATATAATTTAATATATGAAAAGAAAAATGGTTAAGTTACCAGCACTCCTGTAGGACTTGATGGCTTTGTTATACTGATGACATTTGACCAGAACCCTGGCCAGCTTGCACATCAATTTGGCATTTTCAGTCAGATTTTGCATCGCTTTCTCATAGCTTTTAATAGCCAAATCAGGTTCCTTCAACAAAGCATATAACCATTATAAAAATATTATATTTTTATGCTTTCTTTTTAAAATTAATTTTAAATAATTTAATTATTTTATACCTGAATAGCTAGGTAAGCATCCCCCAGAAGGACTAAGTTCTCTGGAGTGGGATCGGAATCGACTAATCTTTGATAACAATCTCTATAACCACGCTCATCTTTCAAAAATTTTAAATATATTTCAGCTTTCTTCATCTCATTCTGAAAAAAAAAAACAGATATTATCAGTGAATATAAGCCTTGCATGGAAGCAAAGAGTTAAGAGAATTTTTCTGCAGGTTAAATAAGCTTAGAACTCCTTTAACTGGGATCCAGTCCTTTTGCCTGGTTAAAGAAGGCAATCTTCTTACTGATAGGTCAGAAATCCTAGCAGAATGGATAAGACATTTTGTAACCTCCTGACTGTGCCAGATGTCATCCCTGAGGCGGTTAACAGAGCCCTACCTGGTGTGGGAGATATGGATCTGAGTTAGAACTGCCCAATGAGAAAGAGATTGAGGAAGCTGTTAATAGGCTGAAGAACCACAAACTCCAGTGGAGGATGGACTCCATGCCAAACTTTTACGATATGGAGGCAACAAACTAGTGAAGGCATTTCAAAACTCTTTTATGTCCGTGTGGGAGGATAAAGTAATTTCCCTCGCCATGGAGAAAATGTGTTGATAGATGGAACCTGGAGGAGACGTACAAATCAGAATATTTATGGTTTATTTAAAGAGCCAAATGTCGTTCAGATGATTAAACTGAGCTGGGAATGTAAATGAATACTTGAAGTACAACATCAATATTAACTAAGAACAGCAAAAGAAAAGATATAAAAAAAAAAAAACTCGTTGAATACCGATCAAGTGTTCATTCACATTCTTATTGATTTAGGCTACGTTTTAAAGTATACCTAAGAATGACTTAAGTACTACGCTAGATTGCCCTCTGTCTTATAAGACCTGAGACATTTGCTTATATATACTTTTCGAATGTCCTATCTACAAGACTATCTGGAATGGTTGTATTCATGACATGAATATAGCAAATGATGAACATAAACTAACACTACTATTATCGGTGATATAATGTTTAAAATCTTTAGGTTCATTAGCGAAGCTCTCAAAATACGATCACTTATACTGTTTGAATAGGACAGATTTGACAATAATTATAATACATTATATTATATTTTTAAACCATGTTTTAAGAGAAAATTATTAAAATATGGAACTCTGATAAAGCAAAAGTATTGAGTTTAAAAAAGATGTATTTAAAAGTAAATGATTGACGAATTAATAAAAAGGATTAAGCATTAATACATTCTAGAATTGCCATATTTACAGGTTATTAATTGTATAAAATAGCATAAGATAGTAGAAAATTAAAGGTTGCTCTAAACCAAATCCTACATGTTCTACATCACATTACAAATATTGAAAATCCAGCTGAGAATTAATAAAAAACTAATTGAATTTAAAATTAAAATTAATAGAAATAATCTCCAACTAAAAAAAAAAAATAAAAAAAAAATAATAATTAAATAAAAAAAATAAAATGTTACAAACCTGGACAAAGTAGGGGTGGCCAGGAGAAGTATGAGACAGTTCCTGTATAGCAGCTCTTGCACTTCCCTGCACAGCTAATAAATGTGCCTTTTGGATTTTTAGCTTACCTTCTTCATCTGTATTTTTTAACAGTTCATGTGCTTCCTAAAAAATAGCCATTAATTAAAAAAATATGAAACAATCGACCATATTCGATATATCATAATAAACTGGCATTACATGAAGAGCAGCTTCAGCTTTATCTGTTTCACCCTGTTTCATATAAGCAGAGGAAAGCTCGGTGTAAACCATACCCAATTCTTTATCACTTAGTTTATGCGTTCCTATAAGATAAACAACTAAAGTAGTCAAAATTAAATATTTAAAGTATACAAGATTTATTACGTAGTTGGCGCCCGAACAGGGACTATGTGTTAAAATGTTTTAAAAAATTTATTACAATACTTTTTTATGTGATGGTTACTATGTAATACTATAAAACATAAAATGAAAACAAATATCACAACCCCTTCCTAAATTTATCAATTGAATTATAGTTTTGTATTGTTTAAAGATCATAGCAGTCTGAAGCTCTACTCATATACCAATATTTCTAGTACGCTGCCGAAACAATCTCAGATATATTGGTCTTCAAAACCATCACAGATTTTCTTTAAATAGTTTTTTTTTAAATATATTAAAGATTGTGCTCTCTGTGTGACTCCAGTGTGAGTGTGCTCTCTGAACACTATTATAAATGTCCTTGTTGTGACAGAATGTAATATTTCTAAATAAACAAATATAAGATAATAAGATAAGTAAGTGATTTTGTAAATTTAATGATTCTAGTTTGGGGTCATGGCGTTCTGTTAAAATTGTTGTGTCTTCAGCGTAAGAAGCACTCAATGTTTCAGAGGTGGTAGGCATGCCATGCGTATAGACAATGTAGAGTAAATGTGCCAATATTGATTATAATTTAAATTAATATATTTTACTTTTGTAAATATATTAATGTAAACCAGACGCTATCAACAGAGAAGAATGAGAAAAAGATTCATATGTAGCACTCAGAACACATCGACTACCAGATTACTTTTCAAAAAATCAAGTAAACTAAATTACATTTTAATATTAAAAACTTTAATTTTAATACATACATGACTGACTGAAATTTTAATACATTAAAAACATGACATCTAAAATAACTACTAGATTACTGGTGGTAATGTTTACTATGGCACAACACTGATCACCAATTATCTCTTAGGTCGACATTCAACATCTTAACAAGAAAAAATGGCACTTCAAGATTTCAAATTTGAGTTCCAATTTAACAATTTTGACATAGAGTTGTTTAATAAAATTAGGTGTATGATTAGCTACCTTTCAATAAGTCCCTTTAGTTCTTTTTCACTTTGTTTGATATATTATAAAATAAACTTAAATTCTTTTCAGAGTGACCACTCCAATTTACTTAAAATGAACTTTTTTTTACAAAATAGCTTCTGTTAGAATAATTATATACATCATTTATTACCCTTATTCAAAACAAGAGCTTGCTTCATACATCCAATAGCTGAAATGTAATCATTACGAGCCATAGCAATGAGGCCACTTATAAAGTGGAAACCGGGCATCTCCTTCAAAGATAAATTCTCGCTCAATCCCAACTCGAGTCGAGAAGCGGCCTTCTCTGTCTCACCCTAGATAACAAAAATCTCTATGTTAATTGTAATCACTTTCTCATGATAAAAAAAAATTATAGATATTTTATATTTGGATAGATATACACAATAGGCCATTGATATTAGACTAATATTAATAGAAACAAAAAGTAAACATCAGTTTTGCATTTAAGTTGGAAAAAAAATGAGTACTAACTAACTGAAGGTGAATCTCTGCAGCAAGTAACGCAACTGATGGATGCTGAACGCCTTCTAGGGCAGATGCAGCCTCATTAAATGACCGAAGTCTAAGATGGCAGCGTACGAGATCTAAGCGAGCTTCCATCAGCCCAGGACACACTTCTCTAACAAGTGTCAAAGTCCTTGCTCTTCTTTTGATGCCGATCTCCTGCAATTGTTTAATCGGTTCAATTATGTATACACATATATATATATATATTAAAAAATATGCAGCAAGAAAAATATTATTTAATTCCAAATGAATGACCAATAGACGTTGATCTGAGTTATACATACATGCTTCTTCAACTGCTTATTGAAGGGGTAGTGGAGGAGGAGGGGGAAGGTATGATGGGAGAGGGGAAGTTCACTGTTCACAATCGGACGACCAAAATTGAAATACAAAATTTATTTAACAAACATTTACGTTAAGTGGATACAAAAAGGGTAAATGAAGTGAATGCAAATGTAAACGAAATATGAATCAATGGTGTTTCCTTCTCTTCGAAGGACCTGGACCAAGTGTATCTGTCAATCCACCTCCTTCATGACATAAAATAATACTACATTATATATTATAGTATATTATTATTATTAGGACTTTTCAACAAGAATTTATCTAGGAATATTCAACAAATTCAGAAAACTCATATTTTCATTCCAATTCAGTAAGTCCAGGACAATCAATATGGCACTGAAAGAGGCGGAGTGGGGGATTGGCTTGGTCCTGGATTACACAAATAGTCGAAGAAGCAAGAATATGAAAAATATTAAAGTTTTAAAAAAAAAAAAAAGAAAAAATGAATTACAGTATCAGGATAGGCCATGGCTATCTGGACCAACAGGTCAGGATCCAGAGCGATGAGGTGACTAGGTCCAAATTTGTGAAGAGAAGATTTAGCTTGCAAGGCGGCTACTGCCCCATCGAGAAGCTCCAGCGCGTCCTCTTCAGAGGAAGATACCATTGCCAACAGGAGGCAAAGCTCAGGTTCAATTCTATCCTGCCCTCCAACAACTTGCAAGAATTCAATCTCCTGTCTCGTCTAGAAATTACAAAACAACTTTAATAAGTAAAATAATAATAAAATAAATAAATGTATATATAACTTTATAAATAAATTCAAACTCATAGATTAAAAGTGTTGAGAATTGAAAAGATTTAATTTAATTTAAACAGAAATAGGTTTAATTCTTAATTAAATCTATTGCATTATAAAGAAGAAATGTTTACTTTTTTTTTTTTATAACTTATAGTTTATATGACACGAGCTAGAAGGTATTGAAGACAGATGATTAATGATTGCAATCAAGTAGACATCTAAAAAATTGTCTACATTTTCTATCAGGTAAGCAAATCTAAATAAGGTTTAGTAGCTCAATTTAACCAAGTCAGAGGCTACAATTAATTACATTTTTGCCTTTCTTTCCAACAAATATGTATAAACTATATACATACATTAATCATTTAAATTTTTTTATTTTTAATTAGTAGTATTTTATAATTAGAAGATCTTTATAACAATGTAACAATAAAATAAACCATAATAACATTGGTCCAGACCGATCTATTTAATCTATAGCATGGACTTCCGTGTTAAAGTATGAGACTGATTTTACTTATCTATGGAAACTTTAAATAAATGAAAATTTGTATGAGTCGTTGTTATAATGAGAACAAACTCTGGAGCTATATTTTATGTTCACAAACACCAAAAGTTATTAATAAAAATTGGAAGAATTTAGTGAAAGAAATGATAAACAAATATTTCATTAATTATGACTCAAGACTAAATTATACTGAATCATAGTATAAAAATAATTTTTACCCCTATTTACTTTCATTCTTCTACATATAAAATATATAGTAAGGGAAAGTATTGAGGTCAAGAACAATTTTTACCCTGAGTTTTTAAAGGAATCACACTTTTTCAGATTCCCAAAAGATCTAGTCAATAATAACGTTTAATAGCTTTAGTTTAATAATTTTAGCTACGATAATAGATTTAAATAAGTTAATATTAATCAGCACTATTTTGAGCCAAAATTTTATTATTTAAGTGGACTAATATTTAAGCAAAAGTTGTATGATGCATGCTGCATCATATTTTTTTTTTTTAATCATGGCACATTTCTAAAAACATGTTTCGTTGATAATATTGTATTAATTAATCTTTATTGTTTAAGGGAGATATTTTTTATCCCTGACCAATTATTATAATTTTTGGCGCCCAACATGGAGCTTTTTTATTTTAAATGACTTTTGCCAAAGAGTAAATGTCATGATAATAGATTACTTACTTGCTGATTTAGGCCTGCTATAGCGAGATGCGCTGCAGTTAGACGAGCAAGATGGAGGGAAGCAGATGGCTCCAGCTTACAAGCATTGTTTGCCGACGACTCGGCTTCTCTTTTCTTGCCACACATTAGTAACAGGCGAGAAGCTTCAGAATACAATAAACCTTCTGTAGCACCCCATTTCAAAGCCGCTTCCACATAATCCTCCAGCACATTAAGGATCTCTTGGTTTCTGCCGCAACATCTGTACAACAATAAAAAAAATAATTTATTAAAAATCATTAATACTGATAACTTTAGAGGGTAGGAAAGTGTTCTAAGCTATCGTGCTCCCTCATAAAAACAATCATATTTTCTCTATCTGTAATTATTGACTTGAAAAATTTGATAGGTGATACATTATTTAACATATCTAACTTATGGCTCTTTCATTAATTGTCCTTAGTTTTTGACTTATATACACCATATATGATATTCGAAGTTAGTATCATGTAGGTACATGACAAGTTGAAGGTTAAGCAGAATGGAATAAAGTGGACATTTTTTATCATGCATTTAGAGACATTAAAAGATAAACTAATAGATAATTACCTGGATACCATAGAAAATATTTCCATATAGAGCCACCATGCTTTAGGTTCTTGATTCTCTATCTCCAATCGAAGTTTTCGCAAAATTGGAATGCTTTCTTCATATTTCCCTTCTATTACACTTTTAAGCACTGTAAACTAATTACATACAGTGATAATTATAGAGATATGTCAGATAAAAAAAAATATATTATCTTGATCAATCAGTTTATATTTCACTATTTTTTTCCTTTTTAAATAACTTTTTTAATTATAAATTTTTAATAGTTTATCTAATAGATATTTCTAATAACATTAATATCAGATTAAACTTATGAGAGAATATATTTAAATATTGCTGACCTCCAGCGCTAGTATATTGTGCTGCTCAAGGCCCATCGCCCTCACAGATGTGTCCGTCATCTCTTGCCACATCTTTTCTTCAAGCTGTAGTTGCATCTTCTCCATGAGAGGAATGACACACTTTGGATACCTGACCACGAGTGTGTTCACCTTGGATAGAGCTTCCGATGTCCCAAGAGATTTTACCTCTCCCATTAGTGCATCACCATTCTCCTTATCCTATAGAATCGGTTTAAACATTACATTTTTGCCGAAAGAAAAATTATTCAACTTTCTTTCAAGGGAAAATTGAAATTTATTATGATCAATAGAAGAATAGATAACAATTAATACATAACCAAAGGAAATGATAAAAATGAAAAAAATGTTGAAAATAGAAATGAGTTTAGGTAAAACTATGTATACTTTATGAAGCTTATCCAACCTTAAGTCATGTACACAAAAACAAATTGAAACAAAGATAGAAGAGATATAGGTTATAGTGAATATCATGGTAGCAAGTAACGAGTTTTGAATTATGGAAAAAGGTAGGATATTTCCTTAGAAGAAAACAGCAAAGCAAATAAAGCATTGGAATAGAGCTGAAAAGTCATAACTGAGGCCAGAAGCCCAGGATTACTTGAAAAAGCATAACCTTGTTGTTCTAAGAAAGGTGAGGATATACTTGAAGCACAAAGAAAGGACTAAAACTTTAAAAAGTTTATCTTATCTTGGCTCCATGCCCCTTTAAGGGAATTCTAGGAACTAAATGATATTTCACATAGAGGAAGGAAGGAACAGAAAGGAGTATAACTCAAAAAATGCAGTTTTGTTAAAATTAACATTCAACACTGGTATAAGTTGTATATCGAAGCCCTGAGATAGTTCCTCTATTACATGTTGCTGGTATATTACCTATTGGCTCATTGGTTTGGCCTGATATTTGTTTGATATCTTACAGTTGTATACCTCTTATGAGAGGGGTCCAATTATATATATATATATATATATATATATATATATATATATATATATATATATATATATTTCTAGCATGAATAATTTTAATTTGTGTCATTCTGGATGTGCAATATGATAATGGCAAAAATGATTATCAAAACAAAACATATATAAATAGATGAAATTATTCTCATGTTCATTTGACATCAGTATTACTTTAATAAACCACTTGATTACTTCAATAAATGATAATACAATAATATTATTTTCTTGATTATCTGTTGATTTCAAATCAATTATCTGATAATTAATACAAATATTTCAATCCTATTATATCTTCAAGTTAATAGAATAAGGAAAACAAGTCACTATTATTTTTTTTATTTAATTAGATTATTTTATGTATAGTGATTATCTTCATCATCTAACATAAATGCTTGCACCAGTTGGTGGATGTTCTTTTAAGTAAATAAGTAAGGTTTAAACAAACAAATTAACATTTTAAATTAAATAAAAATTAATGCAATTTGTGTTTTAGAACAGAATAGTTGGCTCAACTTGCTTTATTGCAAGACATAAGTCTAACTCTGAGTTTTATTATGCTATCTCCATGACTATTAAGAAATTATCACTCTTCCACATTATCCCTATAGCCACTAGCTAATTCCTAGTACTTAATTTGGATTATTAACAAAATATTTTAATGTCAATAAATAATAAAATACCATCTGTACAGCTTGCTGGAAATGCCTGAGGGCTGTTCTAGTCTTCTTGGCATTAAGCTCAAGCCAACCAAGCAGCGCCAACCCTCGTGAAGACTTTTGATTGGCCTGTAAGAACTGCTCTACCTCATGCTGAGCGAGTTCTTCCTCACCACAAAGGTAGTGTACAAGCGCCTCAAGTAATGGATCATTCATGTTAGTGCGACTCTGCTCTTGTTTCAGACGAGCCTCAATCCTTTCCACTGCTTCACGATCCACTACCTGAAAAAAAAAACATGTTATAATTGGATCATGGATAATTGTCCTCCAGAAAAAATATGAGAACAACTCAGGCCAATATGTTCAGGATTTCATTCGAGCAAGATGACAATAAAATCTTGGCCCTTTGGAGAAGAGATATGAAGGATCTCTTTTCTGTTATAACACATAGCCTTCGAAGTTGGAAGTAAAGCTTCCAAAACTTTACAACTTTACAAAAGTGCAAATTATGGATATCAGATAACTAACTTCAACTATTATTGGAAAAATTATCTTTGTAAGTTAGTTGGTTCATTTTTCATTTCAATTTTCTTATAAGATGGTATAATAACGTTACAAATAATAATTGGGTAGAATAATATAGGATAATTCCTCCGCTCCGTAAATCACAAGTGGCAAGTAAGGAGATAAAAAGAAAAATAAAAAAAAAATGACCCTATTCTTGAATAACACAGTTCTCATTTGATAATGAAATTTTTAGATGATGGAGCAAGAAAGTACACAACTACAATCTTAAAAATTTAGTTCTGTCCAACAGATGTTTAACCAACATTTAAAACTACAATTTTTTTATAGAGAACAATAAAAGAATAAATTATCTATAAACTGAAAATTATATATATATATATATATATATATATATATTTTTAGGTTGGCTCTACATATCTTGTAAATCTTTGGCTGCCTGAAACAGCCTTCTCCACCTCTGCCTATCTTGGGCTACTGCTTTCCAGTTTGCGGCATGAAGCTCAGCCTATCTTTGTTTATCTATCTATCCATCTGGTTTTGGGCCTCCCACATGGTATCTTGCCTACTACTCTAGCATTTATTGTCGTGTAAAGGTGTCCTGATGGATTGCTACAAGCTACATGCCCTGCTCATCTCAACCTTCTTGCCTTCATGTCATGAGATATTGACTGACCCGTTTCTTTCAGCAGTTCTTTATTGTTCTTTCTCCTCCATGTCTCAAGGTTCTGGTTCCATATAGGTCCTGTTATTCTACATAGAACTTTTCTTTCGAATATCTCAATTCTGGCTTCTAGTGTGCCGGTTAGAGCCCAGGTTTCACAACCGTACACCAGAACTGGCTTCATCACGGCGTTGTACACCTTTATTTTTGGATTTCTGGAGATTTTTCTGGATTTCAGTACCTTTGAAAGAGAGAAGAAAGATCTGTTCGCACTTGTTATTCGCTGGTGTATCTCTGTTAGTTGATCATTTATTGAAGTTATTGTGGAGCCGACGTATTTGAATCTGTCCACTTTCGGGAATGACTTAAGAGTCCACACAGATCATGTTATTAGGATGGGTGTTTCGGCTATCATGTATTTTGTTTTATCTACATTGACTTGTAGTCCGATTTGCTCTGCTTCTTTTAACAGAGACCGAGCGAGTCTCTCAATATCCTCTTGTTTACTTCCGAGGACAGCTACATCAGCGCATATGCTAGGATTTTGTGTTTCATTCCAACGTGCACCCCTTCATGTGATGTTATTCTTATTACTTTCTCTTGTGCTAAGTAGAACAGCATCGGCGAGAGTCCATCTCCCTGCCTCAAACCCGTTCGAACTTCAAAGGCTTCAGATACTTCTTCTTGTATTAGTACCCTGCATTTAGGATCATTTGTACACGCCTTCGTCAACCTCACTAACTTCCCGGAAACACCCAGCTCAGTCATGATCTTCCAGAGACAGTTCCAGTCCACGGAGTCATAGGCTGCTTTGAAGTCGACAAATAATGGGTGTTCGTCCTGATCTACTTCCCATCGTTTTTCAAGTACTTGTTTTAGGATGCATATCTGATCTAGCGTACTCCTACCTCTCCTGAATCCTGTTTGATGATCGCCTATTATGTTTTCATAATACGGATACATCCGATTTAGCGGAATATTAGTCATTATTTTATAGGCGACCGAAGAAGTGCTATGCCTCTGTAATTGCCACATTCATACATGGAGCCCTTCTTAAGGGCTATATATATATAAAAGGTGATTTCATGGCTAGAATAAGAAGAGAACTATAATTTTTTCCTATATGAAGCCTAAACTCTCTTGCTTTTTCACCTGGCAGTAAAAAGAAAACGAAGAGTATAAGCGATGACATCTGGAAGAGTGAGCAAGTTGGTTCACTTTGGGTTCTGTAAACATGATTCCGCATCGGAGAAATGAGAAAAATATCTATACTGAACATATTAACCAAGCGCTAGTCTGAATGGAAACTATAGAAATAGAAAATCATCTTTATTCTGGGACTAGGTCCCTCAAGAATAACAATATTGCTCATACCATAAATCTGGCCAGATGACCTAATTATGTGTACTATAACAACACCTATAGGCAGATGCATTTCAGTCTTATAATGTATTAGTTAACTAGGTAGCAGCAATTCAGTGGTTAATGATTAGAAATACAATAAAGCTGAAAGAATGTTTTAAAACTACGCTCCCGATAACATAATTGACTCTAATGTTGAAAAAATTTGGAAAATTGTTGCATATCTATATGTAGTTGCGCAATCTAAAAATCGATATTATTTTAAAAAGTATGACTCCAAAAACATAAAATGGACACTAATATTTAATAAATGTAAAGAGTTAAAAGAAATCGATACACGATTTTGCAATTCTAAAACCAATAGTATTTTCAAAACCTGTCCCTCCTACAACATAATTATATCTTAAATCGAAGAAAACTAAAATGTTAATAAAAATCGATTCACAATGGCGCGATTATGAGATCGATATTATTTTTAAAAAATATGAATTTATGTTATTAGTAATAACGTAATAATGAACGATTATGTAAAAAAAAAAATTATGTTCCATATGTTTTCGATTTAAATCCTTCCATAACAAACTTGAGAACCACCGGAACCCTTTTGTTTCAAACCTTGCTTCCTCCTCGATACCTGATAACCCCGGAGGCGTCTGAAAACAAGTTAGCTTCGTGATCTTCTTATGCAAATCTATTATTTCAGAGCTACCTGTGGGTAGTTTCTCAACAAGCGATTTTATGTTATTATATTCCTGAGTGCACATTTACTAGATGTATTTTTTTTTTAATACAGTTGTAAATATCATGAATGAGTAAAAATAAAAATAAAATGTTAATATAAATCGATATGAGAATGTGCCATCTTAAAAATCAATGGTACTATAAAAACTACCCCTTTGATAACATAATAATTGCCTCTCTTATAGAAATAAAATAATAGAAAAGTTTTAGTAAATCTATACGCCGTTACGCAATATAAAAATCCTAAGTACTTATGGAACCCTTATATGGAAGAAATTAAAAAAAGTTTAAAGGAACCGGTTCACGATTGTTCAATATTAAAATCAATAATATTTGCAAAAACTTCGTCTCCGAAAACATAATAATGAGGACTTCCTTAGATGGAAGAACTCCAAAAAATCACAACCATAAAAATGAACCCTTAAATGGAAGTAATATGAAAATTTAATATAAATCGATAACAACTTTGAAAAATAATTTACAAAGAATACGATTCTTTGAGATGCGGGTATGAATTTTACAAATCACAGGGGCCCACTTTAAGTCCGATTCAGATCTGGAACATAGCCGATTAATACGGATTATAAAAAAGGATAAAAACTGTAATCTTACTTAAACTATAAGGTAAAAATTTAAAAAATATATATAAATAAGCTTTAGATTACATTTCTGAGAACAATAACTTTGAATAAAAAATTCTTTAGATACATAATTTAATTTCTTCAACTGCAAAGACAGTTATTTTATAAGTTACTATTAATTATCTGAGAACAAGGAGCCAATTTTCTATTATTTATTTGTAATAATGAATCTTGTAACCGACCAACGAAAAAAATAAGAGGACTGTCAGAAAACACAATAATGACAATATTTTTAAATTTCTATAAGTTTAAATCAGATCGGCTTGTTTTTTTATTTCGATAGTTTAGTTTGTGAACGATTCCAAAGAGGTTCGACAGATAAGTTGAAAAATTGAGCTTTAAAATTTTATGAAATAATTTAGTTTCAGATTCATATTTTTCATAACGGTATATCTAAAAAAAATTGCAAAAATGTTCCCGTTATGCAGACAGAAGACCACAAACTACTTAAGGTATTGAGAAAAGAATTTCCAATAATCTCTTTGGACAAGTTTGTTAATTTTGGAACAAGTAACCCCTACGTAAATATTATAATTTGTTAATATTTTTTCCTTCTACTCAACGACAAGACATTCCTAAATAAAATGTTGTACGTTAACTTAACCTTGTTACTGTGGATAAGTTCTTTAGAACCTTTGTGGTTAACTGTTTTGAATTCTTTACAAAAACTTGATCAATCATTGTAGAATTTCAAAAAATGTTTAAAAACAATCTTGATATTTTCAAGGCTATAAAAAAACCATGTGACTCAACCAATGTTCAATTTCTTAAGGTTGTGATTTTGTCCAACACTTCTGTAAACCTTACACAAGACATTGATCTTGAAGGCAAACTTAAATCTTATTGCATCCATTTGAAAGCAAAATGGATAAAATGTTGTTTAAGCAAACAAACCTTTATTTGAAAAAATAAAGACTGGCTATCTAGAACTTTCGAGTATTTTTCAATTCATAAAGAATGTGATGTAGATCACAAGACTTTTATCGAATGCTCTAACAGGCATAAAATGCAGAGTTAAAGTATTGAGGAAATGTCACCCAGCAGAGGAGCTACTTTTAGCAGCTAAAATGAATTTGTAGCGAGAGGGAAGGAAAACGAAAAGCCAAAATAGTGGAAACAATTCTCAATGCCTCAGATGATTCAGAAGACATCAAACGCATATGCAATGATGGGGAAATACATTAAGTAAAATGATGGATTAAAAAACAATTCTCTAAATCTTTCTAGGTTGCAATATGTGATTTAAGAGAAATAAATGAAAATTTTTCCAGCATACGACAAGGTAATCAATGCTAAGAAAGAATGGCATCTTGAAAAATCAAAGATGAATAATTGAAAAGGAAGCAAATCCTGCTTGACCATAAAGACCCAAGAATTATTTTTCAATGATTCTATAAAAGAATGAATCGCCTAACTATAGTTTGAATGAGTCATCTATATACATGACCATTATGGATTCAATTTAATTAATTAATGAGAAATATTCTTTAATGATTATTGAAAAAGTTAAGACCTCTGTCAACCTATTTTTTTCAGGTTGCTGATTTTTAGGATTTATAAATAAAGACCAAGAAACCATCAAAACTGAAACTGGAACTGCATGCCTGAAGACAGAATGGCTGGTTGCTGAAATTAATTATGAAAAAATATGCCATGGTCTATTGATGGTAATGGTTAGGGGCAATTTGTTGTAAGTATGCCTTTTATAATAAATTTAAAATTCTTGTATTTATTTCAGGTTTTTATTTTTTCATTTCTCTCCAAACCCTACACATTTAATATTTATTAAAAACACAATAATAATTCTAATATTAATAAAAAAGTAACTTTTTTTATATTAAGATTCAATTTATTAATTTAAATAGAAAAAATATCCATTAAAGAGGGTTGCATTAAATGCAATGCGCGCCTTCTTAGTTAATTAGGAATGGTACAACTGCCCATTTAGAAGTGAGCCTTAACTAAGGAATACAAAGATCAATGGAGGGAGTAAAAAAAAAACATGAAGAGTTGTCTTTACGTCGATCTAGTTAAACAAGTCTTAGAAACGTTAATACTGAGAACATGATTTGAATTGTTTTTAGAAACCTTAAGATCTCAGTAAAAATTATGAGAACGAAGGAAGATATAAGGTTTGTTGTCATTCTTAACGTTTGTTAATTCATAAAATTTTATCACATGAACAGTACATAATAAAAATCTTGAGAAAAATTTTTAATTATTCTTAATTATTTATTTTTAATTATTCACTGAAGTACATTTTATTATTGATATAATGTTATAGTAAAATTAAAATCCACTTACCTTGATGATTAGTTTCTTTAAACGAAGCATGAAAAACTCGAAGGTTGATACGTACAAAATAAACAGATTATAAGTTTAGGTGGGGGAGGAAAAATATCCTGACAATCAATGAATTTTTTTTTTGCTACTATCTTTCGCACTCGGGAGATATTTTGTTATTTATGCTTAATTTTAGAACTGAACCAAAGTAAATGTTTGTAATTACAGATCTGACAGGATCAATATAGAATAAAAAGGAGAAATAAATATTAATCTTTATATATTATTTCTCAAAGGTGTTTTATGTTACTACGCCATAACTTCATCAAATCCAATGATTGACCCCTCATTTTGAAGATCTTCTCCTTCAGGAGGGAAAAATAGTCACATCTTCCCGAAAGTTCAGCAAAGAAAAGTTATGAAGGAAAAGAAACTTAATTTGTAAGATAACTCAAAATGTATACATTTTTTTCTCGATTATACATCGATTATGATTATTTGATAAATTACAAAAAAAATTAATCACACGCGGAGCATTATTACCTGAGAAACAGACTATTGTAATTCGTAAACATTTTGTGTGCAATTTTATTTTGTGGGGGTGGGGGTATTCATGTAGGAGGTTAAAAAAAGTATGCTAAATTTCGAAAACTTCCACTCCCATTTTATATTTCAGACATCAATGATGAAATTTGGTATGGTGTCTATCTGTAGCAAATCCGTAAGGGGCATATCACCTACTACCATTTATCCAATTTTTTCTTTGGTCGATTACAATTACTGAAAAAATAGAAAATGATTCCTTCATCTTATGATATGTTGAATTATTTATTTCTTTATTATTTTGCCATTAATTAATGCCAAATATTCTTTGGGAATTATTCGCACGGACCAACTAGTCTTAAGTATTTTGAACATTAATTCTTTTGTGCAGTTCACGTTACTAATTTAAATAATCACAAATAAATTAATAATTGTAAAATAAAATTCAAAAGGAACAAAAAATAACAAAACTATTTATTTGAAAAATGATAACAACAAGAAAATAATAAATTGTTATTATTGACAAAATCAATAATCAAATAAGATAAAACTGTAGACTACTCACTTGACAACTATTATGGGCAAATAGCATAAGAAGAAGTGTGGCCCTGACGGCGCTTAGCTGGTTCAGCAACGGCTCAAGCAATGCCAGAGCTTCTGAAACCCTATTGAGCTTGACGAGAGCTATCCCTTCAACGAGTGTCACCTGTGGGTCTACGGATGAGCTTCTAACTGTTAAAACACTACCGTACAAACGCCGACGAAATAAATAATGTACGGCCATCACCTCCATCTTTGCAGTTCAATTGTGGGGAATAATAATATTATTGAATTGTTGATTCTTTTTACTGAACTCTACTAGGAAATCACAAGTCAATTTAACTTTGATGTTATTTTCTAAGCAGTACTCCAAAACATCCTAAAACAGACAAAGGTTTCTTATCATTTAAAACAAGCACAATGATCCTGAAAATAAAATTTTAAAATACATACAAATATATTATCAATTAAGTATATTTTATTTTAATGTTACCAAAAACATATCTCTATTATATAAAAAAGTTTATAGTGACTTTCATATTTTATTTTATTTTAATATTGCCGTGCCAGATTATTATGGCAACGTACTAGACACCCCACCGATCGCCAATCCTATAATTATTTTTGCAAAAAACTAAAGATAGAATTGGCCACCTTCAGATCCCAATCCTTCAACTCCTACCTCACTTCCCTCTCTTCTCATGACAATTCCCTATGGAAGACCACCAAACATATCCTAAAACCCCATCACATATCACATCCTCTCCGTCGAGGTGATGGCTCTTGGGCAGCATCTGACGAAGATAGAGCCGAAGAATTCGCCAAACACCTTTCCCTTACATTCACCTCTCATCCAGAATCCAATCCCACCCACACGTCAGCAGTAGAGGAATTCCTTAATTCACCCATCCCACTCTCCTTACCGCCTAAAGCAGTTAATCCTTCTGAGGTCAAATTCCTCTTACAAAAACTACCTACCCGCAAATCACCTGGATACGACCTCCTTACCTCTCAGATCCTTAGACAACTCCCTCCTAAAGCTGTCATATTCCTTACATACATATACAATAGCATCCTACGAACCACCCACTTTCCTCTTTTGTGGAAACATTCCACTATTATCCTGTTTCCGAAACCAGGCAAACCTCCCAACACCTCAACGTCCTACAGACCAATTAGCCTTCTTCCTATTCTCTCAAAAATCTTTGAAAAGATCCTCCTAAAACGCATCCTACCCTTTATAGAATCCCAAACTCTTCCTTCCCATCAGTTCGGATTTCGTTCACAACACTCTACAGTCCAACAAGGACTCCGAGTGGTTGATCATATTTCCGCAGCATTGGAAAGCAAGCAATATTGCTCGGGTGCATTTCTGGACATAGCTCAAGCTTTCGACCGGGTATGGCACGCCGGGCTTCTTTCCAAGCTGAAAAACTATCTTCCTCAGTCCTTGTACCTTGTTCTCCGTTCCTACCTCTCAGATCGTACCTTCCGAGTTCGTTGCGGTACTGAATTTTCGCATTGCTATCCAATTGAGGCAGGTGTTCCTCAAGGTAGCGTATTGGGTCCCGTCCTTTACATCCTCTTTACCGCCGATATCCCTGTCCATCCCGATACCTTTCTGGCAACTTTTGCTGATGACACCGCTATTCTATCATCCGACTCAGATCCCAACATAGCATCCTTAAATCTCCAAAACCACCTCCCCTTGATTGAGCACTGGTGTAATAACTGGCGCATTAAAGTTAATGAATCTAAATGCCAACACATTACCTTTACACTCCGACGCAGTTCCTGTCCACCAGTACACTTTAATTCCATCCAGCTTCCTTACTCAGACACAGTCCGGTATCTTGGCTTTCATTTAGACCGAAGACTAACGTGGAACCCACATACTAGACTCAAAAGACAAGAACTCAACCGACGATACGGCCAGCTATACAGACTACTAAACAGAAAATCCAAACTTTCTATTGAAAACAAATTACTTATCTACAAGACAAAACTGAAACCTATATGGACATACGGACTTGAACTGTGGGGGACAGCAAAAGCTTCTAACATCAAACGTATTCAATCCTTTCAATCTAAAGTCCTTCGAACAATAGTTGATGCTCCGTTCTATGTAAATAACAAAATCCTACACCATGACCTTAATATCCCATTTGTCCTAGACCTTATTCCAGAAAAATTCTCCAAATTTCACCAAAACCTTACCTATCATCCAAATCCCCTTGCACAATCTCTATCCAGCATCACCCATCCTTACAATCCTCCTCGAAGGTTGAAGCGGCAGTGGCCCAGAGACCTTTTGTAAATAAGCATCTATTGGAGTTTTGGCAATGGCCAGATCCTCCACTCAAGCCCGAGTGTGTATGATTAGGTTAGTTCTTTTGTTTATATACATTTATTTTATTTTATTGTATTTATTTTTATTTTATTTATTGTATTTATTATTATTAAGTTTCTGTATTATTTTATTATTTTTTTTTTTTATTGTAAATAGAGTGTGAGTGTGCTTTCTCTGAACACTATTATAAATGTCCTTGATGTGACAGAATGTAATATTTCTAAATAAACAAATAAAAAAAATTTTAATATTAGGAGTGTAGGAGATTACAGGAACTGCTCTATTATCTCTATAATGAGCACTAATTATACAACTGTTCATTTAATTACATATGTGTTGAGCTCCTGTAACCTACTACTATCCTAATGTAAAATAGAGATTTTAGACCAAAAATTTGTACAGAAAATGGTATTCATCTGGAGGTGGTAGTATGATTTTACCTAGGTGACAGCAGTTATTTTTCAATCTAGCTATTTTCCCTTGAATACAATGTATTATTATATATTGAATATTATTTATATTATATTGTGATATAATTATAATTATTATGAAATAGAAAAGGAAGTACAATATAATGAAAATATTAGAAATAAAAGGCTCAAATTGATGTGCTTATATGAAGCTGGAGAAGTTGAATATATATTATGGTTACAAATTTGCAATAAGAATAATTATAATTATGTAATATAAATTGGCAAGACTTATAGAATAATTGAAAATTGGTCCGAACTGTGGTTTCGTTCAGTTTATTTTATGTTGATAAAAAATAATACAATCTGAACTACAGAATACATGTAAATTACAGTTATTACAATCTGAGCAACAAATAGTACAATTAAATGAACACTTGTAAAATGGAGGTTGGTCCGCTGTTGGGCGGACAGGAAGTATCCCCTAATATTTATTAATAATAGCCTAATTCTCAGCACAAAAATATTTCATTACATGATTAATGCTTTTTATTCTAAATAAATCATTATTAAATTTTAACAGATTAATGATAATGGATTGATGGTTGACTGTAGTAAATGATTTAAAAGAAGTTGGTTGGCGAATTTGGAATGGAGTAGCTGTTTAAAGAGGGAAGATTTGAAAGAGGATATTGACTTTGAGTGTCGAATATCAGAGGGAAAAGAATTCCAGAGAGAGACAGCTGGAATTAAAAAGGATTTGTCAAATGCAGCATTTCAGTGAGGAGGATAGAGATCAGACGTACGAGATCTGGTGGAGCGGGATCGAAAGGAGCATTTCAATTTTAGGATCTGTAGAATATAGAAGGGTCGCTGAGTTCTAATAGCCTGATAGAGGAATGTAGCAAGGAAATACTGACAGCAGTAGGACGGATAAAGCCACTTTTAACTCGGTGTAAAACTGGGTAATATGCGTATCCCTTGAGATCCCGAAGGTAAAGCATATTGAGCAATTCATTAGATATTTAAGTTTAGCTACGAGTTCTCCCGAGAATCCACCATACACCATACACCTATAGTCGAAGTGGAGAAAAACAAAAGATGAAACCAGGAGTTGACGGGTTTTGAATGAAAGAAGATAATGTAGACGGTTAAACTGTTTCAGGGTGGAAATAGTACGGCGGGATATTTGAGAGATGCGTGGTTTCCAGGAGAGGGTTTGCCAAGGTTTTTAACGGTAGTATGGTAGGAGATAGGTGAGTTGTTCAGGAGAAGATTGGGAGGTACTGAAATAGAACTTCTCTTAATGATGAGAGAGGTTATACTCCAATGGATCTCAGGACACTGTGAACTGCATAGTAATGACATGGCGGACACTTTAGTGAAGGATGGAACAACAATATTCCAGACAGAGAATAAGTTAATATACGATACAGCAAGGAATGAAATAGAGAAATGTCTACAAAATAAACTGCTTGAGGAGCAGACAAATGCTGCTTGCGGTAAACAATGGACCGTGTTACTGACAGAAGAAGGACACATCCCAATCGATAAACCACAAAGAGGAACAGTTATAGAATCCAGAATGATTGTCGGCGATGATTATTTTTAATTTTAATTTTTTTTATATAAAATTGGTTTACCAGAATCCTCCAACTGTCATCTATGCAGCAGATTTGCCATAGATGCGGCACACTAAAGTTAATATCCTTGCCCTAAACAATCAAGAGGCAGAGGCTCGTACAGCCATCATTTAAGAGTTACAAGGCATCTATTTATTTTTATAACAATGTTATTCATTTATAAACCATTATTTATTGAAGCATACAGTTATTGGCCTTCATGGTCGATTTGGACATAGTGGTGAGATCAAGGAAAGCTATGAAGGATGCCTCTATTGCTCTTCAGTCAGCAGCGCTGAATATTGAACTAGAAATCAATGAGGCCAAAACCAAATATATGCTGCTAAAAGGTGAGAATAACCAAGTGAACGCCGCAGCTCTCACTAAATAGGAAATTTCTACTTGGAAAGGGTCTCAAATTTTGTGTATCTGGAAATGCTTATTACTTCTTTAAACAATGTGCTCCTCGAAATCAGGCGACGGATCACAGCAGCCAACCGGTGCTATTTTGGACTTACAAAGCAGATAAAGAGCCGCCTGCTCACCAGAGAAACCAAGGTACAGCTCTACGAGACTGGTTCTTACATATGCTTCACAAACATGGACACTAACTATGGCAGATGAGAAAGGTCTCCTAATTTTTGAAAGAAAAATATTGAGAATATACTGCACTGTTAGAGAAGGTGAAGCATAGAGAAGAAGGAGGAACCATGAACTCTACAGCTCTACGGAGACATTGATATAGTACATTTCATCAAGGTGGGCAGGCTCAGTTGGGCAGAATATGTGGCACGCATGGCTGAAGAGAGAAGAAGATACCCAGAAAAGTTATGGAGGGGATGCTGAACCGAACAAGGAAAAGAGGAAGACCCAGGTTGAGATGGATTGACGGTGCGGCCACAGACCCGAGGACGATAGTTCACCAAAAGAACGGAAGGCGGCGGCGAGAGACCGAGCTGGATGGCGGAAGCTCTTAGAGGAGGCCAAGACCCACCCCGGGTTGTAGAAGCCATTGAAGTAAGTATAACTATAAATAAAACTAAGCAGTTATTAGCTACAATAATAACTAAATCTTCATATCTAAAAAATTGGTTTCCTATTTCAGCTAATGGCTGCAGGAATTATTTATGGATTGACATCTGATCTTTTAATTATTTATTTCTACTAATTTAACTAGTAGTAATTTAACTTAAATTGGTATGAATCGAAACATATTCTCCATATGTTCAATTAATTTTTTAAGTATTTAAGATTTTGTCTCCTCTATATCCAATAATCAGTTGTTGACTGTATGTGTTTGAGATTAATGTCAAGTAATGTAAGATATTCACCTGTATTAACTGGGTTAAATTATGATACAAAAGCCAATTTCATAACAGTTCTCAGTATTTATGACTAAGCCAGTCACCACAGAACCTCCCTTCTTATCTTTCCGTTACTTGAGTGTTATTCAATTGTTTTCAGTTTTTGTTAATTTTGTATTTTTCTGTTTAAAATGGATATAAGATTACATTGAGAATTGCCGTCTCTGGAAGAAGAGGTGGTCAAATATTTTCAGAAGTTCGGGATAATTCCAAAGGTGAAATTGTGTAAAGAATGTCATGAAATAGAGTTTGAAAGGAAGACCAAATGGAGATATCTTTGTCGAAGTTGCAGGAAAAACATTTCTATAAGAAAAGGAACCTGGTTAGAGGGATCAAGAATTATCTTTTTAATGGCTTTAAAGTTTATTTATGGCAGGTCTCATAATTTAATAACAATTGAGCAGGGCAAAGAGCAATTGAAACTACCCAACAAATGTGTGGTCGAATGGAACAGATTTTTGAGAGAGGTTTGTGCCTATAACATGTTATACAGGTGAACTAAAAAAATTGGAGGGCCTGGAAAAGTGGTTGAAAAAGAAGAATCTTTTTTATAAACAAAAAAATATTGTAAAATAAATAAATAAAATTGCAAAATAGAAGTGTTTTGTTATTATTACATTTCATTTTGTCTATTTATATTTCCATAAATTTGAATAGGCAGATAGGTGTTATCAGAGGGTAGGTTATAAACATTTGCAGATAACAGTCCATGGTGACCAGCAAAGTCACAAGTAACCAGGTCTTATAACTTTTTTTTTCCATTTATTAACTAATAAAAGGTGAAGACATATTAATTTCCATGTCGTTTAGTTTGTAACAGGATCAATTTCCCATTAACTTCCTTCATTTTGAACCTTCAAAAATAAACTATTCACTCCTAATTGTGGGTAATCCCCTAATTCATTCTTCATTCTCCCCTAATTTACTGGGTTAAATGTTTTACCTTTTTAGCTATATATTAATGTACACTTATCTTACACATGGACTCTTGTGATTAAAATCTTGTGTTTAGCTTAAGGAGATTTTCAAAATAAAATATTCTGTCTATAAATATTCAATACTAATCATTTGATAGTATCAAAGCAGAAAAATTCTTGTTAATAAAAGGCAAGAAACTGACACATTCTTAGCTACAGTTGAGATTTATTCAGAGGAGCCTATAAGACAATTGGTTATTTTACTTTATTTTAGGTATGGTGTATAAACAAAAAATCATAATTGAATTCTTGGTCCAAAGGCATGGAAGTGTTAAGGTATCTTATGGATATAGTTGTGAGATTTTAATGGTTATAAATATTATTAATTAAAAAAAACCAATGTATAAATAAATCACCTTAGCTAATCGCTTTCCAATGCCTTGACCTTTATAACTCTCTGGAACATTGGTATGCATTAGATTCAGTACACCATTTTCTTTACAATACTTTACTTCAGCATGCCCTGTCGAATTAATGAATCATTAGAGATGAATTATAATTGACAGTATAAAGGTTTATCTATGATAGTATATAGTCAGGAATATCAGTCATTTATATATTTTAGGTGCTAATGTTTTGACTTTAGCTTGTGTGGGTCATCATTAAGAAAAATTTAATTCTGTGAGAACAATAGACCTTTGGTTCAATGTCTTCTCTGATTGTTTATCATCAAAAGTAATCTGCTTCTCAAGAGACATATGGGTCACGATCATACTGTCCATAGAATCATACAGAGTGAGTCAAAAAAGAGGCAACCAAATCCCAGATTAGGCACTGACCTAAACTTCAATTGGTTCGATTTATGGTTAGTTCATGAACTGGGCGAATCCACCTGTGAACAAGATTGTTAGTACTTCGCTAACAATGTAAAAATTTGGAAGAGGTGCTCTGATGTTAAAAAAAAAATAAAGGATACGATAGCTAAGCTCAATGGGGCAAGGGTTCCTGATGTCTGTTATGAATGTTGTGTATTCAATTCACACCTCCGTTATTTATTTCTTGGCAGCCGTGGGATATGAACCTTGATACTCCCACTGAGATAAGTACGTAGTAGCAACCTTAGATAGCAATCATGGATTGGCAATAAGAACAAAGTCCCCTTGCTGTGCTAGTTTCTTCACCAATAGCAGTGAAATACCAGTACATCCAAAAACAAATAAACACACATGTAAGAAAAATCAAACAGGTGGGGAAAAAAAGAGGTCTTATGACCACAATATACAACAAAATCCTTAAAAACATGTATAAAACAGAAGAGTGTAGAAAATAAAATGGGCAAATTTATATTATTTCCTTTAAAATCAAAATATCACTAAGCCAATGAAATTATGGATTTAAATCAATAATTGTTTGTAACATGAAATATATGAAACAATAAAACTCTTTATAAATGTTAAAATATAAGATACCTTTCGGTAACTTCAAGATAAAAACAGACTCTTCAGGTACATGACAAAAACCAGAAGAATCAGAGGTTGAAAAGTGTTTAAAAGGAGCTGTCACAAGTGAACGGTTGCGGGGTTCAAATAAAGCTTTCAAGTAATTCATTGGAATCGGTTACTTTGGTGATAAACAAAACAAAGGAGACCTAGTAGAAGTGGCAGTTACTAAATTCCAAAGAGGTCGGTCGCAATTCAATGTATAGAAATTAATGTCCTTAATTGAACCAATTAAAAACTGATAAAAATGCTAAGCATCTTAACAGAAAGACAGTACAAGTGTTACTTTCTCTTTGATGGGTAGTGAACGAGTTCTTATCAAACTATAAATAGAATTTCGCGAATCATCGAGTGTGTATGAAAGTGGATGGAGGTGAACAAACATTTTGTTAAACCCCGACCTAAACTGAAAATGACCTGTTTGGGATTTGTTTGTATCTTGCAAGCATATGGAAGTCGAAAGCATTTTAAATGATGTTATACTGTGAACGCCTTGTCAACACTCGATTATTCTCGGAATTCCATTAATAGGGAGGTCGTGATATCTTGGCCCACCCGTCAAAGTGCAGCAATACTTGTACAGTAGTACCTACAGAAGTATTTATTTTCCTCGATGAAATACCCACTTACAACAAATTACCTAAATCACGCTTCCATGAAATGCGCAAACTTCTCGACAGCTGAAATATGTGTAATCATTCAAATCTTCCTTGTCTGCTAGATGTACTCTCATATAGCATTGTCATTCATACTCAAAAGTGCCTAACTCTGCGTCTACTTGTACTTTCATATAGACAAATTAATCTTTGAGGTTATTGTTCGATTCACCTCAATCATCCAGATGATAGACTATGAAAGTAAAAAAATGAATGTATAAATGACACTTGAAACAAAAGAGAATGGTAAGAAGAATTTTATCATTTCTACAAATATATTAATTAAAATTGAAGCATGGATTTGAAGGATATCAAATAGAATGAGAAACCTCTTGCTAAACTCTTACCTGTGTTTGAAACTTGAAAATAGTATCTAATTCTCAATGAAAATAAGGCAATAACGACCCTAATGGTTGAAGCCTTACAAAAAAAAAAAAAAAAATCTTACATAGGTTGAAGACCAACCGCAAAAATTTAAAATTTATACTATACAAACTTCAAAATAACCCCTACACAGGCGGATCTACGGGAGGGGAGGGCTTCGGGCTTGTATTTACGTACATTTTAATGAAAATGGCATATTTTGCATAATTAAAAAATCTGGCACATCACACAAACTTTCACTTGCTACCCTACTTTGACTAGAAAGAGGTAATTTCATAAATTGGGATGTGAAACTAAAAATAAAAGTTCTTGCAACATTTTTATTTTCAATAAACAAATAATAATAATGATTTCCTTTAATAAAAAATACAAATAAAGTAAATAAAAATAAGGAAATATTTTGCCAATATCTGAATTAATACACAAACACTTCCCAACAAAAGAAGAAGAGAATAAATAATTACCATATGTTTTTCCCACCCATCTACCCTGTCTGATTTATGAATATTGTATGTGTTTTCCATCACTGTCCATTTCCTTTTATCATTGTATATTTTAATTATAATAAATCGTTAAGTGAGTGGTTTTGATACTTTCAACAGTTTTAAGCCCCTTTTAACAGCTTTTTAACAGTCGTTCTTATATTTTTCTTTGGGTAAATATACAATTATTTTATTGTTCATATATATCTATTAATATTCACAAGAGAGAATGGTTTTATTCAAATAAACAATATTTAAGACACTTTAGAGGAAGGTATTTTTAAAATTCGACATTTCATCAGTCAAAATTTTTTCAATGAGAATAATAACTAACTCTTCAAATACCACTAAATTCTACATCGCCATAACTGGTTTAATAGATAATAAGTCACTGAGGCTAAGTCTGAAAAAAAAAAATTGTAAAATACGTTTGCAATATGAAGTACCACTTTCGATTAGCTTATTTTGATGAAAAAGAGGCGGGAATACTATTTAACTATTCTCGATAATGCTGCATTTCGTGATGATGCTACGATAGTATGACTACTTTGAATACATAGTTTCAGTTTCGTACTACTTTTCGTTTTAAGCTGGTCTGTTCACATACACAAACCATTTTGTGAAACTTGTTTTAATGAACTCAGGAGACTCGTTAAATTCCATATCCATTGAAAATTCGAATTAGAAACACATCAAAATTGCAATAGGGAAGTTCTTAAAATCAGCACTGAACACATCGGTGGCATCGAAGTCATCTATAAAATGAGAAAAACGATGACATTGATGCTCACAATCAGTGTTATGTTTAGAAATTTTTTCCAAACTGTCCTGTATTTTATGATTCATATATAAATAAGGGAATGTAAAAATTGATAAGAAAAAAAATAATAAAGTAATAAAAAAATAAAAAAAAACTACCACTCCTGCACATGGAGGGTCATGGGACAAGTACTTTGTAAGGAAGTACTCTTTTGATGTCAACAGTTGTGACAAAAGAGATGAGTAAGCAAAGATCATACTGAACTGCTACCTTTTTCTCCTTGATTTCTTATTTAATTGATATTATTCAATTTATGAAGACTGGATGTTTCCCAGTAGGATCTCCTGACCCCAAGGTTGATAGATGGCAGTTGTAACCGAATAAATATCTACACGCCACTGCCGTATTCGAACTCATATACCTGTAATAGTTACGTGAAAACTTGTTGATTAAATATAAACTTATAAAACTATGGGTTTGGACATAAATGAAAGGAATCTACGAATAAGAAAATATCATTTATCTCCATGCAGTAATCGATTAAAGTAACAGCTGAGTGTAAAAAGTTGTAAAGCTTATCTGTTTATTCACTGCTTTTGAGTGAACTGTCGAGATACATTATAGTACATTTATGTGTTTCGTGTTTTGTATTAAGATGTGAAGACTTTCACGAAAACTTATTTCAAAACTACTGTATCAGCCTAATTTGTGTCCTGATTTCGGTCATGTCTAATTACTAAAATTAATTGACACTGTAAAGTTACTTTTAGTGCATGTTATTAGTTATGGATACTACAATGGAAAAGGATTCTACTCCAGATACAATTAATGACAATGGTAAGTTGATAATCTATTAATTTCATTATGCACTTGCCTTAAATGTTATTATAGTACAGGGAAAATATTTTTCTTGTACATTGGTTTCTATTTGTGTCGATGTACATAAATGTATTAGAGTTTGAATTTTCTTTTGTGGATACTTGGAACTGATTGTTGGGCTGCACACTGCTTTGCTTTTTTAAATACAGATATACAACAGAAAGTGGAGAAGCTCTTAGCTCAGATTACAGAACTTAAATCCGAGAATCAGAAGTCAAATGAAGAGTTTGGGATTCAAAGAGGGAAGATGAAAGAGCTTTTCCTTCAAAAAGAAGGTAAAAATGTCTGTTATTACCTATTCTTATTGTTATCAATGTTGAAATTTCTTTTGATTGCATGAAATGATTAATGGAATCTGAAATCATAATTTCTGCTTAAAGCCTGTTTCAGGTATGGCTTAATTGAAAGTAGTTTTTCCACTAACATTTTAGTTTATCTTTGTTATGATGCTCATGCTATTCTTAGTTTTTTAGGCTAATTTATTTAACCACACTAGATTTCTTAACCAATACCCTTATCAGGTGTTGGTATCAATATTTTAATTTTGCCTGATAGATTTGTGACCTGCCTTCCCTAGATTTTTCTGAAGGTAGGTTGTACGGCTATGGATTTTCTTTGCTTTGTTTCTTATTGCATCTGAGTTAATGACAGATTTTAAATCTTGTGCTTCATTTTGATAATCTTATTGTTTTATCACCTAGATGAATTAAAGAAGCTTGAAGAAGAAATTAAAAGAACTAGAGATGAAAGGGATGAAGCTAGATCCCAAGTCACTATTGCCTCTTTTGATTTTGAATCCCGTTTAGAAGAAGAGAAAGCTAAATTTTCTGCAGAAATTTCTGACCTTCATAGCCTAGTCAATGGTAAGGTGTTATGTAATCTAAGGATGCTATATTGTAACTTGTATCTATGGCTAATGTTGATTTAGATCATGCCATAAAAAAAATCACATCAAAGATAAAAATCTATTGCTTACTGCTTCTGTTTTGGATTTATAAAATAATTAAAAATTTTAATAGATTACTACAGAGTATGGTTAATTAAATATATAGCCTCCTGTATATTTACATGTTTAATTTGGATAAGCAGACAACTTATGTTTAATATACTTATCTCAGAAGTTATTTTGTCAAAAATCCTCCCTGAAACTTTCATCTATTTTAAATACACATTTTATAGGAATGATAGATATTATCTATTTTTATTTGATATTGATACATGACCTAGATCTTTTTCTAAAAATGGTGTGATACACCAATTCAGTTTAAATAACAGCTGTCTAATCATCATTGGTTATTTGCTTTTAATAATACTGCATCTGGAAATGCATTTTTATTAAAACCATCCTTAGGCAACCTTTTCTTTTTAAAAATAATGCGCTCAAGTTTTTTATTGGCCAGTATGAAATATTGTATGAAGTGAATCAGCTCTCTCCATATCGACGGTGGATTTATTAATCAGCACAATTTTCGAACATATTGAGTGATGTTCATTTATATGATACTCCATTGGATGGACGGCCCAGAAAACTTTTGATACGAAATAGTGATTTTATAAGCAATGTTGCGGAAGTTCAATTCCATGAAAATCATTAAACTTTTTCTTGGTCCAACTGAAAATTTGTGACCGAGCTATATCCTGCTGGAAGAGAACATCGTTAGGGTTAACATAAGCTTGGTAATGCTGCCATAATTTTGCATGTATCATGATTACGTTTAGGATACAAGTTCACAGTGAGTTGAATATACGTCAGGAACTAATTCTTTATGGATAACTCCTTCGTAGTTTCTAAAAGCGTATAGCTTGGATTTTTTTTTCTAATCATCTCATGACAACAGGGGGAAGAGTTGAACCATTATCCTAACATTGCCTATGGGCATTATGATTTCATTGATTCTTTCATTCATCACAAAGTGACAATCACAGTAAAATACCATCTTTCGGTAAGATCTCATATCATGTCAATTTTTCAAGACAATATCACAAAGTTATCCTTTTAGCAGATCGCAGCAGCTTAATTTCATGGGTGCTCAGTCTACTGCTCTTTTTCACTTTCCCCATGGCATAAGATGGTGTTCTTAGACACTTCAAACTTCCTAACATGTAAGCAAGTACTTTGTGGGGCGAGGAGGCTGGCGGGCTAACGCATCTGCAAAGTACACATTATCTAGTAATCTGATAACCTGAAGATTACGAGTTTGAGTTGAGGTGCTGGTGGCATTTAACTCTGACATTAATACTTGCCCATTCTCCTGGTCTGGGAAAAATCCTATACAGCTGAAAAGACGAGGTTGGAGAGAAATTAAAACAAAAAAAGTAGGCTTGTACTTGTTGCTGGATTCAAACAATCAAAGATAATGGCAGTTTCGTTTTTTTTAATTTTTATTTCTCTACATAGAAGAATATCTGAATTCTTTAGATAAGAAGTTATTAAAATATCATTTTTAGTTTAAATTTAAAACTAGAAAATTGTTAAATTTATAAAATTTAATATGACTGCTTCTTGCTAGTTGGCATTGAAATTTCCATCAGAACTTAAATGTTTTTTTACTATAATAGGTATTAGGTTTTGGAATTTATTTTCAGCTGAAAAATGAACGAAAAAAAAAGTGTGTACGTAGTTTTCACTCTTAATCATACCCCTTCCCCCGAAATATATTTTAATGATATTGAAATTCCTGCATCCAAGGAAATTAAATATTTGGGTTTTTACCTCGACAAAAGACTAACTTGGAGGACACACATTAGGCAAAAACGTATGGAATTAAACAGACGATATGGTCTTTTATCTAGGTTACTTGACAGACGCTCAAAATTATCTTTGACTAACAAACTAACACTCTATAAAGTTTTATTAAAACCAATTTGGACTTATGGCATAGAACTGTGGGGTTCTGCTAAAACTTCTAATATTAAAAAAATCCAGTCTTTCAAATCCAAAATTTTACGAAGAATAGTTGACGCACCATTTTATGTCACAAACGATAGATCACATAAAGACTTGAACATCCCAACAATTTCAGGCACTGCAAAAAAAAACTACAACTTTCACCTAAGACTAACTTGCAACACAAATCGTCTGACAGAAAACCTTAAAAGCACTAGAAACCCGTACAGCCCACCTCGACGATTACGTAGGCAGTGGCCAAGAGACCTGCTCAACTGAACAATTTCCTGGATTGTAATGAAACGCCTAAAAATTTGCTCATTGCAAAGAAATTTGCAGATCGCTAATTTAATTTTTTATCTCCAATTTTATGTTAATAAATATTATTATGTTATTATTATTTATAAATAATTTATTATTAGGTATGTTAGTTGAGATGACTTGCTTGTATTGGTTTATTAATAACTCACACTTTTCGCAATCAGCATTCTTTATTTTTATGATGTAATATCAGTTGAAAAATTATTTGAGAGGCTAGTATTTGAAATAAAAATAAGCAGAGTCTTTATAGTCTGTTGGTCAGGATTTAGATTTACACTAAAAAAAAAAAAAAACTTATCGCTTATTATGTTAAAATTATAGTCTAGTATGATCTCACTAATCTGGTCCTAAATCAGGATTGGTAGTGTTGGATCACCAGACACATTGGATCGGTGAAGGTATATTTTAAAGAAAATCTACTTGACTTAAAAATATCATATAGGGTAAATGTATGAGTAATAGACAGTTAGTTTTCCTTTATTTCTTCCATCTTATTTTTTTTTTTTTAAATGGTGAAAATTTGGGATTTAGCCAGAACTTCAAGAAGACAAAGTCTCTTTTTTTCAAGAGAAAGGTACATTGACAAAGAATGCCACATATGATAAGAAGAATTATGAAATGAAACTGTCTTTTTGTGACGGAGTACGTTGGCGGTGCAATCGTAGAAGAACATTCGCAATGGTGCGTGGTTCGAATCGTCCAGATTGAGTTTTCTGACATTTTTGAGATTTATTTACAGCTGGAAAGAAGAGATGACATCAGTCAAGTGGTGTGAAAAAGAATTAGATATGAATCATAATGCAGTTGTAGATTAGAGCAACTACTTAAGAGAAGTTTGTGTAGAAGAATTAGCAGAATGTGAGCAAACAAAATAAGTGGTCTTGAAAAAATAGTTTTTTCAGATAAGACGAGAGCTTATTTACAAAACAAAAGAACAATGCCGATAAAATTCTTCTTAACAGTGGACAGTTGGTGTTTGCCACGAAACTGACGAATGCTTTCTAGTTAAAGTTCCAAACCGTTCTTTACCAGTACTGTTAGATATGATAACAAATCATATCAAAGAACAGTCAATCGTCTATTCCGGTTCCTGGAAGGACTAGTACTTAACTAAAATGGAAGAAGCTGGTCTACAGCATTTCAAAGTCAACACAGGTAGAATTTTGTTGATCCTGACATTGGTGTAAACTCTAAGAAAATTGAACACCTTTGGGGCAGTGCCAAATGGAGAAATAAAAAACATCGGCGAACTTCTTGCCATCATTTGGAGTCGTACCTTGCTGAATTTATGTGGAGATGAGAAGTAAACGATCCATTGGAGCGAATTCTCAAAGACATCACCATATTTGCATTCTTTTTGGGTAAAACTGTTTGTTTACAAGTCATTAATATTTGTTTATAGTTGAAATAGTTTTGCTTACCATTAATTAATTTTTTTTTTATAGTTGAACGTTTTCGACTTTTATTTTGTTGACTGCTTTGTTACTCCCTTCACTTGGCGACTTGGCTAGCGTTTGGTTCACAATTGGCAACATTTGCGCCCAGCTAATGGAAAAGTACCCAAAAAAATATGTTAATGCCAAAACCTGAGTGTTTATTACTGGTACAAAATATGCTGTCAAAATTTCCGAAGTTTTTCTTAAATTATAAACTAATTGACTGTATAGAAATAATGAAATTGGTAAGACTAAATTTGCTGTCAATCGAACACATTTGCAAAGATCCACCATCAGAACTTAAGTTGTGATTTACATTAATTTTTTTCAATTCTCTTAAAGTGCACTTACCTTAATATCTATTGAAACTATTTGGGATATAGTTTTATTAAAATAAATTTCGATAATTTATATTGTAATAAATAATAAAAGTGACTAATATCAATTTGTTTTTCTCTTTTCCTGTTGGTTTTACAGATCCTTCGTTGTCTGAACCAGCCTTCTCCACCTCTCCCGCTCTTAGACTATTGCTTTCCAGTTTTCTGCGTCCAGCTCTGCTTCATCTTTATTGATTCTATCTATCTATATTGGTTTTTACTTCTACTTATCAACTATTGTGGCATTCATTGTTGTGTTGAGGCTTCCTGATGGATTGCTTCGAGCTACGTGTCGCTCCTCTCTTAACCTCTTCTTCTTAACCTTCTCTTCATATAATAAGATATTGATTGACCAGTGTTTATAAACAGTTATTTATTGATCCTTCTACTCTATGGGTTAATACTCTTGTCTCAGATCAATCAGGTGATCATACGAAGGATTTTCCTCTCAAATTTTCCAATACTTTTTTTTAGAGTGCTAGTTTGTTACTGGATGAAGTTTCACAGTTGTACATCAGAACTGTGTTTATTGCAGAGCTTTTTACATCTTTCATTTGAGAGTTCTAGAAATTTCTCGAGATTTCAATAACTTTAAAAGAGTGGAGAATACTATGTTTGCTCTTGTTTAACGCTAGTCTATTTCCTTCTGTTGTTCATCCATTGATGTTATTATGTAGCCAATGACAGCTACTTCATCTGCATATCCAAGGATTTTATGATTCATTCCGACGTAGATATTATATAAAAATAATAATGGATGTGTTAGTGTTATGTCCAAAAAAGATCAATAAGTAAGCTGTGTACTAAGCAACTTTCTGTATTAGGGCACTGTTTTAAATTAAATGTTTCTCCCTATAATAAAGGAAGATATAAATTGGTTTCAGTCATTATTAATTCAACATTGTTTTTTTCTTCTTTTTATTCTATTGATCAATTTAATTAATTTTTCTCTCATTTTTAGTCATAAGTCTTTTTACTAATTCTTTTACTGTTGATTTACTTCCATCCTTATTTATTTTTATTTATTGTATTTAAGCTATTTAATTTATTATATGTGTTAATAATTTTGTATTGATACTATATGTGTGAATATTTTGGTTCAATATATCTACTTATACGATATATTTATATTTTTGAGGAGTTAGTCGGGGGTTGCAGTCAAATATTAATATATTTATTTGATATATCTGACTAATATGTCGATATATTTAGAAAGACTAAAAAGTAATAACGATAAGAATCAAAGAGACAGATGTGTGAAATACATAGTGGTCACACCTTGTGAAACACAGTTAATATACTGTGATGATTGTTATAATTAATTAATTTTGTATAATTTTTCCTCTGGGATTGTATAATTATAATTTAAATAGAGAATATATTGCGATTTTTCAAGTATTTGGCTTAGACCACCCATAGAAAATATATGAAGCTATGGAAAAAAATATTTTCTATTTTTTTGGAGATGGGAGAACCTTCAGTCGGAGAGCCACAATACAGTATCAACACTAATGATGGACAACGAAAATATTCTTATGTATTGCTTAATCCATTTAAATCCATTCATTATTCGAATTGACATAAATAAATACAAGAGTTTAGAAAATTCGGTTAATGAGGCTGAAGAGAAGAATTTCTCTTGAAGATACCAAATTTCCCCAGACAAAATGACCATTGAAAAAAAAAATATGTCTATTTAATATATACTTACTAATACCAGTAGTCCTGAATAAATTAGTGTTAACTTATAATGATTTTTTGGTTATAAATTAACAATTAGACAATTGAGATATTTGAATATCGTGTTATAGCTACTCTAGAAGAAGCTTCCCGCTATGAACAAGAAATCAGTCGTTTACGACAAAAAAATCATGAGTTGGAAAATGAATTGAAGTCGAGTGCGACAGGTAGTGTGGCCTCCAATGCAGCCAACATTTCCAGTCGTGAATCAGACTCAGTGCTTTCGGCTCCGGGGGCAATGCTTTCTACCTTCGCTCGCAAAGTGGTGTCCCAACTTGGAGCTGTAGATCTTCCAGCCCATCATGGCAGCTCAGAAAATCTGGAAGAATCCATGAGAAAGGTATCCATTAACCTTATTTAAACATATTTTTTTTTTATCTTTTGTATACCAAACTATTAGTTCCCAATATTCTTCCTAGATCTACAGTCTCATGCATTTCCTATTTATCCCTTCCTGCAGAACTAAAAACTTAGAGCGTTCTTTTTTTGTTCGCCCCACCACTTTATGGTATTCTTACCATCTAATGTACACCATACCAGTCACTTTCTTATCCTCATTCGAATCCCTGCTTTTTCCATTATCTTCGCAGATTCTAACATACACTCTCCCATCTTGAAATTTCAATTTTAGAATAAAATTGATTAGAATAATAGTTTCAATATGTAATTTTTAACCTTAAGGATTATTTCTTAGTTTTCGACTTTCTTTTCTATTATTCTTTTTTATTATTTTGGTACTACTGTAAAAGTGACACTCCAGTTTGACAAGTGGACCACAATCCACTATAAATGGAATCCCAAGATTGGATGCAGGCCTGCGAGCAACAGATGTGTTTACTCAGTGAAGATAGGTGGATAAAGTGCCTATATATCCCCTTCACAAGTGCAAGGCGCTATATTTAAAAATTTTATTTTATTATTATTATTTTTTTTAATGTTGGTCCTGAGCAAGTCGACCCCCTAATGGGTCCATCGTGCGCCAATTTCAGTTAGTCATTTTTAATCAAAACGTTATTCTAGTCGCTAAGTCGCTAAACGTATCTAAGTAGGCTGGTTGGATTGACCGACTCATAACTACTGGGGAGATCCATTCGTGCCTTCCCAAATACTACCAGTCTCAACCTTGTGAATCTATCACATCTACACACAATATGAAAGGCAATTTCATTCTCCTCCTGACAGAATCTGCATAGCGGATTCGTCATAACTCGGAGATTGAACATATGGTAATTTAGCTTACAGTGACCTGTATAGATTGCTGTAAGCTTTTTAAGAGCTGCTCTGTCCATACTCAGTAGCAGTTTGCTTCTTTTTTCACAGGACCTTTAAGGAACAGCTTCGAATGTCGCTGTTTCTTCTCAGTCCAGTAATTACTAAATTTGTTCCCATAAATCTCCCTGATCCTACCCTTGGCAGTGCTAAGGCTGATTTCACAGACAGGCTCGGGAGTTACAAGAATGGTATCTGAGCCCAATCTGGCTAGCTCATCAGCCACCTCGTTGCCTGGTATGCCTGAGTGACCAGGCACCCACTCCACTGCAACTCTATTGTGCTCAGTTAGTTCGTTAAGTGCTGTGTTGCATTCCTTAACGACCTTTGAATATATGTAGTAATTGTTAATAGCATCTATTGCTGCCTGATTGTCGGTATAGATGGTAATCTTTTTCCCAGACACATTGCTTCGCAGTAGGTTTTGTGCGCAATGGCAGATTGCCAGTATCTCAGATTGAAATACTGAGGCATATTTAAACGTGAATTAGAAAATCATAAAAATACAGTCATTGTAATAATATAAAGTTATAATAATTTAATATCTATAATAAAAGTAAATTTCTTATTCCAGGCAAAGGAAGATGCTGAAATGTTACGATCTTTGGTTGTACCGCTGGAAGAAGAAATATCTGCATTGAAAGCGAAGCTGCGTGAAACCGACGAACAGCTTCAGAGTTATAAAGCAAAGGTGACTCATTTTTAATTTTCTTATTTTAAATTAATTTAATTTTTCTTTTCAAATGTTGGATAAAGGATTGCGTCTGTTATCCAGCAAAGTTATAAAATGAAAGTTGTTTGTTTTTTCTTTTTTTTTTAAATCCTTTCCTCATTTAATGTCATTAAGAAAGTTTCAGAAAGAGAAAAGATTCTCAATTTGACAGGGATTCAAATTTTTATATGTCAATCCATGTTTATATATAAAAAAAAAAGTACAACTCACTTATTCGCTGAGGTATTGATAATTCTATCTCAAATATGACAAGATCTGTGAAGCTAAAATTTTGAATTGTGGTTACTCTTCTGCCGTAGATGAGCAGTAAAGCTTCAATTATTAAAAAAAAAAATTATATTTTTAATAGCACTTTGACAAGTGATTAATATGGTACATGTAATATTTAGCATTGTTCAACATTTTTCACCACCCCTCGTAACTTTTTTCCAGCTTCTTTTCCTTAAAGAACGTTTTAGATATATATAAATTTAAAGGTCATCGAGGAGAAGACTTTAGCCAAATTTCATTGAAATTGGTACATTCGTACCAAATTTTAAAAAATTCGGTCCGGTAGTCTTGGAGATGAGGTGCATATGGCGGACAGACAAACAAATTTTTATTCGATTTTTGAATTATATATATCATGAAACGTAAACCCTTAAATTTTGAGGGGAAGTTAAATTTTTGATTTTTTTTTTTTTTGAGGATTATAAAGGTTCATTACTAAAAATAATAAACCAAATATATGCCATAATTGTCAATTACTTTAACCTATATTTCTGCCAGAAGTTATATTTGTTCATATCATTCCTTTGTTTTCAAGGTAAAAAAAACTCCTCTCATCCTTATTCAACATCTTCGTTTTCAGAGTGCCGACCTTTCAAAACTATCAGGGCTATAATGAGGATGGGACGAATTGCTAACAATCTTCATTTCTGGAAAAAAAAAAAAAAAATTATGCCACTTTTTTTCAATTGATCAAAGCAGAGTAATTTTATTTTTAAACTGTATACTTTTGCCATTTTTCAAAATACAAAGAATAATATTTTTTCCTGATTGATCTTGACATTCTTGTCCATACGGTACCCACTGTTTTCGGTTGAAAGAATTTTGTTTAAATGTACATCTTTCATCCATACAGTTATTTTCAAAAATCTATTATCTTTTAGAATTGTTTGCAAATTTATACAGATATCAAGTTGTCTCTAAGCTCGGTCATCTTGTGAAGATTAAGATTTGATCAGGATTGTATATTTTGAAAGAAAGAAAAATAAATTTTACTCTGGAACATTTAGTCCTCTAAGAATAATTATGAGAAGGAGTTAGTCGAGGGTGCGGTCAAATAAATAAAAAAAATTAAAATATATAAATTATTTTAATTTTTGCTGACGTTTCGACCCACTTTGCAGGTCGTCTTCAGGGCTACAAAAGATACAAACATGTTGAAAAAATAAAAATAAAATAAAAAATAAATATAAGTATATATAAAATACGAAGAAGTTGTCAGATACAGAAATAAAAGATAAAGAAAATAAATACATGCTAAGAAAATAGATAAAAGAAAATAAATACATGAATGTTAACGAATAAATAGATTGAAAATGAATAACTATTGTTACAGTAAGTTATTTAGGGGGAGGCATGCGTGTGTTACAGCATTTTTTATATTATTATTTATTGAACACGTCCACTGTACTTTATGAATTTTTTATGTATTAGGTTAGAAAGAGAGAGGAGGGAATGTGAGTGCGAACATGTATAGGGGGAGAGAAGGAAGAGAAAGGGTACAGAATGATAATAAATGAATGAAAGAAATAGTAAAAATTATAAAAAAAAAAAAAAAAAAAAAGGAAAAAAAAAAAATAATATATATATATATATATATATATACGTATAAAATATTGTATACTATGCTCATACATATTGTTAATCCTATAATTGTATAATAATTTTAAATAATGTCTGTAGTGATTAATAAGTATGCTGTGTTGTTAGCAACCCAATGTAATTGGGCAGCACCATTTTATTTTATTTTATGATAATAAAGTGATTCTCTCTCTCTTCAACATGTTTGTATCTTTTGTAGCCCTGAAGATGACCTGCAAAGTGGGTCGAAACGTCGGCAAAAATTAAAATAATTTATATATTTTAATTTTTTTTATTTATTTGACCGCACCCTCGACTAACTCCTTCTCATATTATATTAACGGTCAACCATCTCTACATCACTAAGAATAATTATAATGAACAGAAAGGTGACATTTGTATGGCATTATAAGGAAATGAAGAAATTAAGTAACATAATAATCTAACCTTAAAATGAAATAAACAAAGCACAATAAATATATTAAATTGTAGATATGAATGTTTTCACATATTTGTACTGATTGACAATATTAATAATATATAAGTATCTGTATGGCAATAGTCAAATGAAGATGACAGCTCTTAAAATACGAAGATTTTATTCTTACATATATTCGGAAGATTGAATGCTGAGGAGTTGGAAGAATAAATGTTGTTTAAATAAGTTTAAGAAAGAGGATTTACAAGAAATTTCAAAAAAAGGTAGCGCGCATGACAAGGATTTTTTAAAGGAAATGGTTCTATGAGAGAGCATGCCAGCAATGGACTTAGACTTTTGTAATCAGGGTGAATGCACCAGTTATGGACAGGGAGTCCAGTGATGAACAGGTCGGACTTTATTAAATATAAATAGCTAAATTTTAAAATGACTATCATTGTTGTTTCTATAGTGCTCTTGAGATCTGTGTGTTTCATACCTTCCTTGATAAAGTTTTGCTAAGATTAAGTTGAACATTTATGTTAACTTATCTTTATCCTATAAATTATTTCTAAAAGGTGTTTTTTTGTCGGTACGCCATAACTTCGTCAATTCTTCATCAAATCCAATGATTGACCACTCATTTTGAAGATATTCTTCTTCTCCTTCACATGCGAAAAATAGTCATATCTCTCCAAAATTTCTGGAAAAAGAAACTTTATTTGTGAATAACTCAAAAAGTATGCATTTTTTTCTGGATTGTACCCATGATAATTAGAAAGATTACTAAATTACCTACAAAACAAAATAATAATCGGACAATTATTAACAAAGATACAGTCCATTAGTTTTGGTATACTTAATAATGTCTTCCTGTTTAAAGATATTGCATTTAGGAGTAGAATAGCCTACTACACTTTTTTTCCTGGCTGATATATTAACTTTATTATTTCTTCAAGACATTTGGTTGTTCTTACATTTTATTTTTTTTTAATAATTTAGAAAATCCCATGATCGAGGAATTATTTTCCCTTTATTATCTTTCCAGTCAGGGGTTAAAAATAGGTCCTAGCAAAGTAATTTGTAAAAATATTTTGGTCTATTATGTTTAATGGAATATTGTAATCGACCAAGGAAAAAATATTAATTCCTTCGTTACATAATACATAGGAACTACTTATTTCCATATTGTTTTGCTATTTTTTCAGTAAACAAAATTTTCTGCGAATTATTCGCACGGGCCAACTAGTAGTTAAATAAAGATTTTAGAATTTTTCTGAGGTATATCTATTACTGGTTCTCGCCTTTTGTCAATTACTGGAACATCTGTATTTTGTTGTATCCATCAATAGTGCAAAAAGGTTGTTTTTTTTTTTTTTTTTTTTTTTTTTTTTATTGGAGATTATATCTGTATAAATAAAGATTTTTTTCAATTTTGAAGTGTTAAATAGAAAAAGGAGACCCTAGAGATACTAAATGTCCAACGGAGAAGTTTATAATTATGGCAGCATTAGCCAAAAATTTCCTTAGCTATGTCCATACTGGCTTACCCTATATGTTATTGGAATCTCATAAAAAAATAAATAAAAAAAACACTTTTAGCTCTATTGATTGGATTGTGTGTTGTAATTATGTGATATGTTTTAGAAATGTCCAACATGTAAACTTATTACCTGTTTCTGTTACAGGATCTTCAATTACACAGTCAGGAATCAGCCTCATCTTCAGGTAATTCTGATATTTCTCTTATATATCAATGTCCTCCTAACTAATACAGATATATATATATATATATCCTTATTATATTTCTTAATATCTATTCGACATTATTTATATTTATATTGTAGACTTTGTTCAATAAGACTACTAATTATTGAAATAAACTCTTTTCTGCTTTAATAAAAATATTTTAACATCTCTCTTATATTTTACAAATAATAATAATACCTTGGAAGATCACTTTATACTTTCTAAATAAATAAGAGGTTATTTCTTTATTACTTTAATAAGAGTTATTATAAGGTAATAAGAGTTATTATGTTATATAAATAACACATCGTCACCATAGAGTAAAGTTTGAGTATATGAGGCTCCTTAGGGAAAGGAAATTCACCTGCTATGACAAAGTCTATTGCATCGATAGTGAAGGCTCTACGAGATATGAGGATAGTGTCGCATTTCCCAAGACAGGAAGGACAGCGCTGATCTTGGATCCAACTGTCCACTTTGAGAGCAATGACCTTAATCAGGCAGGTGAAGTGGAAAGAGAAAACACGTATGATAAACGTATTCCTTTCCTAAAAGAGAAGTTCCGTAAGACCTTCGGAGAGAGAGAGTTCACTGTGAGAGGCCTCTGATTTGGGACTCACAGAATGATTTCAAAAAGAACAAGAAGCTTCCTCGAGGAACTAGTGTCAACATTAAGGACGTAGCGAGATTTGCTGAAAATATAGTCCTCGACTCCCTGGGAATCATTCACCATCACGTGCATGGGTAGGGTGAGAGTTTTAATTTATGTATTTATTTATTTATTTAATGAAAAATGTATATTTTATTTGTTTTATTTAATTCTAGATGTATACACTTTTGTTTTTGTTATTGTTCTATTCTAATTTTAAGCATTTGTATATTGTGTATAAGAGAGATGTATAAAGAGAGAGAAGGGAGAGAAAGGGAAATTAAATGTAAAAAAAAGCACAAACAAAGAAAGGAAAAAAAAAAAATATATATATATATATATATTTATTATACTCATATATACTAACCACTTCTGTATATTTATATATAAGTTTTATGTACTGTCGTATGGATTAACTAGTATGCTGTGTGTCTAGCAACCCATTATAATTGCGCAACAAGCTTTTATATTTTATATGAAAATAAAGTGTTTCTCTCTAGTAAGGTTATGCCTGTACTGTATGTAAATATATTTTGTGAGTTCTTAATTGATCTACTAACATTTTGATTTATTTTTAAAATGCGAAGTGAAAAGAGTGAGTTGCTGGATTCTGGATTATTTGGTTATAAATGCTTTATCAGAAGGCAAAGAATTTCATGAATACATAGATGAAATCCTAGCTGTCTTCACATTCCATTTCTGTGGATATTGTACACAAAGAACATTTTTTCCCTACAGTAAAAAAAAAAAACCTAGGAGTAACCTTTGACCAGAAACTCTCCTAAAATAACCATATCTCCCAGATTACCCAAAAATCCATAGCTATCCTTAAACAACTCCTAAGATTCCGTGATTGTGTTCCTCTAAAATCCCGACAGCTCCTTGTAACCTCCCTTGTATTTCCTCACCTTGACTACGGCTGTTTGGTGTATGGAGGGCTATCTGCCAGGCTTGAAATGAGACTGAAGAAACTCATGAACTGTTTCATAAGATATATCTTCGGGATCCCCAGGTGTTCACATATTTCACTCTGGTACACCGAGTTGAAGTGGTTTTATCCTACTTCCCGACGACGATTCCTCCTTGGTGTTTTCCTTTTTCAAGTTATCAGAACCAAACACCCTCCCTACATCCTGGAACTTCTTACTCTATCCACTCTTGCAATACTAGGTCTCAACCTTTGGATTTATATATCCCCTGCTATAAAACTACTTCCTTCAGCAAATCCTTCGTTATTCGTGCTACCTCCTTTTGGAACTCTCTTCCTACCTCCATACATCAATCCTCGTCCATATATTCCTTCAAACAACTCCTGTTCCACCACCTACTCCACATTTAAATTTCCGCTAATATGTAAAATTACTTATATCTGTATACTGTGTAATGTCAATTATTGCGCAACTGCAATAACAATAAGCAGTATATTAGCTTGTATTTTTTATTATTTTAAGCCAGACTAACACCCATAAATTTGTAACACTGTTATTCTTAGACAGCAGTCCCAGAATAAAATTATTTTTTCATTTCATTTCAAAGAAAAAAGAATCTAACACATCAAAACCTTACAATAACCTTCCATGAGCCTTTACGAAGTTAGCAACACTTTGCTGGATCCTAGGCGGCGTTAAAGTCGAGAGTGCTAGTGGTCATATTTGACACACATTTTGTGAATAATTTTCTCGATCTTGCACATTTAAGAGGTTTAAAATACTTAGCACTGGTTGCACGAATACTCCTATTCTCTTTATGCAATATGTATCATATTTTTATGTTATTGTCTTAGAATGTAAGTATGTATTTCAAGAAATAAAATTAATGATTTATTTTTATATGTTATTTGGAATGTTAATTTGTTTAAAATTGATTTGATAGTTTATTTTTAAACAGGAGGCAATGTTGATGAGAACAAACACTCACAGCTAGATACAGAAATGACTAAAGGGAAAGCATTAGGTATAATTTAATTTTATACTATTTTTAAAGTTACATTATCATAGATATTTATTTTAATTATTATTTATTTTGTATAAACCAGCTTGTGAGATGTGCCTTAATTATGAACGTGAGCTGGTCGAATCACAGAGGCGAGTTTCTGAACTAGAGAAGGAAGTATCAGTGATGGATCGGCTGAAGGAAGAACTGCAACGAGAGTCTGTATTCCGTAAGCAAATGGAGGACAAGTGGCAGGAAAGTAAAGAGCATCACAAACAAGAGGTATTCATTTGTCTCACTGACATAATGTTGGCATGAATAGCAGCTATTTACACAATATAAAATTCGATCGTATAGATCTGTTTTCTGTCTCTCAGGAGTGATAGATTTTGATGAATGTGGTATCAATTGAAAGGGGATTTCATGATGAATTGACAAATTCTGATTTCAATCCATAAATTTCTTCCAAAACTTTAATATAAATCATTGAAAAAATGGGAGGTTTCAAAACCTGACATTAATTATTTAATAGATTAAGATGGAACTGATTTCATTGTTAAGATTTCAACACAGGAATCAAGACTGAGGGGCACTTTGTAATAATGAAAACAGGTGAATATTTAGAATGGTATGGAGTTAATTGATCGTAATTCTAACAAAATGATTGAATATATTTAGTTTTTGTAAACATTAAACAGAGGAGAGGGAGGCAACCTCCATAACATTAATAGATTTCTATAACTTTTCCAGATAAAAATTGAAAAATATGTTTTCACAGTCTGACTAGTTATGTAGAAATGTTCATAAAAAACATTCTCTATCAAATATATTTATACTTATACTTATTAAGTATATTTTTTTTTCAACTTTGTTGCGAAAAATGTGATTAGAATATCATGTGAAAATTAAGGGATGATTGAATAATATAATCCTAGGATATGTTGATATATATTATTATCTTTGAATATAAATGACTATTTAAATAATAGTAACATTAGATTATGATTGTTGTGATAATAGTTACGTTTTCTTAATCAATATTACTTTACATATTTTATTCATTGATGTAGCTTATTTATTATTAATTTAAAATTTTTTACTTAATACTATTGGGCGAGGAAAGGACGAAATGATATTCTGGTGCCCCTCAACATTTTTATTAGGGGGGGGACCGCCCCCGTGAAGTCCGCACCTATTCACTGGCATTGTTTCCCCTGTTGTGACCTAGCTCTGTCTTCACCACTTCCATTTAATACTAATTATCTTTGCTAATATGCATAAGAAAAATTCAGAATTTTTTGTGTTTTTATTCTTATAACCTAATCTTCAATGATGAATAAAAATTTTAAATTCATGCCAGTACCCAATTGCAAGCCGTTAAGGAATATTCCTTATTCAGTTAATCATATAAAAAATCTAAAGGAAATAATAATTAAGTGGGGGGAAAAAAGTACAAACCAAATATTCTGGCTGGTTAAATGTGATGTTTAAGAGCTTGGGAATATTTTGAATATTAGTTATTAAAATGAAAATATCATTTAAAATAGTATACCTATGCTAGAACTCTCTCATGCTAGCTATTTATTGTTCTTCCTAAGGAACTTTACCGGTTCTTAGTGTCCGCGTAAAAATGTTTGAAACACACAGTTTGTACTATCTCGATCTTTGGATTTTATATCAGAGTTATAAAACTACTTTTTTTCAATGTCTTTTATTAAAGTTTTTATGTTCTTGCTCTGGGGTTCATCGATACAATAAACTTATGATCAGGGGTAGAGCACTTTATTACAGTAAAAGTATTAACATCAGGTTCATCACCTCTAGCTTCCATGCTTACCCAAGCTACCATCCCCTGGCGTCCTCCCGCCAAAATCAGTGTTGCCGTAATCTACTTTCCAAACATATTTAAATAATAGTGGATAATGCCACAACAAAAGTTATAGTACGACTTAAAGATTCTAAATTGGAATTTGTCATTTCTCTATGAAATTTTTATTTGTTTTACCAAAATCCATCCCATCGCTCTTGAGAGCTCGAAAAGGGATCTATACTACCTTATTAGATGTTAGTATATAATATAATTTTAATCTGATAATAAATATCTAGATAATTTTTATTATTATTTTTGTTTATCTACCATCATTGCTCTAGTTATTTAAACTTATCAAATAATATATGAGGACCATTTGCTATAGGTAACTGAACTTCAGCAAAAACTTGAAGCTAGCGAGGGCTCTTTCAGTGAACTACGTCAAACGTATTACAAGGCTAAGGAAGATATATCTAAGCAGTTTTCAAGACTTTCCGAAGAGAGGAAGACAACACAGGAGAAATTAGAGAAGTAAATTATTCACTATAGCATACTATTCTTTATCGATAAGTCCTTTTTCTCAATTAGAGAGGCAAAGTAGGAAATTTAGGATAAGTTTATCAAAAATGTGAGGATATTTTAATGGCCATGGGTATGTAATTGGATGTAATCCATGGTAATTTAGAGATGCATTATCATGTCATTGGTATAGAAATGTTAGTGGAAAAATAATTATCTTTAGTGTATTTTAAATATTAATAAAAATAATTGCCTAGTAGAGTGAGTATAGTTTCCTTGCCATTTCTGTTGACTGCATTGTTTGAAATTGAGTAAAACTGTTTGAAAATAAAATGTACAGCATTAACTGTATGGTCGAGCATTAGCATAGAAGTAATATCAATATCGTATTGCCCTTCCTGGGTCAGATGGACCATATGAGTTGATTATTTTCAATTTTTACCTCAATGTTTTATTTGAGTTGTTTTTTCTTCTAACAAACCAGACTATGATTTAGTAAAATTAGTCCTCCAAGTTTGAGATAGAAAATTGAAAGAAATCAAAGGTAAAGTCTAGTCATAAATAGTCATAGATTCAGAGAACAGTGCAGGAAGGTTACATTCCTCCATACTTATCCAGTAGGGAGTAGCATCAAAACCTCCCTTCTTATCTAATCTCATTTCAGATAACCTCCCTTATCTCATCTAACCTAAGTTATTCTGTTGTTTAGTTTTTGTTTCTTGTGCCAGGTGTGAGTTTATTTAATTATGGATCTTGTCACATTGTGGGAATTGCCGTCTTCAGAAGAAGAGGCTATCAAATATTTTCAAGACGCCGGTATATTTGATAAGGTGAAATATTCTGATGAGGGTCATAAAATGAAGTTCGACGGGAAGATTAAATGGAGATGCTTTCGTAGGTGTAACAAAACCGTTTCTATAAGGAAAGGAACGTGGTTAGAGGGGTCGAGGATTTCTTTTTTAAATATCAAAATTATTTTCCCTACCAAAATAAAACTTTTCATATTTTGTTTCTATCGTTTCTTCATAATGTTTTTTTTTATATGTACATATGCTGTTTAAGAATTTTTTTTTTATTTCATCTTTTTTTGTCTATTTTTATTATTTCATTTATTTTTATATATATGTTGCAATGTTTTCGTAATTTTTTTTAATTATATATTTATAATGTTATGGTCTATTTTAATATATACGTTGTAAAATAAAAGCATTTTGTTATTATTACATTTGTTTCTGTTTTTGTTCACAATTTCAATAATATCAATACAATACAATAAATATTAATACGAACATATAATAATATGAATATAATACAATAAATATGAATACGAAGAGCTTATAAACATTGGCAGATAGCAGTCGGACGCTACCTGCTATTAAATAAGTGCCCATTCCTCAAAGTGGCCTCATGTCCATTAAAGGTGAGCCTAAACTTAAAATTTTCTTTGTTTAAACTGAGGTGGAATATCAAAATTCATCATAGTTTGCTCTTGTATTTTTAAAATGTTTTGAAGTGAAAACTTCTTCAGGCATGTTTTTTTGCACTTTTTTGTGGGGAATGAATTAGATTGAGCCATCAGATTTCCAATGTGTAACGCTCGGGTAAAGTCGGCTGTAGTTGACTAATTGAAGTGTTTTTGCATGTGGATTAAAATATTTCAAAAACTAAAAATCAACTGCTTATTGTCAGCGAGAGAAATGTTAATCATTTCATTCTCTTTATAATGAGCTATTATTCAAAATTGTATCTTAATGGGACCATATACAATATTGACAAAAAAGTGTATACTTTTTGAGTTATTCGGAATTTAATTTTACTATCCCTCGTAACTTTTTTTCCAGCTTCTTATCATTGAAGTATGTTATATAGATAAATTTAAAGGGCGTCGAGAAAATGATTTTAGCGAAGTTTCATTGAAATCGGTACATTCGTTTAGGTGCTACAGTCTATGTCAACGTAGGTTTTTCGGCAGCCATTTTGAAAGTAAAAGGCGAATAGTAATGTTGATGAAGGAGGATCATCCTCGGGTGACCTCTGATTTTATACCCAAATTTGAAAATAATCGGTCTTGTAGTTTTGGAAAAAAATGTGCGTACGGCATGGACAAAAAATTTTTTATTCATTTTTCGAATTATACGTATCCTGAAACGTGAAACCTCAAATTTTGAGAGGGGGTTAAGTTTTTGAATTTTTGATCGATCACAGTGGTTCATTATTGAAAATAATAAACCAAAAAACCCACACAATGAATGTTGTACTAACCTCATGTGTGATAATTTTGCTTAATTTCATATTTTTAAGTAGGTTTTAAAATTTTACAGGCTGGCCAGTGGACCGTAATTTGGGAAACCTCTGGCTTATAGTCCATTCACGATTTAAGTCAGCTTCTGACATGTTTTGAATTTCAATCTTTTTATTCTTTGTAATTTTTATAAAAATATAATTTAAAGGAGTATGTCTTGCTTTTTATGGCTAATGATTAACAGATATAAATATAATAATGGACATTTTCAGATTACAGTTGGAGAACGAAAACCTTGTTGGAAAATATAATAGACATTCTCAAGACCTTCAGAATGAAGAGATTAACCTACCCAATACTGTAGAGGTAATTTATATTTCAATATGAATTTTGTTTAATAAATCTTATTTAGTATGCCTTAAATATAAAATTTTAAAAAGATCTACATTAGAAGCTAGCTATTTGTGGAGAGCCTTCGAGGCAAATCATTTTGGCCTACAAAATATTTTAGTAAATATATTTTAAGGTGATGACAAATTATCCGAATATAAAGTCCGAACTGAGTGTTTGTTGTTGTTGACAATCCAACAACGGTTGTCCTTATAATGACCCCCACATGCTTGGGTCAAAATGTCGGCAAACTTGATAAGCAACAAAAATTACTTCATATCACAATTATTTGTCATCCTCATAAAATTAATAGGTAAAGAAAGTCTTTTGATTCTCTGTCTGACAATTCTCCTTTATTATTATGTAATTTTAATTTACATTAACGTTTACATCCTCAGCATATTCGCTTCCTATCATCACAATTTTTTTTTTATGAAAGATAATTATAAAATGTTTTTGTCTATTTCACCTTGTCGAATAGGCAATGAATATTTATTTAAAAAAAAAAAAAAATATATATATATATATATATATATATATATATATATATATATATATATATATATATAAATAAACACCATATTTTATAAATTATAAAAAATTTGAAAACATTATAATAATTTAATGGATCCAATGACTTAATTCACTTTAATTAGTTATGGCAACTGATAATCATCCTCATAATTTTAATAGTTAACTATATCTGCATATTTAAATATATTTTTAAGAATTTAGAGAAAAATATTTTTATAACTGCAGTTATAAAAGTAATCTTAAACTTTGCAACTTATTTATTTTATATCATACAATGTATTTAAATTTTTCTGTTAAAGTAATTGTTAGAAAATAATTGAATATATATACATTTTTGCTTTTACAGGGACTACAGGAGATGTGGTTGGGTCAGCGAGAAGAACTGATCAAGGCTAGAGTTGGGCTCGAACACAGTGAAGAGTCGGTGAGGTCTCTGGAATGTCTGTATCAAGGCTCCGAAGAGAAGCTTCTACAACTTCGCAACCAGCTTGTAGTTTTAGAGTGAGTTTCCGTTCTATAATGTGCCATGATTGAATATTTTGTTATGTCAACATCAGCGACTAATTTCTGGCAGGTAAACATTAATATAAAATTACAGATATTCTATATTATATAAAAGGACAGCCCATTGTTTTTTTAATGTAACCGCTAATACATAAAAACTGCTGTATAAATTTACACACTATTTTTTTTTTTTAAATGCTCCATGTTGTCTTGTGATGGTTTGAAGCTTTTGAAATCCTCAATTTGATAAGCAGAGAGAAAAAAAATTAAGAATGTTTTAAAGTGTTTCTAAATTTTTCCTAGTATCTTTAATAGTTTTTAATCCTAATTTTATATTTTTATCAAAATTGCATCAGAACGTTAAAAAGGCTACTAAAGCAACAAAATATTGGTCATCCCATAAATGCCATGAGAGGGAACGAGAAAAATAATAATAAAAAGTACCTCTTTTCCATGATCAACTTTAATCTACTTTGTTGGCTTGATCTCTACATGGTACTATTTTCTTCTATCTTGTATGATTTTTTAATTTTAAATACAAATTTTATCCCGTTCCTGCAACTAATAGGTCAGAAAGGACCCAGCTGGAGCAGGAATTGGCGCGCAGACAGTCGAAAATTGCGCAGCTAGAGCACAACAATGGCGAATGGCGTCGGCAAGCAGAGCAACTTAAATCTTTTGTTTCTTCTCTACAAGCAGACAAAGTAAATCATTTGTTAATAATGTATAATGTATATATTCTTATTTAATCTGTATGATTCATTTTTATTCTGCCTGTTTAGTTTAGTTTTATATTTTTTGTTTCTAAAGAGCTGAAAAAATTTCTATTTCTAAATCTAAACCTAAGGAATTACTATTTCTAACCTAAACACTTATGAAGTTTGTGTTATTGTAGACAAGACCATAGACTAGCACAGTACTCATAAGGTTTTACTAACTGCCATTTTCAACTTTGCCTACATTCTTCATTTTTAATAATGTACCTTTTCTGCTTTTAACTTTTTTATTTACTATTAGTTTATTTAAAGTTTTCAAGAACACTAGAGAGTATAAGAGGGAAAATAACAGAAAAATTGCTTTATTAAATTTGAAGACTTAAGTTTTTCTAAAAATCGTTGACATATGTCTTACTAATAAATTTTCAAGATATTTAATTATAATTTATTTTATATAAGAGAGGAAACTTAAGTTTTGAGTAGTACGAAAAAAATTATCAATTTATGAAGTAAAAATAACTTAATTAAATAAATGAGCTGTATTTTACCTGCACTGCTCAAATTTTTAGAACAATTTATGTAGGTCTCAAAAACTTCTGTCTCTCTTTTTTTTTTATAAACACTGCCGTTAAGCTGGAAATAAGCTTTGTCCGAGATTAACACATTATTTTGAAGTTTCTATTAATCATCAATAACATGTTTTTGCCAAAAATATTTATGAAATAAATCCAATTTTTATTTCTCTGATTGGTAGCCACCAGTAATAGGAACCCACTGCGGTTTTTATTATTATTTAGCAAATATTATTGATATTCCGACATGTCAATTTTTGTTGAGATGAAACTGTCAAATAAAGAATTTGTGTTATATATCAATGTTATAAAAATTTGACAAATTAACATACATTACATAGATATGTCATATATGTAGAAAAAACTCGAGGATAGCGAGAACGAACTGAGGCTGAGGTTAAGCTCACTACAGACAGGCTTAGAAAATGGAGAAGCCGTCCAGAAAGATTTCGTTCGCCTTTCGCAGTCTTTACAGAAGGAGCTGGAACGTCTTCGTGGTCAGAACAATGTTGTAAGTGTCTTTTATTTATTTTTGTCTCAACCGACTGGATTGTTTGATTTATTGCTAATTTCAAATGAGTTTTCCTTTTGGCATTTAAAAAAACATTGAAGAGTTTTATTTCTTGATCTCATTTATTTTCTTTCTATGCACTGGCACGCATTGTGAAGAGAAAACAAAATCAAATAAGTAATTGTGAGAAGTTTAACTTATTTTTTAAATAAAAAAAAAATTATAAATTACATGTAAGTTCTTACATTATTATGTGAGCGCACCATGTTAAATTTGATAGTATTTTACAAATCTGCACCCTTTTGATAACATAATCATGAATCTCAAAATTACAAAAATCTTAGATATTAAAATAAATCAATACTTAAGCATTCACCTCATACATTCAATAGTCTTTTCAAAAACTGTTTCTCCAATACTGCAGTGAGTGGGCAATTGTGCACTCTAATTATTAACATTCATGTTATTAGATTATGAATACATTGTTTTGATTTTGTAACTATTAATTAATTTTTATTAATTACTGGACATCTGGTTCATTCTTATTCTTGTACTTGTGAGACTATGGTAATTGATTACTGTGTAAAATACTCAAAGTGAATCGAGAAAATTAAAATTAATCATGAAGTGAGCTGATTTTCATTTGAAATCTGCTAAGTGGAATAAAAAAAATTAAATTGTAGGTGCTGAAGTAACCAAAGTAATTTTTGTCAAAAATGTATCAAAACCAATTAAATATGTTTTGTTTTTTTAAAGTAGATTTCCAATAATTTTTTTACCCACTCCAGTAAAATACAAATTGTCAGGTTTATTTCATATCATATCTGTAGAAAAAAATAAACAAACACATACTTGTTTGTTTGTGTATACAAATTGTTTTGGATGTGGATATATACTTTTGGATGTGATATGTATACCTAAATATATTTTATAATTAAAGGAAGGAGATGGTTCGGGGTGGCGGGTGGCGGTCATAAATAGCCTAAGTAGTGGCAAAACTATTTTATTAAAAGCCACAACGCTTCGACCCGACTTCTCAGGTCTTCTTCAGGACTAGAATGGACAAGATACAAAAAGATAGAGAGAATTGTGGAAGTTACATAATATTTAGACAAAAAATTATAAACAATGTGAATAAGCTTATTAAAATTATAAACAGTAAGTACATTAAAATATAAACAGAGTAAGCTAAGTAACAAGATCCTAAACTAAAGTAAATAGATGGTAACAATTGTTGTAGTGCAAATGTGAATATACTTCTACAGAAGAGATTGGAAGAAAAGGAAAAAGGATATAATAGACATAAAGGAGTGCAGAAAAATAAAAGAAAAAAGAAAATAAAAAAATTAATAAATCGGTAAATAAAGTTAGAAGAATAAAAATAGAGACTTACAGGTGTGTTCAGCTAGGAGTTCCACTTAGAATTGGAAAATCATGGTAAGGGTAGGCATTGGGGAATTTGCTGATCTGTTTGGGTAATGAGAAAAAATCTAGAAAATTACAGTATATAAAATTTGAAGATATGGATGGATACAAGAGAAAAATACTTTATCTATGAAATAATAAATTATAAATATATACATATACATATAAAATAGAATTAAGAGATTACAGATAAGAGTACAATGTGAATAAAAACAAAAATGGAAGAAGTAAAATATAAATATAGAAATAAGAGACCATACATTGCTATTTATGACCCCGGACCATCTCCTTCCTTTATAATGGAACGATCAACTATTAAATATTTAATATTTCCACATATATTATTACAGTAAGGCTCAAAATCGGTTTTGTACCAAATATAAGCTCCTGTCATGCTCAAATACCATGAATGGGGTACCGTTGGATTCAGAATTTCACGGGGGGTTAGCGAATCGTATTCTCTGCTTTTGTTTTTCTTTCTAAAATAAATAAAGTCGATACAAACATTCTGCTAGGCTTCAATACTGGAACGGTAGTAGGTCTGTAGATCGATACAGGACAAATTGGATCTTGAAGATTTTGATGCGTACAGCAAGACCTGGATAGTTCCTCCGGAACTATCGGATCCTGCGTTTTTAAGCCCAAAAATGTACTATTTTGCATCCACACAATCTTACATTAATTGTAGTACTGTCATTGAATATATGTCTCATTTCGTCGACTTGAGGTCTCTGTGATCGAGAGAGGAGGAGTTTATATTATTTATCGATTGTGTTTTTGATCGGCAAGCCATATCATCATTAATTCTTCACTAAATCTCAAGATTGAGCAACCAATTTTGAAGGCTTCCTTCTCCTTCAGGCGTCTAATCATCCCGAAAATTCAGGCAAACAAATTATGAAAGAAAACAAACTTTATTTGCGAATAACTAAAAAATTACACACTTTTCTCTTGATTATTCCCATGATTATATGAAAGATTATTTAAATTCTCTACAAAAGGAAAAAAAATCATCGAAATCGGACAATTTTTAGCAAAGATACAGCTTACTGAAATTTGTAAACATGTTGGTTCCAAACAAAAATGAAGATTCAAGTTAATTTTTGTTTCCTTTGTCGATTATATTTATCGATAAAGTAACAATTGATTTCTTTATCTTTTGATACGTTTCATTATTTTCTTTTCTTATTAATTTGGCATTTGATAACTATTTATATACGAATTTTTCGCACGAATCTACTAGTTTTATAATTATTTATGTTCTTGATATAGTTGAGGTGGGAACATGAGGAGGATGTGACAGAATGCCGAGGTTGTGAGCAGCCTTTTAAATCCACCAGAGGGAAGGTAACAAGAACTTGTTATATATATCATTATCTTGCTTTTTTTTTTTTTTTTTTTTATAGCTGCCTGTTTTATATATGTTACTGATTATATATTTTCAGCAAAACTGTCGCCATTGTGGCAGAATCTTCTGTAGCAGCTGCTTGAGTCATAAAGTTTACACCGGACGGAACCTGCGTGAGAGTCGGGTTTGTCAAGTCTGCCACACTCTTCTCGATAGCAAGACAGCTCCGTACTTCAGCACTGGGCCTCCTCATCAATCCAACTAAGTTTAGAGAGGTCTGTCATTCTGCTATTTCATTCATTATTGATAAGGCTTCTGTTATATCTGTTAATTTATCAGGCGATTGCAAAAATTAATAGTTGATTTATTTCCTAAAATAATGTGGGCTGTCTACATTTCATCATACCTTTGTTATTTCCACAAACATCGTAACATTTCAGCTTTTTAGGCCATTAGATTATTTTATATTTAGTTACTGTAGTGGTGGGTAGTTCGTGAATGAACTAGTTCCAAACTGTGAACTGTGAAGGCCGTTGTTACTTTTGGTGAACTATAGTTCCCGTGAACTAAAACAAAAATAAAATTAGAGGAATTGTAGGTGTTTTCTTTAGGAAATGAAAAGAGAAGGCCAAGGACTATGGTCCTTACATTGAAATAGGGATCAAAAAAAGTTTAATTTCCTTGAAAACAATTTTTGATTATCGCATTTTTAATATTAGGTATGTTAAAATACTTAAAACAGAAGTCATGGACAGACTATTTTTTAAACATATTAATATTTCAAAGGATGAATTGTTTTTTAAACAATGTCATTAGCTTCATTCGGTGGATTTTACAAACTTAAAAATAAGTTTAAAAGTTTATATTTAATTATGAAATTTAATTTAATTTTCTTGGAAACATGTTATTGATGTTTAGTACTATTAGTTTTCAGAAATTTGTATTTATATTTTTTTCCTAACTCTCCATTACTGATTATCTTTATTAGATATTATTTTTTCTAAAATTCTTTGCTTTCCAACGATATATTATACTTTTTCCTTCTGACTATTATTTCCGGACTCAGGGAACCTCATCAAAACCTGTATTTCGGTTGAAAACTCAGATTCGAAAAATTTCTTGATCCCAATACTTTCCCTTACTATTTAATACATATACAGGTAAGTGGAAGTAAAAAAAGTGACTGAGTCATTTGTGATTAATTGAAAATTCAATGTTTTTATTTATTGTGCTTTCTTAATCTCTAATTGATTTTGTATTAGAACTGGGCAGTATTCTGAAGGTCTTGCTTGCAGTGGTCCCCTGATGAATTCTTCAGAACAGCAGTGGAATACTCAATCTTATTAATGTAAGATTATGTGATATTTTATCTTTTAAAAGATGTATGAAAGAAATTTTTTAAGTAAAAAATATATATATCCAGAGAATAAATAGGAAAAAAATTGAAATGTAATTGTATTATATTATTCAGAAACATTGTTATATAAGAATGAATAGGGAAAAAAAATTAAATCTAACATTATTGTAAATAAAAACCATATTACATGCTTACCTGCATTTATTGTATATATATAAATAAATATAGTATAAATCTATTTGAATTCTTTCCTTTTTTTTTTTTTTTTTTGTTAATATAGATTATGGGTTAAGCTCAATGATTTTAAAGTTTATAAGAATACCTTCAGATGCAAGGTACACAGCTTTCATATGAGAGGGGACAAGACCGAATAAAGAAAAATCTCAGGTAGATAAATGACTCTAAACTCAATAATATTATACAAAGTAGTTTATTGTTATTACAATTTTTTAAGTGAGTCATGTGTTTTGTTGAATAGAAAGTGATAACTAAAAAAATAATTAATATAAGTAATTACCAATAGCTCCACTGTGAACTAGACAATATTTACTTTTAAACAAAGTGGTGTTTGTCATTGTTGAAATAATTTAAAGAGGACTATTGAGCAGCTAAAAAATAAAATAAGCTCCGTTAAAAAAAAAATCATTCGAGATTTTTGTTATCGCCTTCGTAACTATACTAAAGATCACTATTTTTAGAAGAAAAAAAATCCTCGTTCAATAAGCTTTAAGTGTATATTAATAATGTCGAGGTTGATTAAGGAAAATTTTTAAGATTTACCTCAAGTTGTGTTAAAAAATTATGTGATTTGATATACTGACACCTAAAAGTAACCATGTTTTTAGGAAAAATTACTACAATAAATTAGTATAGTTGGTTGGAGATAAAAAAATTTAAAAAATGGTAGATAATTTTTTTTATCATTATCATTTTTTTAAAAAACAAAACTTAGCTTAGTTTAGCTGTTCAAATGGTTTTAACAATGACCAATTCTATTTTTATTTAAAGTAAATTTTGTCTAGTCCACAGTGAGGAAATTTTTAATTACTTAAAATAAATATTTATTTAGTTTTCACTTCATATTCAACAAAAATATGACACTTAAAAAACACACAACTTTGATTTGCTATTTTTCTTCTGAAAATTGGTCCATTGTTTATATGAACTTTTTTGTAGCTCTTGAGGTCTGATATCACCCATATAAAATTTTTCCTTTACTTACGGAACTTTTTCTTGGATTTTCGACAAACCTTTTTATAATTCCTTTTTTCAAATTATTGGAGGGGGAAGGAGGGCAACACTGTTTGTTATTATATGGTGGGCATATTTCATAGAACACTATGTTATAAATAAAAAGTGTTCGATTTGATTGCCTTTTAACTTCAAGTTCAGGAGCTCCACTAAACCATCAAATTCCTTTCGTATCCAATCCAAAATCCTCAACACTACTTACTTTGTCACAAATAAAATCATCCATAATGACCTTAATGTTCCGTATGTTTCCGATTTGACCCAATCCTTCCATAACAAATTTCAGAACCTTCTGAACCCTCTCGTTTTAAATCTTGCTTCCTCCTCGATCCCTGATTACCCTCCGAGGCGTCTGAAAAGAAGGTGGCTTTGTGTAAATTTATTATTTGAGTGCAATCAGTGGGTAGTTTCTCAACAAGCAAGTTCATGTTATTATATTTCTGAATGCACATTTACTAGGGATTTTTTTTATAATACAGTTGTAAATATCAATGAATAAAGAAAAAAAAACTTTAAGTTCTTTATTTTTTTTTTACAATCAAAATATTGTTGTGTAATTATAAAACAAAATTAATTAAGAAATAATATTACTAAATATAAAATCGAACATCAAATAGACACCCTATTAGGAGGAAAAATAAGTTAAAAACTAAATTAAATTTTAAAAGATAATATAATAAATACAATGAAATAGACTGTCCATCTACAAAAATCTGAAGACTTATAACTTGAAGGTCACCAGCTCTTGATCTCTGACTAGAAAGGTGAGAAAAGCTTACCTGAAATGCTTGAGAGGGTGGTAAAACTAAATGCAGAGTACCACTATGTTTTCCCCTTTAATTAAAGTACTCAGTTGTACAGATTGGGTAGTACCTTATGAGGCTTAATCTACAGGCAATGTAACAGAAAAAACAATTACCTGGGTTAATAGTATTTCCACATACACATTACTTATTCGTGTTTGTCATCCATTCAATAAAATAGAGTGAAAAAAATAAATCAGCACACTTAATACATATATTGTTCTGGGACATTTTCCTTTCTTTTTCTCACTACTTTGCCTTTTCCCAGGCCAAGAGAGCGGGGGGAGGGGAGGGAGTTAATAAGTCCTCCTAATATAGGGACTGTTTACATTTTTACGACAAAATGGATGAAGAACCAAAGACCAGAAAGTAGCAAATTTATAACCTTACCCTACTTGGCTTATGGGGTAAAAAAAATTATAACAATGATTTCAGCTTTCAAAGATCTCAATGCATATCTTTGAAATATCTTGCTATGAAATGAAATTTCTCCTATTTTATTAGGATAAAATGCAAACAAAAAAATTGAAGGTAGCAAAGTCGAATAAAACATGAAACCTTTCAACTCCTTCTTTTGTTTTTCCTTATAAAGAAATGTTATTCCTAAATAAATTATAAAATAAAAATACCAGAGAAATCTAAATAAGGGATCATATCACTGCATGCTGACACAGTGAATGAAATTAGCCCAATGATTTAGTTAAACAATAGTTCATTCTTTATTGTCATACTTTCAAGTAATAATAGTTAAATTAATAAGGTTTGAACATTTGCCTAGGTTCACAAATTCAGAAAAATATAATAAATTAAATACTTTATTTTTCATTGTTTTGTTTTGTCTGACATTGATCTAAATAAAAAATCGTTAAAAAAAAAATAATAACAGCCATTTAATTATGTACATTAAAAAAAAAAAAAGTTGAACTTCAATTAACTATAAATTATGAAATACTTTTGTTTCCAATGTATGTTATATATTAACCATGTATATAACTGACTCTCCTAATGGATAAATTTTCCCATTATCCATCAGTTCAATCTTCTTAGTCGATAGATCTACCTTGAGTACAGAAGTGGGATCAATGAGTAATTTGCCAATGGTAGGGTTATCAGCGTGAGGCATGGAGCGGGGACCAAGCTGTGGATCCTCCCATCGCCACAGTTGTGCACTGTGACCTTGCTCTAGTGCCAACATAGAGCTAAACTCATTAATGGTCATTTCATTTCGAACTTGAAGGTGTTGGGTAAAGTAGCCGCTGCGTTGCTGTGGATTAATGCACTCTAAGGTTAATGATTGTAGCTTGTAGGTGAAGACAATAAATGGGGAGCCAGGAATAGTGTCTTGGCGCACTCTCTCAGGTGCTGATGGATCATCATTGGTCAGAATATCCATTCCCTCTATTTGCAATGACTGAATTAGATATTTCTTGTTAGAGGAGAGTATTGAAATTTCATCGACATCTGCAGTTGTAGCTAACGCTGACAAACCTTTCTCTGCAACTTTTTCCTTCATTGCTTGAACAAATGGCATCACTCTCTTTCCATATTTCTTAAGGTCTTCATTTTTCATCAGTTCGACAGATATAACTTTGTTATCAGGAAAAGCGCCTCCTTTAATGTACATATTTTTGAGATTTATCAGAATAATCTCTTGCCATTTCGGAAATGTTTTTGCTACATAAACTGTCGCGTAGTTAATTTTATCAGGAATATTCTCCTTTACTTTCTTTTTACCCTGTGAAGTTGCTTTTAATTGCAGCCTAAAAGAGTGGGCAGTTTCCATAAGATAAGCAGATGCCTTAAGAAGAGACTGATCTATTTCGCCATGAACAGGCCAGCGTGCTTTAACAACAGATGATTTCTCTTCTATAAGTTGGAAAATGTGTTCGGCAACATGAGGACAAATTGGAGACAACATTATTGCCTGAAGTTTTATAAATTTCATTACCAAGTCACAATGCATACCATCATCCATTGCTAGTTCTCTGTACCTATCACGTACTGTTTGCATTTCAAAGAACCCTGTTTTTAATGCCTCTTTGAATAATAGTTTTTCATAATTCTCTTCAGTTTCTTTTAATTTTTGATTGACTTCATTTTGAAAAACTCTATCATAGAATTTATCCATCGGACCTGTTCTTAAGGTTTCCTTCTTGGCAATGATCTCCTTAACCCATTCGATAAATGTATACAATCTCAAAATACCAGCTTCTGCAACTGATTCAACAAAATTTGCATCTTCTATGGTATCCCCGGCATCGGCTAAAGCTAGGCGCATTGCATCAGCACTAAACTTATTAACACTTTCTGAAAGCGTCATGAAATTGCCTTCAGATTTCGACATTTTACTTGAGTTCAACAAAAGATGGCCATTTGCTCTTATACCTCTAGGCCACATCTTTTCATTCTCATTCCAAATTGCAGTGTGATTATAAATAAAGAATGTCAAATGGTTTTGAATCAAATCTTTGCCAGATACCCGCAAGTCTACTGGGTACCAAAATTTAAATTCTTTTTTCATTTTCTCCAAATGAGTTTTAGATATTTTACAGTTACTTGGGAATGGTTTATCAAGAAATATAAAATCCCATACTTCAGGAGTCATATGTTCAGCTTTTATTTTAAACTGATTAGGTTTATCGCCTCTTAAAGAGTTTCCTTGAAGAAAGTGAGCAACAGTATAATAAGCCATATAAATGGTTGAGTCTGAAAGTGATTCTATAAGCCATCCTTGGTCCCATGGTAACTTGCTTCCAAGTCCATACGTCCTGGAGCAAGCATATTCATGAAGCCAATTTAAGCAGGCTTGAAAATTCTTTCTCACTTCATCATGGTATGTATTCATTCGATTTAATGCAAGTTCTGTTCTTTCTCTCCATTTTGGCTCACCATAATCAAGGTACCACTGGTCACACAATGCAACAACACATTCCACCCCAGATCTTGATATAATTTCTTTTTCAGGTTCATAATAAACAGCTGCTTTTGAAGCTTTTACTAATTCTTCTTTTAAAATTTGCTTGACTTCTTGTACTTTTTTCCCTTTATAATCCCCAACTAGCATTACACCATCATAGAAACCTTTTAAGTAACAAAGATCTTTGGCTTCTTTCAACTTTTCTTTATCATTTTGGCTTTGAACATTGAGTTTTTCACACATTGTCACAGCACATAAATTGCCTATGTCTGGTACATCAATAATGGGACACGGCTCATATGGATCTACCATCTCATCAGTAATACCATATTTTTCTCTTAAAGGCCGCTTTTTCTTCAGATCTTGTAAAGCTGCATAATCATCAGGAGCATCCGAAGGTACACTTGTTACTATTCCTGTGCCTTTTTCCTTTAATATTGAAAACATGGGCAGACTATATATGACTTTATGAATAGTGATAGGAGATTCTAAAGGAACACCTAAAATATCTTCACCTTTAATATTGATGAAGTCTCCAATTACACCATCACTTTCAGTGAATCCTTGATAAGCCATATTATTTGCAGCTCTTTGAGTACATACAAAAACCTCATTATTTTTAGTTTTAAATGCAATATAATCAATATTTGGATGAATCCAGCAATTAGTTTGTCCATACATAGTTTCTGGCCTTAAAGTGGCGGCCACAAAAAACACATTGTGATTTTTAAAGCATGCTAATTTTGGAGGCAACTTAATAACCTTCATCTTAATTAAAGTATATTCTTGAGGTCCAACACCTTCACCTGATGCTCTATCATGGTCCATGCAAGGCTGGCCATCTCTAGGTGAAAAAATTGTATACCGCTTACCATATTTGATTTTATTTAACCGTTTCAAATGAAGGAACTGCCATCTAACAAAAGAATCGAAGAATGGATTAGCATCAGTTGTTATGAAAGTTCTTCGCCAATCAATATGAAGCCCAGCTGATTTTAGATCATCTATAGCTCGGGGAGGAAAATAATTTAACCAGTATTCAGCCTCAGCAAAATTAGCTATTTCGCTGTCATCAATACCTAAGCTTCTCATAATATCCCATTGATATTTAGAGCCCACACTTTTGGCCAAAACTTTGCTTTTTTTCCCTTTAGATTTGTCTATTGGAACATCATTCACTTTGTCTTTATCAGTAACTTCTACAATATCTGAAGGAAAAACTGGTGGGTTACCAAATTCTTTTATTTCACGCTTGAGTTTGTCAGCACATGCCTTAATAGGCATTCCAGTGCAGTGGAAACCAAAAGGAAATAACACATACTTCCCTTTTAGCCTATTATATCTTGTAGAGAACTCACACTTTGTCAGAGTGAAAGTATGTCCAAGATGAAGTCTTCCATTCATATATGGAAATGGAAAACATGTTATAAATTTATTATCAACAGTAGATTCCAAATCAGGAGCATCGATTTCATGTATCTTCTCCTCTTCCCACTTCTTCTGGACGTCTTTTTCAATCTTTTGCAAATATTCTACTTTGAATGTACCTTTTCTCTCCATTTTAACTTATACCAAAGAATAAAAAAAAGAAGATATGATTAAGGACTGCTCATTATGTGTACAAGTCACACTAGACACATGCCAATCCTAGTTAAACACATCGGTAACCCGATGACTCACGAACGGACGTTCAACTTAGCACCAATATATTGGTTTCTTCCACAGATTATATCGCATCAAATCTACCTACTTGTCAAAAATAGTTGGGCGAGAGAACTACAACATTGAATAAGCTGCATGCTCATAGTGTTGCTATGAATTAGTAAATGAAAAGGTACTATTTATACATAATTTTAATAATATACAATGAAAATTGTGTGAAAAATAACTCCAACAAGAGCACTTAAATAATTCAAGAATGAAACAAAATTGTTAGGAATTTCAGTCGAAATTTCTTTAATGGGTTAGCTGATTTAAAGACGTCACTTTAGCTATTTTCAAGTTTGTTTTCATACTTATTTTGGATGAAATTTATTTATGTTCATATAAGGTATGTAGGGGGCGGGGTGGCCGAATGGGCTAAAATGTGTGCACAGCACCGCGAGTTGCCTGCCAACCGGGTTACAGATTTGAGAAGATTTAAAAAAGTACGAGTTCGCGTCCCGGTGCCGCAGAGGATTTTAAATTCCCCGGCCCGGGAAAATCCCGTATAGCCTAAAAGGCGAGGTAGGGAAGAACAAAAAAAAAAAGGTATGTTTAAAAAAAAAGTTTACATTTTTATACTTGAACAACAAGCCTATCTGTAAATGGACAGTGTATCTGACATAGTGTGATAGTGTATCTGAAAATATACGATTTCATTATACTAAAGTTTTGTCGCTCATATTAATAACTAATATTAATTTTAAAAGATTATATAATTTATTTTTCTAATTTAACTATGATGATATAAATCGTACAGAAATTGTAAATAGAATTAAACAAAGGAATATTTTGGGCCAACTTAATATGTTTATTAAGATAAAACAAAGCTCACACCGAGATGAGGCAATTTCCTCGCAGTCTTTCCGTGATGTCCTAAGAAGTCATTGCTTCGGCGACGTTCACTCAGAGCTCCTCTGCCTGTCATTTGAAGGCTATTTGGATGAGTATTTTTATTTCTATCATTGTGCTTATATTTTTGGGATCTACGTGTTCTGGTTCCCTAGTAGTTCTCGTCTATGCAAAGTCTGGTAACTGGTTCCTATTTATTGTATGTACGTTTTCTTCTGCAAAGAATATAGGATAGTTTCTTACTGGTTGTGGAATCTCAGTAGGTCAAATTCTTCCGTTTACCTGACATCTTATTCTCTTTCACTCTCTTCCTTACTAAAGTAAGAACATTTTTATCAAAGTATGAGGACACATAGGGTACTTGTCCAGAATCCGGTCTGGATCGACTTCTATCTGCCAATATTTATAACCTGAACACTGATAATCCCTATCTCCGTATTGATATTTATGAAAATTGAAATAGACAAAAACAAACGTCATAATTTTGGGAATTCAAAAACACAAAAAGAAATAAATGAATAAAAAATACTTTTATTTTACAATATATATATGAAATAGACAAAAACAAATGTCATATTTATGGAAATTGAAATAGAGGAAAAGAAATGTAATAATAACAAAACAGTTTGATTTGAAATTGAAATAGACAAAAACAAATGTAATAATTCCCTAGTTGACCCCACTTCATGAATCAACAAAGTTATACCGGTGACTCGCCTGAAAATGATTATAGTTTGCTTCATTCAGTTGTTGGATGTTGTATCCTTTCCACCAGTCAGAATAAATGATGCGTTCCTCTTGTATATTATTTTTAATACATTCTAATAAAGTTCTTGCCTTAATGTCCTTTATTTTGACGATGAAACACTAGTCTGTTTCTCGGCAAACTCCGTTAAACATCCATTGTTTAATTCTAAACATAAATTAATTTTAAAGTCGTTGAAAACGAAATGTTTGATCCCTCTAACCATGTACCTTTTGTTATAGATACATTTTCTTACGAAAGCATCTCCATTTCCTCTTCCTATTGAACTTCATTTCTTGACCTTCTACACAGAATTTCACCTTTGCAATTATCCCAGCGTTTTGAAAATATTCGATAGCATCTTCTTCTGAATATGGCAATTAATATAATGTAATGACATCCATTTCAATAAATGTAACAAAAATACACAGTGGAATAACTCACAGCTTACACGAGATAAGAAGGGAAGTTGACGTAGGATAAGATAAGAAGGGAAGTTTCGTCCCGACCGGATTCTAGTCAAGAACAACAGTATTAGTAAGACTTTCTAGTATTAGTAAATTCTAATCCCATTTTTCATTTTACTGCTTCATACGATTCTATTTCACTAAAATGTCTAGTTTGCAATAAATTAATAAATGATGAAATATCTAAACACTATAATGTTGATTTTTTTACAATCTTTATTTTACACAGAATAGGTAATTATTTAAATAGAAATTCTTAACTAGAGAGTTGTTGACAAAATTGTTTTATTTGTATTATAATTGTTTTAAATAATGGTATTTTATTTAATTTGTATTCGCCTCTAACCTAGAGGATCTTTGGCGGTAATTCTTAATTTTTATGTTCTGTTATAATAATTTGTTTCCATTAAATATTTGAAGACAATGATGACATCTTCCTCCCTGTCTCCCAAAATATCGTTCAATGTCGTGGACAACTTTAATTTTTATCTCTTTTTTTTTTTTTTTTTTTTTTTTTTTTTTTTTTTTTTTTTTTTTTTTTTAGTAGCAAGTGTCATGGCCGCAAGTGCAGTATAACTCTCATGTCGCTCTGTATTTGTTGCTTAGTAATGTGCTCAAACTTCAAAGTTGTGGTGTAACACTTAAACAACAGTGAGTTAATAAGCAGTTTTACACTTTTAAGTTGACGTACACGCAGGTGAGGTACTATTTATTAACAATAAATAAGTGATAAATTGGTGCTCATTTGGTTAGATCGAGAGGCCGTTAATTCCCTTACGTGCCTTATCATATTCTGATATGTTCACGGCCGGGGACTCTGTTTACTAACTTCCTTCAGTCATCAGGTCTTCAGTTCGAACCAAAGACATTATATATTTTTTTTTTTTTTTTTTCCAGAGACTGTTTTATTTAATTTAAATATTTATTGTAAGAAATGTTTTATTTTATTTCTGATTATAGTTATGTATATAGTTTATTTTTTTAATATTTTATTTCGTAATCTTCCATCTTTTTAATTGTTATATGTAGCAGTAGATATTTTTTTTTTCTCTCTCTTATCATAATATGGAAGATATGAATTTAGATAAGAGTTCGTCAAGTGAAGATTCGGAGGACGAAACGCCGTTTTCTGAGGTTAGCGAAACGGATTCGCAGTATTTAAAAAGACGAACACTTCAAAAACGTCATCGAAACACTCCTCCTGGGTCGGGAGCTAATTCACCCAATAAGAAAAAAAACAAATCAGCTAAACCTAAACAGTTAGCAGAGCAAAATAAATCTAAAAAGTCAACTGAACACAGTAAATCCACTAAAACTAAACAATCAGCCGAGCAAAATATATCACCACCTCAAACCAGAAGCAAATCAATTACCATAGCATCAGAGCCAACTGCACCAACCACCACTAACACCAATAATCCTGTTTCCGTTAATAAAATATCAAGCAAAATTCCGGAGCCTCAAGAGTTTTCTGAGCCCGAGCCGCCACCTATTTTCATATCTAAAATCGATAACTTCGTTACATTTGGTCAAGAAATTGCCGGTCTGATTGGACAGACCAATTTCCGCTGTTTCTCCAGAGTTAATGATATCAAAATAAACACAAACTCTCGAGAAAATTACAAAACACTTATAAATTATTTTACGTCCAAAAACTATGATTTCCATTGTTACCAATTAAGACAAGAAAAGCCATACCGAGTGGTGTTGAGAGGACTACACTCAAGCACCCCAATATCTTTCATCAAAAGTGGCCTAGAAGAAATAGGTCACAATGTTAGGCACATATCATGCGTACTACACCCAACGGAAAAATATCCTTTACCACTATTTTTCGTCGATTTAGAGCCAGCCAGCAATAACATCGAAATTTTTCAAGTGAAGAGGCTTATATATTCCACCATTAAATTTGAAGAGCCTAGACAAAAGCCTATAATAGTGCAATGCACTAAGTGCCAAGACTTGGGGCATACAAAGACTTATTGCCATCACCAGGCCAGGTGCGTGAAATGTGCCGGCCCACACGCATCAGACACTTGTCAGAGACCTCGAGACCTGCCTGCGAAATGTGCCCTTTGTGGTGAAGAACATCCAGCAAACTACAAAGGATGCAAAGTTTATAAACATTTTTATAAGCAGAGAACTCAGAACATAGCCTCGAAAAGCGTAAAACTGACCCAAGAAAGTTTTACCTATCTACCTGAAATTGATAATCCATCAGATTTTCCAGAATTGCCAAAAACGACTACTCAAAATACACAGCTAGCGTCTACTTCAAAAGAAATTGATCAACCTCAGCAGGACTTCAACCTCAGCAGAAAAACACCAATCACTACGAAGAAGCAGCAGCCTCGAATTCAGGCGCCTCAAATCTCCCAATGCAAACCTCAACCTCACAATCCCCAATCCCATCCTCCACGTCAGCAAACTCTCCCTCATCATATACCCTTACGAGTCAAATTACCGCCGCAGCATCCTCAACAGTCCCATCCTAACGCCCAGAAAAGAAGTGCAGCACAAGTACCTTCCAATCTAGACCCACCTCGTGCACAACGACGGATCCCGCCCTCAGCTAATATTCCTAATCCACCACAAGCACCTATCCTGAATCCAATTCACAATCAACATCCATCTGATATAACCTCCATTCTTTCATCCTTCCTATTGGACCTCCAAAATACCATAAAACCACTTATCACTCTTCTCACCAGAATCCTGACCGAAATTCCATTCAATTTCCCACGATGAGCACAAAGCCCCTAACTATCCTTTTATGGAATGCTAACGGACTAAATAACCACCGTGACGAACTTGACTTATTTCTTCATAATAATAACATTGACATTGCTTTACTGACTGAAACTCACTTCACTAAACGAATACATTTCTACATACGTGACTACTTCACTTATAGAACTGATCACCCAGATAACACCTCCCATGCCGGTTCTTGCATCCTTATACATAAATCATTACCCCATTCCCTTATTCCTTCAACTCCAACTGATGCCATTCAATCAACTTCTGTAGTCCTTTCAACTCGCCCTTTCCATCTCACATTCTCAGCTGTATACTGTCCTCCTGGTAATTCCCTCTCCTATAACCTCCTAGATACCTTATTCCAATCCCTCGGATCGCGCTTTATTGCTGGAGGAGACTATAATGCTAAACACCAACGATGGGGTTGTCGAACATCCAACCCCCGCGGTAACATCCTATCACGTGTTTCAACTTCCAACAATTATTCAATCCTTTCGCCCATGAGTCCTACTTATTGGCCAACATCCCTCAAAAAACGTCCCGATATCCTAGATATATTTATAACTTCCCAGATCTCCTCCTCACAAACCATAATCAAATCCCTTGATGACCTTTCTTCAGACCACAGTCCAGTTCTGCTTTCACTACATTCGAGCTATGCTCCTAAACCATCAACTCCTAAATTGATTACAGGACGAGTAAACTGGGACGAATTTCGTGATGATTTGGAAAACAAACTAGACTTAAAAATTCCGCTAAAGACAAAAGACGACATTAATGGTGCCATTGAAAAACTGACAGCGTCAATAACAGACAGTATAAATAATAATACTTTTATCAATAAGTTTAACAATTCACAAAAGACTGACTTGCCACAGCATATTCGTATCTTATTGAAGGAAAAACGCAGAGCAAGATCGAAGTGGCATAGAACCAGATATCCAACAGATAAAACTCATTATACCCAACTGACTAACAAACTAAAATCTGAAATTAAAAAATACAAAATTCAAAATTTACTAAATTTTACTGAAAAACTTACGCCTACCGACAAATCACTATGGACGACCACTAAAAGGCTCCTGAAATTTAAAGACTGTAATCATCCGCTTCTTACTGAAGCTCAAACCTGGTCAAAATCCGATGAAGAAAAATCACAAATCTTTGCTCGTCACCTCTTTAAAACCTTTAATCCACACCCCGATATTCTTAACCCAAATCACCTTGAATGTATTGAAGCAGAACTGGATATCCCACTCCAAATGTCTCTTCCACCTAAAGCCTTTCATCCTTCAGAAATATCCGACATCATTCAAAGGTTACCTTCCCGAAAAGCTCCTGGACACGACCTAATTACATCCCAGATCCTAAAACTCCTTCCTCGGAAAGCCATTCTATTTCTTACTTATATATATAATGCTGTACTGCGATCAACATACTTTCCTGACCCTTGGAAATTCTCTATTATCAAAATGATACATAAACCCAAAAAGCCACCAGAAAACCCATCCTCTTATCGCCCTATCTCCCTTTTACCCATCCTAGGCAAAATCCTGGAAAAGCTCATCCTAAAACGCCTGTACCCCATCCTAGATTCTAATCACATTATCCCAGATCATCAATTTGGATTCCGCAGATCCCATTCCACTATCCAGCAATGCCATCGTGTGGTGGATGTTGTCTCCTCTGCATTGGAGCGCGGAATGTACTGCACGGGAGTCTTTCTCGATGTAGAACAGGCTTTTGATCGAGTCTGGCACCCAGGACTGCTTTACAAACTCCGTAAATTCCTACACCCTACATACTTCCTCATTATCCGTTCCTATCTTACTGATAGATCCTTCAAAGTAAATCATAATAATGCCTATTCATCCCTTTTTTCCCAGTCCGCTGGTGTTCCTCAAGGTAGTATCCTAGGTCCTATCCTTTACACAGTTTATACAGCTGATATCCCAACCCATCCTAACACAGTCATTACCACGTACGCCGATGATACATGTGTCCTATCAGTTAATAACGACCCAACAATTGCATCCCAAACCCTTCAATCACACATCACAAACCTTGAAGAATGGTGTCAAAACTGGAGAATAAAAATAAATTCCAATAAATCCCATCAAATCACCTTTACCCTTCGTCGTAAACCTATGTCCTCTTGTCCTACAGTATCCTTTAATAATACCCCACTTATTCCTGTTGAACAAATTCGATATCTTGGACTCCACTTAGACAAACGTCTAACTTGGAATCCTCATACCAGACTGAAACGACAAGAAACAGCTCGACGTTTCCGACTACTCCAGCACTTACTAGATAAACGCTCTAACCTCCCAGTCAATTACAAAAGACTCATATACATGACTACAATAAGACCTATTTGGACTTACGGAGTTGAGCTCTGGGGCTCCACTAAGCCATCGAATTCCTCTCGTATTCAATCCTTACAATCCAAAATCCTTCGTAAAATCCTCACTGCTCCTTACTTAGTCACAAACAAAATCATCCATAACGACCTTAATGTTCCTTATGTTTCCGACTTGGCCCAATCCAGATACCTATCCTTCCATAACAAACTTCAGAACCATCCAAACCCTCTCGTTTCTAACCTTGCTTCCTCTTCGATCCCTGACAACCCTCAGAGGCGTCTGAAAAGAAGATGGCCTCGAGATCTCCTTTTGTAAATACATTTTTAGAGTGCTACCAATGGGTAGTTTCTCAACATGTGATTTCATGCTATTTTATTCCTTTGTTCACATTTACTGAATGTATTTTTACTTGTAATACAGTTGTAAATATCACCAATAAAAAAAAAAAAAAATCTCTTTTTTTCGTATTGGGGATACTCTAGTAATGACTGTTTAACTGACTGAGGTGTATTGCCACACTTTTGGTAGGTGGGCGCTTCGAGACCTCTTAGAAGGTATCCGTGTGTGAAATGACAGCGTCCAATTCGCATTCAGCACAATATTATTTCTTCCCTTAAGGATTTGTTGGAGCTTGTGGCCCATGCGTTGCACTTGTGCCCATGTGTTGCTATTATTTCTATTAATTTGGCTCATTGTATTTTCCATTGGCCTTCCAAATTTTCTAACAGCTTTCCTCTTGTTTCATGGATCCGATCTTCAACGGTGATGTAATTTATTGGTGTGTTATGCCAGATACTTCTCACTTCTTCGCCAAATGAGCAGCTTGGTCTGATTTTTCACTGCCCATTATGCCACCAGGGGATGGAACCCAGAGAAAGACCACACTCACTGACCTTTTTCTCATCTCCCGCCATACGTTTAATATTTCACTAATGAGGGGAGGGAGTTGCTTGGCCATGGGTTACCAATGGCCGCCACGACGCTTTTGGATTCTGTTGCTATGATCTAGTTTTTATCTTGATTTTTGATATCCAATAAAGGGCCTTAATTATCGCAATCGCTTTTCCACTGAATATGGAGCTCTCTCTTGGTAAATTTAATAGTAGCTGTAGCTGGTTTTCAACCAACGCTATTTTCTACTTTGGAGGCATCGGTGTAAATGACCTTATATGACGGTGTAAATAATGGTATTTAAATTAATTAATTTAAATGGTAAATGACTGATCTTTAAATAATTATTATCTTGAACCGATTACAGAATGGATTACCGTGATCAAGTTCCCGAACTCATCCCAGTCTCTAAAATGAGAAAAGTTTAGAACTTTGGCCCAAGTTTCAAATTTTTACTAGTATCTGAATATAATATTATACCAAATTTTGATGGTTAATGAAAAAAAAAAAAAAAATAACAAGAGCATAATGAGTTGGAAGATTGAACATCAAATAGATCTAGCCTGTCTAGCCTATGATTCACTTTTCATTATTTATTTTTAATAAAATGACGAGTTAATGAGTGAAATAGAAGTAATATTACATAGGCGATTGGAATAAAAATGATGGATGGATATTATGTAATAACATTTATGAATTTGAAAATATACAAATGTGAATCCGGAATGTCAAGAATGTAGTGACTGTAGAAGTATGAAGTTATATGTTTTTAAAAATGTCTGCATTAATTATTATTTCTAATTTCAATGAACATACTATGGATTTAAAGTGGAACCAATCAAAATTATAATTATAGTCGACAGTTTATTAATATAAGTAAATGCACACATTAACTTAAATAGTAAATAAATGACAATACTATATTATATTTTACATTAAAAAAATAAACAGCTTGGGAAGCATTTTTATTGTCGTCTGACAGCAGGAATTATTCTTTCTTCTGTTATTATCATTGCCGAATATGATGAATCTATAACCTCTTTTTAGATGCTTTCGACCCCGTAAGAGACGTTTTTAATCTAGGAAGCTCTAGTGATCCCGATATTTTCCCCTTGTTCTGTGATATTAAAAAATAAAATAAAGGCACATGACATATACTATAAAATATTAATCATTATATATTTTATTTTCATATAATAATGTAAATTGGAGGTTTAATATTTATAAGATTTCATAAAAAAATAAAAAATAAAAATAAATAATAATAGTTCTGATGGTATCAGGTGAAGAGATATCGCAACTAATAGTTGAAAAAAACCCTGCACCGGGATGTGAACTTATTTATTTTATCATCTCCAAGTTTGGTTATCAGATTGTCGAGCAACGCCCAGAGCTATGACACGCGTTAGCCCGCTCCGCCACCCCACCCAGTGTCGGCGCTTATCTGTCTCGAGCTCGTGTTGGGAATAGTTCCTCACTGAGCATAGATGATTTCGAGCTATGCTTCACAACCTGGGCATTGATATAGATCTTCTGTATCCAACCTGAGTTGTTCCAGAAACTGTAGAGCATGTGGTCACGACCTGCACCGCATTTAAAGCGTCAAGAGCGACAATGATGAGAGCCGCGAGAATCTATGTCCTCGCTGAAAATGACTCCCCTCAGTGATTCAGTGAGGAAAATTACCCACGGAACAAGCAATTCATAAATGGGTGGAAGACGACGGTGGGACCAGCTCACTTCCTTATAGGTGCCTATAAAACCTTCAGATTCTGGAAGCTAATCCGAAGTCGACAATAACAAAGAAAAAAATAATGAAGAAGATATAAAAGAAAAAGTGCTAGCTTTGCGCACAGTAGGAGGTCGTGATGACCGAGCGTGTTAGAGCGTTGCCTGGTTTAGCGTTCTCGTGGCTAGTGATGCCGGTTCGAATCTGGCCTGGGAGTGGTTGACTTTTATTGACTTCCTCCAATAATGGTAAAATATAACCATGTCTTATGAAAAAAAATATTAAGAAATTATATCTAAGAGTAAGAGTCACAATAACTGTTCGTGTGATTACATTTAATAGGACATCAAGAACCATTTAATATAGGTAGTTACTTTCTTTCTTTTTATTCCAAAGTAATTATCGTTATATATATTAAGCTTTCGAGCGGAAGCCCCCAAAATAAAATTCTGGATACACCATGTACAAGCAGTATGTTATGAAGTATTCATGCCTCAATATCTCAATACTGCAGTATTGCCATAGTGGCTTGGGAGAGTGGAATAAATAAATCAAACTCGTGTAGCGATTATTATAATTTTATTTTGTGTTATACTGAAATTGTTTCAGGATAATTCTTTAACCCTTCTCTGTAGAATACTAGCAAAATTATTCAGAACTATAGAATCCCAAGTATGAGTTTTATTATAATAATTAAAACAATAAAGGTAGTTGGAACGAAATTCCTGCCCTCGAGCAAATTTCAAGTTATGGGTAAGCAAATAGCACCATTTCAGGCAAGCTCGTTGTTATAGGCACCGGTTAGGCCATGCTGAACACATAGCACAGAGTTCTCTATTTGGTCCTTATGAGCCCAGGCCCAGTAGCTCATTGCTTATTCAAGTCGTGATCGTGCGCTCCTCTTCTTATGGGACGAATCCTCAAGTGTAAAAAATACGGCTTTACGTAAGGAAGCCTATCCTAACTTTTAGGCTATGCTCAAGCGCGCGTTCAGCCATCTTCGGTAGATCTCGGTCTCATCTTAATCGCTTTTATTTCTAATTTAGTTGGTAAAAAATTTATTTCATAGTTTAACAGTTTTTTTAAGGCAGTTTACAATGTGAAATTGTTGATTATTTATAACAAACAAAATCAAAGGTATTTTGAAGGATGAAAAGGTTTAAATTCGGCATGAAGTCTTGTCAGACTATTGCAATGAGAATAATACCGGCTTAATATAAGAGATATGCTTCCATTCTAATAAGATAATATAATAAACTACCTGGCGCTTAAACTCCCATTTGTAAGAGTAGATATTACCAAAGTTGACTCTCTTTTTAATTTCTTTTTGAGCGTTTGGATATGGGTCAACTGGCTCCAGTAGGGAACCGCAACAAGATTCGATCTTATTCGATGACAGCACCTTATGCCTCTCCAACTCTATAGGACAAATGTGGCATGCGACATCCGGTTGCTTTGCGGTCGACAATCCCTAGTTGTAACCAACATATGATTATTTAATGTAATGTTATTATAATAAAGAAGAGAAGACTAGTTGGGGTGATCAATCAAATAAGAAGGCAAAAATAAATGATAATATTTATTTTGACATTTGCTCTGTTAACACTTTTTGGAGACAGCCATGATGAAGGCCTCAACTTGACGTCGAAACGTCGGCAAATGTCAAAATAAATATTATCATTTATTTTTGCCTTCTTATTTGACTGATCACCCCAACTATTCTTCTCTTCATTATTCACGACAGTCAAACATTTACCCACAATTATGTTATTATAATAGTATAACTTTTACTATTCACAGTCGTTTGCTAGAATTGATTTGAATTTTCAAATACCTTATTAATGTTCTATTCTTCAATTGACATATAGACATCACCGTATTTAAAAGAAAAATCTATTGATGTTATTTTAACTAGTGATTAGTTAATTGTCTCTGGTTATGTATAATTGTGTTGATTGTGACATTAAACATTATAAAACTTAATTTGTCCCACTGTGTATTTCTTGAAAATACATACGAAAAAGAAGGCGATACCTCGTAATTGTACATGCAGAAAATAATATTCCTCTAAGAAATAATAAATACATTGTTTATCACAGAACGAGATTGCATTGAAAACATTATTGTCTTTTGTTACGACTTTATATGTTCATGAAAAATATAGAAAAATGCAGACGATTTTTAGATACGTTTCATTAAAAAAAAAATGTCGACTTTACTGTAAAGTAGACGATTTGCACATCACTTCTCAGCCATCGATACTTAGAAGTTTTATATATATATATATATATATATATATATATATATATATATATATATATACATTGACATATTATTTCTTGAAATATTAAATATATTTGTCTACATAAGAGTTATGTTGCAAAATTTTCACTGACAATTCGTCTCTAAGTTTTGTGAGTTTGACAAAAAAACTATTTTTCGGGGCGAAAATAATTTAATTTTCAATACGAACCAATTTTTCTTTTTCCGTCTCTGACTGTAAGACATAAACACTGTTGTGACCAGGCGTTGTCGCTGGTAAAACGAAGATGTACGGTGGAGGCTGTAGTCGTGGGGGGATCGGCATCGGCATACCAGACATATCTTCGGCTCTTTTTCTTCTTTCTATGTCTCCTCATTTTGAAAACACTTTATTTTTACATCTTTATATCTAATAAAACATAGCTATAGGTAGGGAAATATATAGAATAGAATAGAAAAACATCTTTATTCTGGGACTAGGGCCCTTAAGAATAACAATATTGTTCAATCCAAATCTGGCCAGATGATCTATTATAGTAAAGAGTATCTAAAATCTAAGTAGTAAAATGAGTATATACATAGTTTTGGAGGGTATATTAAAGAGAGCAGATCGGTACAAGGGTTACAATATTATAATATTGGTACAAAAACAAAAACATACTATTAACTAAATAGAATTGGAAAGAATCACTAAATAATTTTTATAGTTATCCAATTTTAGTGATAAAATATAAAAACAATAAAAATAAATAAAATAACTAGAGTAAATAAATGATTTATATATGTTCTTTAACACTTTTAAGTGAAAACTAGACAACTATTGTGATCTACCTATGACTCAATAGATTACGAGCAGAAAAGAAAAAAAAAAAATATATATATATATATACACACATACACATATACACATACTTATATATATATACACACACATAGAGAGCAGTGTGTAGAAGATAAGTAAACAATGAAATACTTTTAAACAAAATAAAATACACTTCAAAAAATTATACCTACTCACAATGCTTTGTGAAAGGTGATCGAAATTCTGTTTTATGCTCAAAACAGAAAAAAGAAAGAAAAAAAATAATGTACAAGGACAATTAAAACCTTATTACATAGTATATACTTAGCCAGCGTCTGATTGAATTGTAAAAAGGAATTGGAATAAAAGGGTTTTAAATGTGGATAAGGATGGTGCATGTCGGATTTTTAATGGTATGAAATTCCATAATGCAGCGGAACAGACAACGAAGGAATGTTTAAATGAGGCAGATCTGTCGAAAGGGATGTAAAGGTCAGAAGGACGCGATGTTGTGGAGAGGGCGTGGATTGATGACTTGAATTGTAGGAAATTGTATTCGTAGGACGGACGATGATTATTGATTATTTAGTAAAGGAATGTGCCTAGGAAATATTGCCTTCGGTAGGAGGGGAAGAGCTACCTTAACTCAGCATAGTGGTGAGAAACATGGGAACGTCGCGGGGTCCCAGTGACAAATCTTACGAAGCCATTTATAATTCTTTTCACTCTGTTGTAATATATGCAATAGACACTGCAATCTTAAGGAACAGTATTCCGTATATTGAAGACCATATTTTAAGATTTTTCAATGAGTGTCTGGATACGGGATACTTCCCACGAATCTGGAAGATTGCTGATTTGAGACTCCTCTACAAGGGAGGAGATAGGGATAAGCAACTCCCTAACTCATATAAACCTATATGCCTTCTCCCTGTGATGAGCAAGGTCCTGGAAAACCTCCTGATGTCAAGCTTACGCCCTGTTTTCGACAGAGCAAGCCATCCACAGCAATACGGTCCAACTAGAGGCAGAGGGACCGCTGATGCTCTGCTGAAAGTGGACCAAGATGTTGAAGAGAGGGCGGAACGTTATGTTATGTAATTACTTTTTGATATATCTTCCGCCTTCGACAGAGTATGGTGGTCTAGCGTGCTCTAGCAGCTGCAGAAATACGATGTTCGAAGAAATTTATATTCACTTGTAAGAAGCTACTTCCAGGACAGTCGTGTCAAGATTAGAGAGAATTACTATGAGGTAGAAGCTTCCATAGAGAGGATATGCCCTCAGAAATCAGTCCTTGGCCCTGCTCTGTGGAAGCTTGTCTTCGATGAATTGCTGGGAGTGTTTGAGGAAGAGCGGTTCCCTGCTACTGCCTATGTTGATGACCTAGCTGCTGTGGTGGCCTCAAACAGCAGAGCTGGAGTCAAGACAGAAGCAGAGCGATGCGGTAGCCTGGTCGCGAGGTGTTTGAGTTGAAGAAAATAAGGATGGCTGCTGCCAAGACTCGTGCCATTCTCCTCAAGGGTTAGACTGATATGTCACGACCTGCACCGCATTTGAAACCTTAAGAGCGACTATGACAAGAGCCGCGGGAATCTATGTCCTCACTGAAGATGAGTTTCCTCAGTTATTCAACGAGGAAAATTTCTCGCGGTTTACGGTTTCATATATGGATGGAAGACGGCGGTGGGGCACGCTCATTTCTATATTGATGCCCGCAGAAGAAGAGGACAAGCGCCAGGAAGACCTCCAGATTCTGGAAGCTAGGCCGAAACAAGAAGAAGAAAGAACAGAACAACTACGTGCACATCATGTTACCTAGTAGTAGTGTGTTATTAAGCATTCATGTCTAATAACACACTATCGCTAACACCCGCATTGCCATAGTGGCATGGGAGGGTGGAATATATAAATAAATAAATAATAAATAATACAATCAATATATTGCAATTTCTTTCTTTCTCTGCATAACGTTAAATCTTTTATTTTATTTAATCACTCTTTCTCAATAACGATATTTATTTATTCCTTTTAAAGATAATAATAGGATGGACTGAGGTAAGATGAGTCGAGTATGATAAGAGAATCACCTTTAAACATTCAGAGTTCAAGGAAGCTAGTGGGCCACCCCAGACCTTACTGGGATGTACAATTCACACTTTTTGAAACCAACTACAAACATGCTAAGGGGACGTGTACAATCCAAGAGACCACAAAACAAACAGGGAGAAACGAAATTGATAATGAAAAATAATTTAAATACAAATTTTTATAACAATCGAAAAATTCAAATTTTTGCCTAGACCTGGACCCCTTGAAATTTCGTCAACAACTATGATAAATTTAGAACGTCTTCGTTCCACACGGAGATTGGTAGGAATTTAGGCCTCTGCGTGCTGCAACCCTTTTTAATTATTTCATCAAAGGCGCAGATATAGGGACAAATCCAAGTGGCACAATCTACAATAGGTACACACATAGTTACACCCTTCGCATATATATGCCATTTGGCAGCAAGAAAGTTTCCTGAACGGGCATTGGTAGAGTTGGGGCGTGACTCCATATCAATGAGAGAAAAACGGAATTCATAAGGAGCGCACAAAACTCTTCACCGAGTCCACAGTTTATTAATACCAGTGGTCACAGTTCCCCCAGTTTGTGAGTTCGTCAAATAGACTAGCAGACAGACCCTTTTAGGAGACCCATGCCCTTGGAGGGCAGTAGCAAATATGTAAAAATAATAATAATAATAAATTAAAATTAGGTCGGCCAGGTCGGACCACCTCTTGTCAGACCTGGTTTATTAACATAACTAACGGTTCCATTACAAGGACATAAGTTGATTTATGAATTTATTATAAACAAACAAAAAGCAATATTAGCTTACTAGTGATTTCTGGTGGTGGTAGGGCCAACAGAGTGTCAAGTTCTACTTTATCAACCTGAAACATATGGTACACATATTGAGACTAGAAAAACTTTTTAATTAGTTTTTGAATAAATTGTAAATAGGAGGTACATTATTAGTATTTTACGAAACAGCCATTGCCATTAAAACTACATAAATATTTGATATCTTCATAAAAATAAGTAAATAAAATAATCTCCCGATCAATACATAATAATTAGGACATGATACTAACTTGGTAAAATTTGTGCAAAGGAATTTGGGCCGACTTGTCCGCAAGTAGAATGGGACCAGCAACTGCCACTGTCATTACCACAACAAAAGCCAGCATTATCTCATTCCATCCTATGAAACATTTTAATGTCAAAAAAATACTTAAACATAAACTAAGTATGTATTTTTCGTTTACTTTTTTATTTTTCAACTAACCATATATAAAAACAATTTAAAAATTAGGTAGGTTCTAAATAGATGAATTAAAAAACTATATCTTAATACAGGCAACTGTAGCACTGTAATTTAACATGGAATAGAAAAAAGGTGAATCAATGACAAGCTACAAACATGTACAATACAAACATGTTTTTCTCTTTTTTCACTGATTACTGTTGTTTCCCAACTATGTGTTTCTAAAAACAATTTAAGAAATAAACTGGCTTTAAATTTGTATATGCCTTACCTGTTTGACACGCCCGTATGAATGACAAACATAATATATATAAACAACCTATTTAACGCTACCCTTCTCTGCCGCTTGAGAAAAGTCTTACTTTACGAAGGTCAGCTACCTGTATCCTAATATATCAGATTGAGCACAGGGTTCAATATAAATTCAGAAGAACTATCTGCTCTCTTTCACTAACGGATCAAAAAAAGACTCAACCGGCTTAACGGGCGCAGGAATCTATTTAGAGAATTTAAATATATAACTAAGATTTCCATAAAGCAAACATTCTTCCGCATTTCAGGCGGAGGTGTTTTATATACTATCTGCAGCTACTTATTTGGAAGTTATTAACTGTGAGAGGGCTGGCTATTCGAATAGTGAGTCAGCACTTCAAGCATCAGAATACCCCTAAAGTGACGTTCACACTGGAACGGGAGTGTAAACAATAATCTGCTCTAAGAGACTGGAACTAGTGTGGGTTCATAATCATAAGAGAATTAAAGGCAATGAGAAAGCCAACAAATTTTTAAGACACATTTTGAAGGATTTTTGAATTTTTGAGGGGGTACATTGCGACGGGGTTATGAATTTTTGAAATGAAAATTTTTCATTTCCATTTTTCCAGTTTTCCATTTTTCAAATCAAAAGACAAATGGAAGCATGAAATTGACTACAGGATGTGTAATGGTGTGTATACTGGTACTGGTACTGTATATTGGTACTTGTGGGGGACTAAGTCCGGCAAGTGGGACACCCTTGCTAGAAGGAGAGCGGAATTTCCTGTTCGAGAAATCCTAGCGAAATTTCCTGTAGGACCTGAATCTGCGATAGGAATATCAAATTAACATCAGCAAAAAGTCCTTGATTGGTTATCGAAAATAGCATGGAGTGAAGGGAATGCATTATGCTCAGACAAACCAAACAGTTATTAAAAACCTCTTCCCCTCAGGAACTAAGTGGTTCCTAAGTCTAGTTAAAAAAAATATGCGACTCATCATCAGGACTCTAATATGCCACTCCAGACTTGAAAGACACCTGAAGTTCGGCGGGATAGTTCACGATGAGCTCTGCCATTTGTGCAGAAAAGTTCCGGTAACTGCCATTCAGAATTTGACCGATCCGCTTTGCTCAGATACAGGTTTTTCGCAGGCGTTCGCACAGAATATTAGCACTTGAAGCTTCCTCCATAAAATGGTATTGCCTTTTGAACTTCAATAGAAGAACGAAAAGGTTCGAAACAGGGATGGAGGTGTAATAGACTACAATTGTTATTATTGTCGTTGGAATTGGCAAAAAGGACAAATAGGCCCACTTGGTCCCCCGCTAGTTCCAGTACCAGTATACATACAATTACACATCCTGTAGTCCACTGCATGCTTCCATTTGTGTCTTGATTTGAAATTTTTCATTTCAAAAATTCATAACCCCGTCGAAATTTACCTCAAAAGTTCAAAACTCCTTCAAAATGTGTCTCTTAAAAATTTTGATGGCGCATCTTGCACCATGAAACCTTCTTCTGGGCACCCCTGAGTATAGTTGTAGTTAATGTGGTTTTTCGGGTAAGAATATTTTCAAATATTTTTCCCACTCACTCTGACATAAACCATAAAATTAAAATATCATCTTCATGAGACATCAATATAAATGTTTAGAAAAAAAAAAAAGAACATTTCGTCCCTACCGTTAAGCAAACGCAAATTATGCCAACTAATGTAAGTAAATTGGTAAAATACATTTTCCTTATTATGATTAGTTGATTGAAAACATAGATTAATAAATTGGTACTGGTATGTATGGATAATCCTCTTTACCTGATAAGAACTAGTGATCAGGCAGTTATAGCTGTTTGGAGATGGATTTAAAATAGGCTTCAAAATAAATTTGACCTAGTGTCCTAAGATTTATTGGTGATAACTTATCACGCATTGTTGACATTAGCCTATGAAACGGATTTGTTCTACTATAATAGAATATTAAAATATCCTATGAAGTATTATTAAACATATGGTCAAATATAGAGGTAGTAATAACTAACAACAACATTGTTTTATTAAATATATTGAGCTTCCTACAAGCTTTATTCATCATATTTATTTTTGCCTTCTTTTTAATATTTATAATAATTCTGTAAAGACAATGTTTGAACATTTGCCAAATTTATTTTTAACATTTAAGTATAATCAATTACTGTAGCACTATAATTATAAGTGTATATAGAACAAGAAAAGTTGGACGTCCTAAGCTTCGCTGGGAGAACGAAGTGACTACTGATTCAAGATCCCTTACTTGGTGCCCAGAACTGGAAGGTAGCGGCAGGAAACAAAGAGGAATGGTGATCTATAATAGGGCAGATTTTGACTCAATAAGTGAGTCGTAACGCCATCTAATAATTATATTACGAATAATATAATTATGTATCCTTTCTAGACTTTTAAACAATACAGATGTTAGCAGCAGTGAGATGTTACATTTGAACGTGCAAATCTCATTATTGCAAGTTAAACTATCCAGTTTGTGTGTGTGTGTGTGTCCTGTGTTGTGTAAGCTTGTTTTTTTCTCATTCTTTAGTTCGATTTCCGTTCTCTTGTCGCCCTCCTTTGCCGGCAGCCTCTCTGTATCTGCTTCTACTCTTCCACACAAGGGAAATTTGATTGAACAAACATCTTTACACCGGTAACAAAATACCTGGTATTATGGATAATTCTTTTAGACCATTAGTAAATGAAAACTTCGGTGTATTTAATATTATTATCAACAATTTGCGAAATACTGTTAACTACAATTTTATGTCCCGAAATGTTTAAAAACCGTAAAATGTGTTAATGTAGAAACTCTTCATACTTTAACAGTACAATTGCAGAGAAGGCAATATTATCTCACATTCTCATAATTGTTTCTTCCTATTACAGATAAACTTTTTATTAGAAACGAAGATTAAGAGAAAGGAAGGAGTAAATATTTTGACCTCTGACTACTCTAATATATCTAATTAAAATTTGATTAATTTAAGCTCATATTTGGTGTTGAAAACAGTCATTCCTAATAGCTCCGAGGAAGTACCTTCGTTTCTCCTAATCTTCTTTGAAAATCTTTCATAGACTTTGTGTAATTTATGAATCATAACATACCTACTTGTTTCAAGTCAATTTTAAATTAGTTCATTCATACATCTCATAAATAGTAATTCTACTTGTTGTGACTTCGACTAATATGAGACAAGACACACACAAAAACATACCGGATAAGGGTTAAGGTTGCAGAATATAAAGATAAAAGACAATGTGCTCTTGTAACAAGTTAGAACAACAACCTTTATTAATCGTAATAAAAGTATTACAAAAAAAGTATCATTTGTACAATACAGATGTTCAAAATATCATAGATCACCATGTGACGTCACAACATCTCCTTCCCCCTCAAAAGAAAATTTTGTTCCTTGAAAAAAAAAATAATAAGAAGAAAAATTTAGTCATACACAAATGTCCTTCAGTCTGGTGAATACCGTACTGGTTTACGAATAGTTCTTTTAGGAAGGGAAGGTGTTAATTGTTCTTGATGAAGATTGTGATCTTCCGCTTGGAAACCCTCTTGTCCGGTGTCTAATATTTCCTCCGGGCTAAGATCCTCTTGTTCATTTAGACCTTCTTAAGAGTTCCGTCCATGGTTTGGTTCATTTCTTTCTATATCCTCGTCATGTCCTTCCAAAGTATCTGTATCGCAACGTCTCGGAGAGCCAATGGTATCATCTTTGACTGGCGACTGGCTTCTGGATATGTCCATACCAGGCAAATGTTTTCCTTGGAGATATGGCCACAACTGGTTTAGATGTCTCTTCCACAACAAGTTGTCTTCTGTTTTGATGAGGTAGGTTTGCGGTCCCAGGGTGTCTTGTACGCATCTTTTGGCGTGTTCGTGCGGAAATCCCTTGCCCAAACTTGTTCTCCGACATGGAATAATTTCCGACGCTGGCCTCCATTTCTAATCATCTTTTCCTGGTGGGTCTCCACGATTTCTTCCGTCGACGGCAACAAAAGGTCAAAAATTGTTCTTGGTTTCTTTTTGAGGAGTAGATTTGCTGGAGATTCCCCAGTTGTCGCATGCGCCGTGTTCCTGTATTGTAATAAATAATCATTCGACGATTGGCACAGATTTTTCTCCTCAGCTAAAAACTTCAAAATACATCTTTTTAAAATTTTGATAGCTGACTCGGCACTACCATTTGATTGGGAGTGGAATGGAGCCCCCTACCAAATGTTGAATCCCATATTTATACAAGAAAGTTGAAAATTCTGAGCCAACGAAGCATTTGGCTCCATCAGATGTTAAGGCTCGAGGTAACCCAAAACGTGCGAATAGTTCTGAGAGCTTAGACATAGCTGTCTCAGCCGTCATTGATGACACAAGAAAACCTTCGATCTATTTTGTTTTTGAATCCATGACCACAAAACACGAAATTTTCTTATTTATAGGTACCAAAAAATCAATGTGGATCCGGGTCCAAGGGATTTCAGGCCACGGATATGGCTGTAAAACTGCTTTAGGTGGGGATGGTCGAAAATGGCAGCAGGTCTCACACGAGTTAGCACACTGCTCAATATCTCTATCCAGCGCTGGCCACCAAACATAATTTCGAGCAAAACTCTTTATTTTGACTGCACCTAGATGATTTGTGTGAAGCAGTTGCAAAATTTTATTCTGAAAATTTTCGGCTATGATAACACGGTAGCCCCACATAACACATCCGTGATCCACGATCAGCTGGTCAAATCGTTTCCTGTAAGGCTTTAAATTTTCATTTTCCTCCGTGCACCAAAATCCTAATAACCTGAGAGAGTACTGGATCAGTTCTTGTTTCTTGGCGGATAGTTTGCCAACTAATTCGAAAAGGCAAGTTTTCATGGATGAAATTTAGATATGAAACTTTGTCATCAGGGTCAGTTAAACTACATTTACCTTCAATTCTTGACAGATAATCAGCTCAATTTTCTTCAGATTTAATATATTTTATTTTATAATTATAATTTGAAATTAAATATGCCCATCTTTGTAGGCGATTAGCAGCATAAATGGGAATGCCTTTTCGTTCTCCAAAAATGAAAAGTAAAGGCCGGTGATCTGTCACAAGGGTAAATTCTTTTAGAAATAAAAAATCTTTAAAATGTGTGATCCCAAATATAATAGCCCAAGCTTCTCTTTCAATGGTGGCATACTTTCGTTGTGCATCGGTCAACATTTTAGAAGCATATGCTATCGGGCGTTCATTATTTTTATCAATATGCGAAAGAACTGCTCCCACTGCTTTGGCTGATGCGTCTACTGTCAATTGTAATGGTAAATTTGAATCAAAATGTGCTAAGACTGGTTCAGAAGTTGATATCTTTTTGATTTTTTCAAAAGCTATCTGACAGCTTTTTGTCCAGATAAATTTTACATCTTTTTTTCCTAAACGGTATAAAGGGTATAATATTTCAGAAGCATCAGGAATAAATTTTAGATGAAACGTCAACAGTCCGAGGAACGATTTGAGAGCAGTTGCATCGTTAGGTGGTGGAGCATCCTTTATGGCTTTTATATGTTTATCTGTGGCATGCAATCCTTTCTCATCGAATTTATGCCCCAGATATTCCATAGAATTGCACCCAAAAGAACATTTACTTAATTTAACTCTCAGGTTGACTGAGTTAAGAATTTTGAGTACCTGGTTAAGCCTTTGGTTGTGCTCCTCTCTGGTCCTACCGCTGATGTAAATGTCATCCAGCAAAGATCCTACTCCCTGGAGTCCTCGGAGTAGATTGTCCACAACTTTCTGAAACTGTCCAGGTGCACTAGTGATTCCAAAACACAAACGTGTATACCTAAGCAAGCCAATATGGGTATTAATTGTAGTCAAAGGTTTTGAGTTATCTACTAAAAGAAGTTGCTGATAAGCGTCTTTTAAATCAATCTTTGAAAAGAATTTAGATCCGCCAAAATTCGAGCATATATGATCAAGCCTTGGAAGAGAGTATTGCTTGCTCAACAGGATTGGATTTATCGTAAGGCGATAATCCCCACAAATGCGAATACTTCTATCACTTATAAGGACTGGCACTATTGGAGTAGCCCATTCGCTACACTCAACTTTTTCTAAAATACCTAGCTCAAGAAGTCGGTTCAATTCGTCTTCCACCTTACTCTTCAATAAAATAGGTAGTGATCTTGCTTTGAAAAATTTAGGCTCGGTCCCCTCTTTAAGTTGTAAGGTAATTTTATAGTTGGAAAATGTACCTAAGGAAGACTGAAATACCTTAGGATTCAAATTAATAATGTTAGAAATATCACTAGATATGTTCTTAATGTGAGTATCCACAAATAAAATTTGTTCAGAATAAGCAGACTTCAAAATTTTTAAACCTTGTCTGCCTATCAGTGGAGGGCCTCCTTTTGGAATAACATGGAATTCTAATTCATGAAATTTAGAATCCTTTTCAGCAAATAATTTGATTTTCCCAATGGGGTAGATTTTGTGTCCTACATAATCACATAATTTGACATCATTTTCACAAAGAGGGACCTTCTTAAAGTTTTCTATATAAAATTTTTCAGCTATAATGTTGTAAAATGACCCAGTGTCAATTTCAAATGTATAAATTTGCCCAAATATATTTAAGTCTATCGTAAAATCATTTTGATGGCAAGTTGGAAAATTAACAAATGAGTCACATAAGGTGACTTCCTCTTCTGTTGTTTCTTCTGTTAAAAATTTAGTTTTGCACACCGGGGCCAAATGTCCTTTTTTATGACATTTATGGCAAGAATAAGCTTTGTACTTACAGTTTTTAGTAGAGTGGTTTTTCCGACCACATACTTCACATTTCTCCTGCTGCTGTATCTTCTTGACATATAAAATGAATCAGATGGTTCTACCTTGATTTGCGATGTAGAAGTGGATTTAACAAAGGCTTCCTTCGCAGCGGCTAGGGTAAGTTCTTTCGAAAAGGTTAAATTTTTATCTGAAGGATCTTCTTCCATTAACCTTTCCCTTATCTTGGTTTGAGCCAATCCTATAATAAAAATATCCCTCATAGCCATTTCCAGTTCAGTGCCAAACTGACAATCTGATGCGTTCTTCCTGTTTCTTGCCGAAAATTCAACCATTGTCTCTCCCGAATTCTGTCGTAAAGAGTAGAATTCTTTTCTGGCAGCAAAACAAGATTTTACAGGTTTGAAATGATTAGTGAGAAGTTCAACTAAATCTTTAAAATTTTTGGTAGCTACCTTGGTGGGCAGGCACAGGCTGTGAAGAAGAGAGAGAACTTCGTCATTAAGTACTGCTAGAGGATAAGCTTTCTTTACTTCCTCACTGGTCACTCCACAATATAGAAAAGTATTTTCTAACCGCTCCAAAAAGTGATTTCAGACACTTTCACCTGGAATACAAATCTTTGGGGCGGTAAACTCGCCATCCTCGTCGCCAAAATAATCATGTTGTGACTTCGACTAATATGAGACAAGACACACAAAAACTTATCGGATAAGGGTTGAGGTTGCAGAATATAAAGATAAAAGACAATGTGCTCTTGTAACAAGTTAGAACAACAACCTTTATTAATCGTAAGAAAACTATTACAAAAAAAGTATCATTTGTACAATACAGATGTTCAAAATATCATAGATCACCACGTGACATCACAACACTACTGTATGGCGACCTTATTAAAAGAAAAATGCTAGAAGAACTATAAGTTAGAAGAAAAACTTTTTAAATAAAAAGTGCTCCATTACTTTGAATCGAAGCCGGATATAAGAAAATGGCAAATCAAATCGCGAGTTAAAGTTCTTAAATGATGCTAGCAAAAGTGGACGCAACCTGAGATTACAAATTGAAACATAGTAAACCTCCTAGAACTAAATTTAAGGAATATAATTAATTGAATAGTCTCCAGTCATCACCGCAAGAACATCTTATAATACAAAGCAGACGCCACTTTTGCTTGCTGGTAACCATTTGGCCGCCTAACCTAGCCTAACAGCGATCACCATTGGAGACGTTTACTGTATTCTGCAGTGCTACCATTCAACAAATTTTTTCTTTATATAAAATATCTATAAAGGTTATAATTCTAATTAGTGATTAATTAGAAATATAACCTTGTATCTTTCAAAATACTCGTTATGATTGATACAATAGATTTATAACAATATTTTCAAGTTAATCTTTATCATTATTTTTCACCTTTTTTTTTTTCAAGAATGAAAATTTAATTACTCAGTTTTTAATTCTGAATTCAAGTATCTAATCACTAGCTGTGTGCTGATAGG